AATACCACACGTTCCGCATCTCTTCCCGCGTATGTGCATATTTATGTTGCTATATTGAATTCGCTTAAATCACAGAGCTTCTGCACTACACATGAATATTGTCAGCCCTGTATTCTTGTACTTGTTTCGTACAAACATACATTATCAGAATAATTAAGATCTAACACATATTTTTTTCCAAAGATTTTCAACATTTGTATATGCGGTCAACACCCATTCGAAAACTGAGAAAAGAACAACTATGCCATAAATCTATGCTCGACAACGAAAGTCTGAAGAATAACTGCAACATCTATATTGAATTTCAAAGAATAATTGACTCTAAATTGACTCTACCTAATGATATTTTTATCAACTGCTGATATAATAGAAGTGCTTGATCGTGACAGTATTTGCCCCAATTACTTGATTTGTTTAATGGGCAGTTGGGAGTCTTAATCCTTAAGCTTAGTACACACTAGTAGCCCCGTTGCGCAATTTGCCTATAGGCAGTCTGGAAACGGTCTCAAGACACGATCTATTGATGGTTTACAGACATCCTTCTTGGTCTCGTCTAGCGTCCATACGATAATGTGAATTTTTCGGTGTCATGCTCGGTTTCGCCATCAAAGACATGGTTTTGTGTGGAATGGACTGAAATATGTCTCGGGGTCCCTCAGAATGTTTTTTTTTTCAGATGACAGAATAATGAAGTTTAATATATTTTAATCTTTAATATTATTACACTAGTTAATTATAAATGCCACGTACTTATTTTGTTCTAATATTATATTTCCTTTCTGAGGATTTCTGAACATTATCCATGGTTTTTTATAACATAATGGATTTAATAATAGGATAAATTCTAGAAGTTCCACTGAGGTTGAAAAATTACCAGCCCCAACTATCTTTTGCGCCCCCCCCCCCCCTAGACGAAATCCTAAATCCGTCCTTGGTTGAAAATTCATGGCAGTTTTATCGGTCGGACTATCGACTATAGAGGCATTGTATTTAAATATAAAAATCGTATGAAATGATAAACGTGTTTAAAATATTGTAAACAAGAATTTCAAAAAGTTAAATCTGTTTACTTTGGAGGCACGACACCATTATCTAGGCAACAATGATTTTTAGGACCATTGCAGCTTGGCCGACACTGTTGGTTGTATCCGCATACTCCCCATTCTCACAAATGACAAATGAGACTAACTAATTGGAACCGGTTTTCGTTTATGGTTGTCGTTGTCCAGTGATAACCTTTGATCAAGTAACATTTCCTCCGATTCAATTTTTAATAAGTATAAACAGATCACTTTTATATATTTTTTTCATTAATAGTTTCCCGAAGCAAGTGGCGTGTATCTATCCATCAATACATTTGATGTACATTGTATTTAATTGCACATAACTGTCTCCGAACATCTGGCTTAGAGCGTTCAAGTAAAATACGTATGAACACCTGCAGGAGAGTGCTAGGGGAGACCGTTGCCCCCTGAGAATCCGGTTGGGCCCAAAAATTTGCTTATTCAGCGTGATTTTTTGTGCTATTTTGGAGATTTTCATGCATCTTCAGCAGGCTTGGGTCGAATATCGAAAACCGGTATCGAATACGAATCCTTGATACTGTTCTTTAAATTGTATTTGAATACTCAAGATTCGAATACAGAAGGAAAAAGTATTCGAATACCGCCAGTTTGAATACCTGGATTCATTTAAGTATGAATACTTTTTGGATATTTCAACATATGCGCATTTTAAACTTGATTTGTATTTATGTACTTAAGTTACAAAAATATATAGAGGAATTTAAAAATACATGACAATATTAAATAAAACTTAAAATAACATTTTGATACACAGTGTCACAGTGAGGTTACATAAATTAATTGTATAATAAAAAAACGTTCTTTAATTTTACTTCCCACGCCTACTGGAAATTGAGATACATTATTATGTTTTTTGAATGTTATATGACATGTACATCATGAAAAACTGGGAAGTACCGCTCGGCTTTCGATGAAACTTTTATGCAACGTTTCTGCTTTGCAAGGACGCAGAATCTTTGGGGTTTTTAAGAATCGGTCCAGTGGCGGCGGAGCAAAGTGCCAAAAAAGAGAAAGAATAAAAATCGCTCAAACTGCGTTTTTAGACATTTCGAAGGTCCTGATCATTTTTGAAAAAAAATTAGAGGTACAAATCTTGGGGTGGGGTTCAAATTCAAATTCAAATTATTTTATTATCCTAAGAGACATTACAAAGTATGTATAGGATTCGTCGGAATAAAAACTAATAAAACAACACAAAATAAATATATGTATAAAACAAAGACACAAATAAATCATAACATAAGAAACTCAGAGACAGCATAATAACATTTATACAAAGAAAATCTGTTAGTTTAGCCTTAAAATTATGCATATCTCCACACTCTTTAATATGATTTGGTAGCCTATTGAAAATTCGTGGACCCAGTATTTCCGGAGATCTGACGCCGATCTTATACTTGGCAAAATACACATTCAAGTCTCCAGCTTGTCTGGTCGAGTACGTGTTAAAATTGTTTAAAAATCTAGTTTTGTTAATAAAAGTATACACAGCCATTTCGTATAAAAATAAAGATGGTAAAGTTAAAAAGGCGCTTAAAAATATCCTTACAAGAATGCCTACTGCTGACTCCCATCATGCATCTAACCACTCTTTTTTGGGCCAAAAACACTTGTTGGGCATTTGTAGACAAACCCCAGCAGCATAGTGCATATCTCGGTCGTGTCTCAACTTGGGTTGTAGGGGGGTGGCGAGGGTTTACCTCAGTTGTTTGATGTTAGTACATTTATATGCTTCTTGGTAAATCCACGCACCTATTAGACATATTTCACAGATAGATTGCTCAGTACATCAGCCCTTAAAATTTGGAAAAATATTCTCAGAAGGATCGCGTACCTACCAGCAGCGGCTGGTGCTCCCGACGGCGTGCAGCCAGCCTTGGTGAGTGTTCTGGTATTACACGTATTTGTGCCACGTCACAGCATAGTGTTTCCTATGTTCTAACCGCGCTGCCATGTCTGACTGGTTAAAATCGTTGAGAGGCGACGTGCTGAACATAATCCTTTATGAACTGATAACGGCGTTGCGAGAATTTCAGAGTCAATCTACTTGACGCTATTTTTATTAGACTTTTATAGAAAATTAATAGAATAAAACTTAATAAGAAAATATATGAATCTTACACAATGTACCTACATACTTAAAAAATATAAATCAATTATAACAGCTATTAAAATTTATTATGATATAAAATGGCAATACTGCACAAAGACAAGAACAGAAGCACTGCAGTCCACACAAACAAAATACATTTGAGTAGCTAGTTTGTTTGTTCCATCCACAACCACCGAGAACGTGTTTTAACACGCTAAGATGAGTAAAGCGTAACGCAGCATTCATAAGAATAGCCAAACGGTATTCGAATACAGGATTCGAATACAAAGTGGGTATTCGAATGTTGGGATTCAGAAATGGTATTCAGAATCCAGAAAACGGAAAACTGACCAAAAAATTGTTTAGTCGAATACCAAACACGATATGTATTGGAATACCAGCCAAATGTATTCTGAATAGGATTCAAAATACCGAGTATTCAAATACTACCCAAATGTGATTTTTAGTATGATTCGATGTACAATTTTTAGAATTTTCAGGAGTTGGCCCGCGAACAAAAATTGATATCTCCGCTCTTCAATAAGTTTTGAGGGCAGGTACACTTTTACGAATAGTTATCTCTTGCCGAGGATCGGCCACCCTAAACAAATTCTTACTGGTGTCCAAAATACGTCGACATTTGATACAGGTACCTAATTGAAGGGTCGGCCGGAAAAACGTTGTATATAACATTTTTCTATAAAATGAGATTTCCGTAAAACAACGTAGTATGTGCGTATTGGGACTCGTTGACAACATAGACCCACCAGTTTACTCGCATCAATCACTGTGACGCGAATTTGTAAAGCGCGCCATTTCAGTCTTCTGCGTAACAACGTCGTATGTACGTAAGCAAAAAAGAATATCTTTGCTTTATGAACCATTCCAGTGGGTCAACGTCATTGCTAAGGCCAAAGTTAAAAATCCTTTTAAAGTTGTCTGGATGCACCAAGCCTTCTTCGAGAATTTAACAGCTTTGGAATGTTGTATATGGAAATACCCCAAATGTAAAATTACACAAGGATTGTGGCTGCAACTTACCGCGGATTCTCCAGCTACTTTGAGAATGAGAAAATCTCAAACTGTTATGCAGCCCTGGAATTCATTTCCCATAAGCAATCGTAAAAGAAGAGAAACAATGACTTTTGCCACTGAAATCATATCATCTGAAAAATTACCTATAATGTATCAGAACCTTCTTCCAATCAAAGATGAAAAATTAAAAAACCTTGAGGATATGAGTGATTATATTCCGCTTAAGTATGTAACATTTTATGAGAAATTAACTGCAACCCAGTAATATTTATTTAAGTTTCAGTTTTGGTTTCGAAACACGTTGATGAACTTAGAACGTGTTTTTTTGTTATTAAAAATATGTTACTGTGTACTTTGGTTCCCTTAATAAATAGAACTGCTGAAAATACTTGTTTTGCTTGTAGTCATTTAAAGCCTCCCTGTAACAACGTTGTAAGTAACGCGATCATACAACCTTGTTACATGCGTTTTCCATAAAAGTGGTTCCCATAGCTGCAAAATAGGAATCACATTTTTAAATTACAATAACCTTGTATAAATATTGTTCCGTTATTGTGCTGGCCAACTATAGACGCAGTCATTTGAAAAAAATGGTTCAAATTTGTTTTTCTTAATTTCGGCCACTGAGCTGTTTTGTTACATACAACGTTGTTCCGGCCGACCCTTCAATTATCGCCTTGCAGATTCAGTATTTGTCGATACAGCTGGCGAAATATAAATGCCTCAAAACCCTGAATTGCATAGAACAGTAGATGGTAGAATTCAGAAGAATGTTCGCCAACTCTCACCCTTCCGACTGTGCAGAGTTATGAGGGATTCGCTCTGCATAAAAAATAATCTTAGGAAAAATTAGAAACAATGAGTTAGCAAAGCTGCGGAATACTGGAGTACGTTAAGATTTACCACGTTTATGCATTTAAATTACCACAAAAATTGGGTCGTTTTAGTGAACTACTTAGCTCGTTTTATTTCCAGCGCGATAAAGGGAAATGCGTGCTTATGTGTGAACATACCATATTCGTATTACATATATAGATAATTCTGAACACTATCGTAACGTTTGGTATGAAACAGACCCTGTTAAGGCTAGCATGGACTCTCATGCTACTGGTACCTTTTAATCCCAAATAAGATTTCTCGCAAGATGCAGTATTTATGGATTCATGAAATCAAGTAGCTGGATATTTTCATGAACTACTTGATTTGACAATAAAATTACTTGAAACGTTAATGCTTGACTAGACTTCGACTTTTTATTCGTCTAATTGACTTGAGGTCAAGCATTTTCAAACTACTTGATACTTGTTGGCACATTATGTTTGTGTGCTACTAAACATGTTCAGTGATATTTATTAGTAGAATCTATCTATATATTATTGTGTATCGATGAATAATTACGGAGAAAATTGTCACGAGACTGCCATCTCAAATGATGCATCCAAACAGCGTTGCCAAATCAAAAAATACAAAATCGGTATATAGTGTTGTTGAAATTCGTTGGATTCGAGGACAAAATCGACAGGAAGAAAAATCAGGGCAGTCGTCAGACAGCGGTGGACCAAGGGTTTTTTGTCAAGTAGCGCCATCTACGAAAAGTATATTTTCGTATAGCGCGGACACACTACATAGATACACAGGATTTCCATAACTATAAGAACAAAGTAAATTTAATAATCCCTCTTTAAAAAAAAAACAATTCAACAACAAATTTTACGTTTTTTACAAAAAACTATTATGTCCATACATTTTTAGCTATTATACAACATGTTGAATAACAGGCACAACTTAAAAATAATTATTATGATATAGGAGTGTGGTTCAGTTGTCACTTCCATTATTTTAAATTTTACCACCATTATACATGCGTTAGGACCCCCCTCATATGTCTTAAATCGTGGTTAGCGAATAAAAAGCTAATTTAGAATTTTTCTTTTTTTTGTATCGACTGATGGAGAAATGTTTTTTCATACTGAGTTTACAGTTTAATCGTTCTGTTATTTGTTATATGATGAACAAACTATTTTGATCAATAGGTATTGTTTTCTTTGAAACTTGTGACAAATAAAGTCTTCCGCATATGTAAACTAAGTGACATATAAATCCGAACACCCAGTTTAAATGGTTTTATTTTAATAAAAGTTGGTGAATGTATTTATCTTACTGTAAATAACAAGTGAAAAAATTTTCAGCCTTATCAGTTGGACATTCCGGTTTTTATACTGCTTTCTTTTTAATTCACTAACGCTCTAAAAATGAATATTTCAGCCGCAGTAAAGAATCAACGTTGGCGGATTTTGGTTCTTGACATCCTTTACGATCGGTTACGATGCCTAGAGTACGGAGACCTGTACGATTTCGTCAACTTATTGAGTTTGATAGGGGCCGTATAGTGGGACTTCGGGAAGCTGGACTTTCTTTTCGGGCAATTGCAGTTAGAGTGCAAAGTAGTGTAGACACTGTGGTTAGGTGTTGTCAGGCATGGCTTCGAGAAGGCCGTACGCAAAGAGCAAGGGGCACTGGCCGCCGCCGTAGAACAACAGACCGTGAAGATCGCCGCCTAAGATTATTGGCCTTAATTAAGGGACCGTTTCTCCACTACCAGGTCCATTGCAAATGAATGGTTTGCAGAACACGGAAGACCTATTGGCATGCGAAGTGTTTACCGACGAATGAGAAGTTTTGGCTTGTTTTCATACCGGCCACACTGGGTCCTCCCTTTAACTCGAGAACACCGACGTAATCGCCTTGAGTGGTGCAGACAACGGTCACTCTGGGATGAGGAATGGAACAATATTGTCTCTAGTGACGAGTCTCGATTTTGTTTAGGCATGCACGATGGTCGTGCCAGGGTTAGAAGGCGACGTGGTGAAAGGAGGAATCCACAGTTTTTTGTTGAAAGACATGTTCATCACACTGTTGGAGTTATGGTTTGGGGTGCTATAGCTTATGGTTCCAGGTCACTTTTAATCTTCATCAGAGGTAACCTGAACGCGCAGCGTTATAGCCACGAAGTTCTAGAACCCCATCTTTTACCCTATCTTGACACCCTGGCAGATCCAACTTACCAACAAGATAATGCCCGACCACATGTTGCAAGAGTCACAATAGACTTCTTTCAACATAATGATGTCACATTGTTACCATGGCCACCAAAATCTCCCGACTTATCCCCAATTGAGCACGTGTGGGATATGATGGGTAGGAGATTGCTCAATTTGCAACGTGCTCCTCAGACTCTAGAAGTACTTCGAGAGGAGTTGGTGGTTGCCTGGAATGAGATACCACAGGAGGACATTGACCTCCTGATCAGAAGCATGCCTAGGCGCGTTGGAGAATGCGTAGCACATCAGGGTGCATCCACACATTATTAAAGGTCAAAGGGCTTTAAAGCAGTGCAATCATTTTGAAATTTTTATCATTTACGTATTATGCTTCATTAAGTACTTATACAAAATTTTATTAAAATAAAACCATTTAAACTGGGTGTTCGGATTTATATGTCACTTAGTATATTTATAATCAACTCGTATTTACGAGTATATTACAAACATGATCATGTAATATCAAGACTACTTGAATTTTCAAGTACTTGACACACATACTTGGCTTGATATCAAAGTGCTAATATCGAATACATGACTTAAACTTTACTTGATTTCAAGTCAAGACAAATCTTTTGAAAATCAAGTCAGGTGGTCATGTGGTCCGTCAAGCATACAGATACAGTCTTTTCCTCGTACAAGCTTGTACACATGCAAAGATCAACCTTCTGCTGAATTTACTAATGCCCAATAATTATGGAAGGTGACACACACTACATCTTGCATTCCGATTTAAAGACTACGAATGGCTTAAATTTCCCTATCAGACTTTAAACACATTGGCATCAGTACTCGCTGGTGGTAAGAGTATTACCTCCTCCCAAAGACGAACGATTATATTTGATTTTTTTCACTGAAATTTGACAATGATCGTTCGCCACGCAATTATCATTAGATACAAAATTTCTGGGAATTCCCAGAATTGTGAATTTTGTCATTTTTCCCAGCTTCCAGGGTACATTTTTGAATCGTGATTTATGGATGTTGTTTATTACTCTTCTAGTGACCCTTTATAAAATGAAATTGCTTGTAGCCAGCTGGATGTGGGATCTAAAGAAACACAGTTTTGTTACAAATTTGCTGAGGTTCCATAAAATAAATAAATAACACTCACTCTTTTAATCAAAAGCCGTTTCGAAATTGGCATGTCCAATTCTAAACTTCGTATTCGCACGTCCATTCGATCTTCCGATTTCACCGTGTTGCATATGGCTGCATCCGGTCATTGACCTATCGACACTCTTCGTCTCATTCATTTTGTATCGGTAAAATTGTAAAGTATACAGAAAAAAAATTGTACTATCATGGCTATTTTATTAAGATATAGTTCGGTCTTCGTTTCACTGATAACCTTTTCGATCACAAATTAGTACATAATTCTTACATTTTATCAAAAGATTATGATGTCAAAGAAAATGGCGCGTAATAAGTGTTTTGTATTATTTAGTTTGCAGTTTTTTGTTGAACACGAATATTGTTCTTATATTAATAGTATTTCTAGACAATGTTTATTTGCTCATAACACCTTTACCTAACACTACTTGATCTTTTAACCTTTGATATGGCAGCTCTGAAGTTACATAGTACATTATTTTTTAGAGCAATAACTAAATCTTGTAGGCACCGAAACAAGATAATAAAGTTAATAGTTACAAAAAATATCATTACCAGCGTTTACAATGTTTTCTACAGTATGCTTAAAACTGAAAAAATATAATTACTATATTTCTGTACAATGAAAAATCACCATCTCTTTTACTTCGCATTTGATTGTTATGTCTTTTGATGTTTTCCATCGGTCTGTCTGTCTTTATTTTGTCTATCCGAAAAATCTTGCCACATCTCTAACTCGTAAAGTACCGTTAAGGTACAAAACTACTTTGTGGGCTTCACAAATTGGTCAATAGTGGGGACAGAGATTGAACCAAAAAGACAAATTTCACAATGTCTTCAAACTATTTGTCGGGTTTCTAATGATTTTTGGGCGTAGGCACAAACATTGAGACGGTCAGAATTTTTAAACTATACTCATCGTTTTTTAATAGTAATATAATAATAATAATAATTTGTCATAAGGTATTCAGAAGTAAACATAGACAACGTCAACATGAGAAGAAAATGAACACTTAAATGGGACATTTCCACATTATGGCCATACGTACACACAAAAGCAGTACATCAAAAAAACTATGGACAATTAAAATATTCATTCAGTATATTAAAGGCCTTCTCTATTAAGTAAGCTTTCAAAGTTTTTTATATTTGCTGGTAAAGCATTAAAACTTTTTAGACCATTATGGCTTTGCTCATATAACTTGGTTTTATGGTTGTGCACACTTAGATTATTACAGTTTCTAGTTATCATATTATTGTAATAATAACTGTTTTCCCTGCGTTTATCGATGTTTAGTTTTGTATCAATACATATACCCAATATCTATATACGTGGTACCGCCAATAGTTTCAACCTTTTGAAGTACTCTCTGCAAGTTGTTATATGCGGTAATTTCAATACTGCTCTTAAAATGCGTTTCTGGCATATAAACACCTCGGTAGATTTTGAAGAGTGAAACCAGAATACTATGCTGTATTCTATTACACATTGTACATGACCAAAGTAAACCATTTTTAGCCCTTCAGTAGTAACCTGACCTCTAATACTGTATATTAAATAGCAGGCAGACTTCATTTACGATAATACTGCTGTTATTCGTTCTGTTCACTTAAATTAATGGTGTATCTTCACAGCTAGGAACTCTGCAACTCTCATTTGAACTTTTTTTTTCACATAAACTGATTTGATAGTATCGTTATTGAAGTATACGAAATTCGTTTTATCAAATGTAATAATTTATCATTGCACCAGTTAGCTACATTATTTACTAGCTTAGTTGATTTTTGAGAGATCTGTTCTGTGTAGGTCAATGGATTTAGGTAGATCATTTATGTGCACTAAAAATAAAATTGGTCCAAGGATTGACCCCTGCGGAACCCCATACAAATCTTCGCTTCTTTAGAATAACACAAATCACCATTTTCAGCTGCAATGATGATCCCTCGTACTTCATAGTATTAAAGTTACTTTATCACCACTTACTATCTAATCCATTAATGTATCCAGGAAATCCGTAATGGAGTCATTTGTTGATCTTTCTGGAATGAACCCATATTGGTTTATGGCGAAGATATTGTTTTCAATAAAACATGATGGGAGCCTATTGTTGTTGATAATTCTTCCGAATATTTTGGACAAAATCGATAGTAGAGCAACCGATCTATAGTTTGACATATCGTCCTTCAGTTCTTTCTTGAATACTGAAACAATTTTATAAAATTCAGGCCTCTTGAGGAACGTGCCAGTTAAAAAACATTCATTTATGATAACAGATATAGGATGCCAGAACTTTTTGTAGGGATCTCATCCATACCTGTTGAATATTTTGGTCGTATGTAAATTTTTTAGTTTATAAAGTTATTCCTATCAGTCTTATAGTTTATGTTGGAAAAATGGTCTACAAATGCTTTTCTTGTGGCATGATTATTTAACTCTCTTGTCGTTATAATTCTTTATTTTTCGCTCATTCTGTTAACCAAAGACCAAAGCATTTTTTCTCTTATTGTGTGAGTTTGTGATGATATTACATTATTTTCTAGTATGTCAATGTACAGGGTGGCGCATCGAAAACGAAACAGACGCATTTACTGGTAGCTCAGTTTTTTTTTTGAAAAATGCTCAGACCCGTCGATTTTGTTTTCGAGGGGGACACAAGTTTGGCAAAACAACACGTTAGCACGTGCTGCCCCCTAAGCGAGGGTGACACCACCCCCAAAATCAAAATAGAAAGGGGGGTCGAGTGATACCTTATTTTAAAGGTCTTTCAATTCCCTTTATAATGATATAAAATTTATGTACTTCAGTTCAGTAGTTTTGAAGATTTATTGATTTAAAGCCTAAATGAAACTAATACATCATCATTAGTGCAGATCAATACATTTGGCAGCAAAGTAATATAAAAATGAAGAATGAACTGACCCGTTAGGCAAGTAAATGTTGAAAATGGCCACCATGACTGTCCATGCAATAATAAAGATTTTGGTCAAAACGTTGCCGCACATTTTGCAATATTTGAGGAGTAATTTGAAGGCGCTCATTCACAATTCTTTGTCGCAGGTCTTCTAATGATGTTAGCTGAGTAGCGTAGATTTTTTTTAAATGACCCCACATAAAGAAATCCAAAGGTGATAAATCGGGCGATCTTGGGGGGCCATTCAATGGCACCTCTTCTACCAATCCATCGATCTGGAAACGTCTGATCTAAATATTGTCGAACATCAACCTATTCGCAATGTACCGCCGATCATTCTGATTTTCAATTATCGCAGTTAATGCAGGATCTATGGCGTTTTCCAGTAATTCCAAATACATTTCACAGGTCAAATTTCCAGGTAAGAAAAAAGGACCAACTAAGTGATCCCCAAAAATACCAGCCCAAACATTTAATTCTTGTGGCTGCTGTATATGAACCTCATGATAAATTCTGGGATTAGAATCGGACCAATATCAGCAGTTATGACGATTTACTACGCCATTTAAGAAAAATGAACATTCGTCGGAAAAGCAAGTGTTGAATAGAAAATGTTCATCGTTTATGATTCGTTCCCTCATATCTTCACAAAATTGTAATCGCCGATCAAAATCGTCTTCATTAAGTTCTTGTACCAGGTGAATTTTATACAGATGAAAACTATGGGCCTTTAGAATCCGTTGGACAGTACGTCAACTAACACCACACACAGTCTCCAATTTGCGGGTACTTAACATAATCGCAAACTATGTAATAAATTCCTATTTAAAATAAGTACGAGATATTTCCTTATCTTTCTTCAAGAAATAACTTTTCTGCCACAAAAAAAAAGCTCCAATAGCTGTTTTCAACAACAAAATGATAAACAAACCATGGGCGTAGTGAAGAAAAGCATTTACTTATTAAGTAAATTCTTTTAGTCAAATTTCTTCTAAAAGTAGTACAAACTAATCTGATGTACCTATTAAAGTCTACTTTAATTATTTAATCAATAAATCTTCAAAACTACTGAACTGAAGTACATTAATTTTTTATCATTATAAAGGGAATTGAAGGACCTTTAAAATAAGGTATCACTCGACCCCCCTTTCCATTTAAGATTTTAGGGTTGGTGTCACCCCCGCCCAGGGGGCTGCACGTGTTAACGTAATTTTTTGCCAAACTTGGGTCCCCCTCGAAAACAAAATCGACGGGTCTGAGCGTTTTCAAAAAAAAAAACTGAGCTGCCAGTAAATGCGTCTGTTTCGTTTTCGATGCGCCACCCTGTATATTCTATATCCTTTTCTTTCATCTTTGTACCTGTTGCGTATGTCCTTACATCTAGTCTGCTTGTAAAAAAATACAAATCTTGTAAGTTTTGTGACTGTTGTTTAATCTCAAGTGTAATCCAATTTTCAATTTTATTATCGCTTTGGAGCGTAGCAAAAACGTTTAAAGGCGATTAAAGGTCGAGAAACCGGGCAATTTTTATAATTCGCTTATCACCAATGACATTTAGAATCTTGAAACTGATAGATTTATATCAATGCGGAAATACTAAGTCAGTCTGCTTGGCTCCATGTTTTGCAAGAGACCATATCAGATGTAGCGAGTCTCGTTAATTAGCGGATATGATTTTTTCCAAACGGAGTTCGAAATAATTCTAAATTTAGCACCGAGCCGAATTTCCTATGTTGTTATTCATTGGATTGAAGTTATATATTTTGTTTCAGAGCTCTGTTCTGTTACATTAAGCTCCTGATACAAGTGAAGAGCCTTGCAAGAAAAGACGTCACATTAGCAGATATATTCAGGGAAAACGTTAAGAAGCACCCACACAAACCGGCCATTATTTTTGAAGATCAAGAATGGACCTTCATACAGGTAATGACGGCAATACAGGGACGAACCAGTCAAAAAACGTGTCCTATTATCACTATAAAAATATTTACTTCTCATGCCTACTGGCAAGGAAGTACTGTAATCGCGAAAATTTTAGAAAATTTTTTGGATGTTATATGACACGCACATCACGAAAAACCATGTCACTCATTTCCGTCGATCTGTCTGCCAAGAACGCAAAAGCAAGTTTTTGAAAATCGATCCAGTGGCAGCAGAGAAAGACGCCTAAAACGAGAAAAGTAAAAATCACTCAAACTTATTTTTTTGACGTTTTTGAGGACTCTAATCATTTTATGGAAAAATGTAGAGGTAAAAAAACTTGGGAGTGGGAGTTGTAATTTTGAGGCTGATACATTTTTACACTCCTAATATTGGTAATTCTACGCACATATTAGAAATATTTCACACATCATAGATTTCTCTGTACATTAGCCATGAGAAAAATATTCTTGGAAGACGGGTCGCCGACCATGATGAGTGTTCTGGTATGGAATCTCACATATTTCTGGCGCGCAACAGCTTAGTGTTTTCTATGCTCTGACCGCGCTACCACGGTGCCACGTCTACCCGAGGCGACGTTTCCAGATGCACTACCGGTAAGAATGACTATGGACTAATTGTATGAACCTGTTTGACTGACTTTTTTCTCAGAAGGTCTAGTTTGTGCTGAATATATTTCTTTATGTACTCATAAGGGCATTGCGTGGGAAGTACAGAGTCAACCTACTTGATGCCATTTTCTTCAAGTCAATCGGCAATACTTCCAATATTAGGTCTTCGGAAAACATTTTCATGACAATGTGAATATGAAATTCTAGTCTTGTAAGTCATCTATAATTGTATTTACTAACATTGATAGCCCCTCAGCGAGAAAAAAAACATTGCAAACTTTGCTCTATCTTTAACGCTCGCCTTTCACCACAAAATGTTTTTTAGTATTTGAAATAAGAAAAAAAAAATTGTGAACTGTCATTGCGCGTCAAAACTTTATATTATAGAAATATGAATGAGAGAAATGTTATAATTTGAGAACACATTAACGTGTATCCAACTTCAACTCCACCTTGCGATTATGTCACTTAATGATAAGTTAATGATTGCTTTAAAGCAACATTATTGTCAAGACTGGCAAATCGTTGAAACTATAAAAAAAATAAAATAACATGTAATAGTATTTTTTACGTATCATTTCTACCGCACAAGTTGAAACGTGGCGTCAGGTAGGTTGACTCTGTATTTCCCACGCAACGCTGTCATTAGTTCTTGAAGACCAGCGTTTGGTACAAGTTAACGACTCTGAGAAAAAAAATTAGCTTTCGAACATGTATTACAAAAAAACTAAATGGATCAAGTCAGTCGAACACGCCCATACAATTAGTGTGCGCAAGTAGATGGAAATCTGATGGTCGCCACATACCAATGATTTTGCCAAGATGATTTTCATCTTTTTCCAGTACGATGATGACGATTACGTACGGTGCTACGCGTCAAGTGTTCGGAATACCAGGTATTCACAGAGTAAACCAGCAATGGCTTTTCTATGCATATACAATTAGTCCTTAGTCCTCACCCACTTCACAACGTTGCTGTCTAAAAATGTCCCCCTAGTCGACCATCTCGTAACATTGATATGACTATTCTCGCCAGACCAGTGGGCAAATCAACGTTAGATGCGTTGCGTGGGACGCGTGTATTTAAAATATTTCTCTTTAATTCAAAGTTTTAAGGGCAAATGTACAGGGAAGTCTGTGATGTGGTGGTGATAGGTGCACAGAATTACGGGGATGAATTTACTGACGCCATAAAATTGAGAATTATGAATTCTGAACGTAACAAGAATTAGGACTAATTATCGAAATAGGGATTTTCCAAATGTAGAGCTTTAAGCAATTTGATGGTTAGGTATGTACAAACTTTAGAGCTCATAGATTCTCTTAATTTGATTTTCTCCAAAATTATCCACCATGATTTTAAATTTGGCGACTGAAGTTGCAACTTGGAAGTATCCCCGGTTATTTCGCTAATTGTTTGTTTATTTTGTCAGGTGGAAGAATACAGCAATAAAATCGCGAACGTCTTCAAGAGCCATGGATACAAGAAGGGCGACAAAGTTGCTCTATTTTTAGAGAACAAGCCCGAGTTCATCTGTATCTGGCTAGGGCTTTCCAAACTGGGTGTTATCACGCCCCTCATCAATACTAACTTGAGACTGAACTCTTTAGTACATTCCATTACTGTAGCTAAGAGCCAAGCTGTCATATTTGGAACTGAACTTTCTGGTGGTAAGTTATTGTATTGTTTGGAATTCTATGCAACACTATAGAACATTACGATGAAATGTTCACTATATAATTGGGTTCTGAAAGCGTGGACTTTCCCTTTCAGAACCAAGTACGTTTGAAATAACAAAGTGTAAAAAAGAAATTGAAAAAAAGTACTATATTTCATTATTTGTTCGGGAATTTCAATCACTGCCCTGCCATTTTTTTTTGTTATAAATACCTTTGAGTGAAAAACATAAGTTTTCCAGCTCGGGACGAAAACATCTGAACGATCTAAATACACTCGCGGAGTATCAGTAAAACTTTGAAAACACTCGCCGTAAACTAACATCAAATCGGTAATTTCGTTGCTGTAGAAAGGTGAGAAATTCGGTTTTTCAAATCCGATAAACTAGGGTAACATGCACGCCGCGTGGCGCATAATTTGGATACTGACTCATATCGTAACACAAGACTTCGTACCTCTTCACATGGGATGCAGGGTAGGGCAGGTTCATTCGCAGTTTTTCGGGAGTTAATATCTCGGTTATTTTAAGGCGTTGCGTTGCTTATTATTACCATAAATATACGCTCTGTAAAGAAAAGTCCCAACTTTGAGGGCATCCTGTATTTTTGGATGTGTGTGTACATACATTTCTAGTATCTAATTTCAGACCAAGGTTAAGTTTAAGCCTAGCCTAGAATAACTTCGCCCATGTATAATTCATTATTATGAAGCCGTTTATTATTATTCATAAACGTATTAGCAAAGGTTGCCTTGGCCACCAAGATCGCGTTATTTAACACTAGTGACAGTGTGACAGGACGACTTTAATTTATACCCGTTGCCGAGTGCAAGCACCTCGTGACTTCGACATTAATACAGCAGATAAACAATTTCTGTCTGCAATCATGCAAACTAGAACTACGACATGTATTTGAATCTTGTAAGACCAAAGAGTTATCCCATGACATGTTTCAAAATGTATCACAAAAATTCATGTAAGTGAAAAAAAGAAACAATCTATACACAAAATATTTTCTGCGAAAAAGTGCTACTTGGAATCCGAAGCAAAAGTTGCAGATCATGAGGAATGGCAATAGTTACTGAAAGAAGTTGCGGAAGAAATAAAAAAAAATATTACAGATACATTGACGCCCTGAAGAAGAAAAATGTGGGTTTTGGAAATTATGCTATAGACATGGAAACGAGTTATAGTCAGAAAATTAACGATCAAAAGAATTATCGGAAATCACAGAAACAAATAAAAAATTTATATAGTTACAAAAATAATCACGAAGCTGTTATAAAAAACAAATTTCGTTAGCAAACCAGATCTAATATCATCGAAAATCCACAAAAAAGCACTTGACCACCCAAAAGTTAAAGTCAACAACAAAGAGTGTAAGAACAGGTATACAAGCAAGGTAAAAAACAAGCAGAAACTATCCAATGCTGCGAATATCGCAGCTGTGGAAGCACCGGTAGGCGAGGTATCCACCAAAGTCAACGTAACACAGAGACTGACTTTCATCTGGATCTATAGGGCATAGCCATTGATACTCGGTCCCTTTGAATCCGCGCCACTGTGCGAAGTCAAAGCGGACATTTCAGTATTTCAATGGGTTTACATTTAATTTATTTTAATTTAATAGCTCAGCGACAACTTATCTCATTCCATTTTAACATGGGGTCGTCCTTATTGAAAAGCGCATTATACAGGGTCTTCCGAAAGTTGGGACTGTCCTTTTCAGAAATATACTTGCGACTGGAATAACAAAGCTGATGAGTGGTGACATCTTGAAGACATTCACCGTGAACCACAGGTCTCTTAGCTTTGTATATCATTTTAGGTTTTATCAAATCTGATTTATAATTTTATATTGCAGATTATCTTGGTTAACTGAACCTTTTGATTTGATGTATGTTAATAAAATTTACGAATTTATAGAAGAACTTTACTTAAAGGAAAATTCATCTTTATGAGCACCTTGTATTGATGCGTATTTTTTTTACAACTAAGCAGCCGCGCCGGCAAAAGTCTAAATGCCAGGCACCGCGGCTGCTGTGAGGATCCCAAAGAACCTTTGTTAATCCGATTTTTAAACTGCGGAAGGTCAGTAGAACTGGGAAGAGCCCCTCTTGTAGGTTGTTCATCAATCTCGACACCCTATGGACAAAGGAGCAGTCGTATCGGCTAGTTCTGGATGTACGAAGTTAGACATGGTTAGGATTGAGACCGAAGTCAGGCAGGTCTGTCTAGCAGGCACATCGCGCGGCGGTATTATGGAAGAGAGCTCTGAGAAGCAAAACCCATTGGCGTAGCGGTAGAACAGAGCTAGATCGCCGTCGGCTTGCCGGTGCGACAGGGTTCCGAGACTGCCGGTTTAAGAAGAGCCATCGATAAGTCCGACAGCCCTCCTCTGAAGAGCATCGAGCGTGGCTAATGTACCATGTGAGCAATACTCATCTGAACCTTACATAGGCTGAGAAGGTCATGTGGAGAAAAGTACTTCTTATCCCTAAACAAATAGCCTAGCTTTTCCCAGCAGCTGCCGCTATTGACGAGAAGTTTTCGTGCCAGATCAAATCCTCGATGATCTGGACTCCAAACAGCCGAAATTAATGGATCTTTGTCAGAGATCAGCTACCCCCATCGTAATCGGATAAGCGCTATGACGCTTTTTGTTCGTCAATGTAACAGAACTGTGTTTTGGAATCATGAAACTGTACAAGATTGATGCAGTGATAACCTCCAGATCTCTAGTCTCTTTTTTTCCAGCTCACCGGCAGAGTTCGGATTGTCGCTCTGAATTCTTGCATGTAGAGTGCTGTCATCAACAAAGTTGTGGATTGGACTGATCGTAGAGGAAAGGAGGCCGTTGATATGTAAGAGGAACAGTGCCGGATCCAAATCCGATCCGGTTAGAGAGAAAGTCAGCCACCCATCTGCAAAGCTTCTCTAGGAGGCCATAGGAAGTTTGCATGAAAGGGCAGCATGCATCCGCTGATCGAACGCTTTCGTAATATCAAGAGCAACGACATAAGCCTTACCATAAGACTGGATGAGTTTACTTTCTCCGCAATTGCATGACTTAAGCTAGAAGGCCCCCGGAGGATCGCTGGTGCCGGAAACCATACTGCCTCTCGCTAATCAACCCGTGACGTTCCAGGTACTCCAGAAGCTCGCAATTTATGCAACGCTACATCACCTTACTATTCTGTGAGAAGTTCTTGTCAATCTGCTTGGCCAGCGTCCATAAAGACCGACTGACATTGCGCTGAGTGGGGTTTTGTAAGAAGATTCTGTATGCCTTTAGATCCTGGTTTAGGCACTTTCACTGGATGAGGGATATATTCCTCCATGCCATCGTAGATAATTTCGGTTAATGATGAACATGAACATTAGAATCACGTTAACTCACACTTCTACTTTTTTACAGCTGTGATCGAAATATTGGACAAGATCGAATCCAAAGTGGCTTTGTATCAAATCAGCTGCAACAACAATAACGCAGCAGCACCAGCAGACGGCAAGTTCCACAACTTGGATGCCTTAGTGAAAGAAGCGCCTTCATCACCTCCACAAATCACCGAGAAACTTGGACACCATGACCATATCGTGTATATTTACACTTCCGGTACCACCGGGTTGCCGAAAGCTGCTGTTATCAACACTTCCAGGTACGGACGGTCATGTAACAGTTTGGCCGATATTGTTATCAATTAGTGATACCCAATTGCTAACCAGTCAAACACATTAATTAATTAGATAAGACGGTCACGTTGAAATTCGCTAATTACTATGTCAGTATTATCATCAAGATACAGCGGAATTCGAGCAGACATTGATTTTATTAATTGTATTTTTATATTTGAAAACTGATCAGAAGAATCTTCAAAAGCTATTACCTTACCACTTTTGAACATTGTTTACACACTTCACTGTGAAGAGTGTCAGACTAGAGATGTTCAAGTAAAAGTCTCGCACTCGGTTGGGGTTAAGTGGAGTAGAATTATACGCGGCTCTAAAATCAAACAAATGATTATCGAGAGTTAATGAGGATACCCGTATATTAATTCTCCAAGAAAAATGAAAGAAAAGATTACTTAAGAAAATAATGAAATTGAACTGATACTGGTTATACAGGCCTTAAAGGCCCATGACTTACAAAGTACAGTACCGGATCGTCTTTTTGTATCAGACTCCATTCTGTAACCACCCTTCTCCATGCATTTCGAGCCGCAACTGTTTATCTTTGTGTAGTTATTCCTAACATCGCCATTAACACTATGCAACCATTTCTTTCTAGACCTTCCGCTCTTTTTCTTTCCCCCCGTTCCTTCTAGCCGTACTTTTCTGGCATGTCTATTTCTGCTACTTCATCATTTGTCCTCCTTCTCCATAGACCCTCACTAACTTCAACAGAATCATCACACCTACTTATAACTTCCACACGCAGGTAATCAAATCAATTCATGTTCTCAAGACGAACTTCTCCTTCTTCTGTATCCAGCATAATGAGATATTCTTTTAGCTACTGCATTTCTTGGTTCTCTTAGTTAATTAAAATTCAAACTTCAGTTGAAGTAATTGGCTCATCGAGTATGGACGGGGAACTATACTTGTTAATGTCGAACGACAAGAGCCCCCCCCCTCAATCACATAAGCCTGTTTTCAAATTTTCCATTCGTACAAATTGGAAATCCACACAAATGATGTTTGAGTATCATTATATATACTAAGTGACATAAATCCGAACACCCAGTTTAAATGGTTTTATTTTAATAAAAGTTGGTGAATGTATTTATCTTACTGTAAATAACAAGTGAAAAAATTTTCAGCCTTATCAGTTGGACATTCCGGTTTTTATACTGCTTTTTTTTAATTCACTAACGCTCTAAAAATGAATATTTCAGCCGCAGTAAAGAATCAACGTTGGCGGATTTTGGTTCTTGACATCCTTTACGATCGGTTGCGATGCCTAGAGTACGGAGTCCTGTACGATTTCGTCAACTTAGTGAGTTTGATAGGGGCCGTATAGTGTGACTTCGGGAAGCTGGACTTTCTTTTCGGGCAATTGCAGTTAGAGTGCAAAGAAGTGTAGACACTGTGGTTAGGTGTTGTCAGGCATGGCTTCGAGAAGGCCGTACGCAAAGAGCAAGGGGCACTGGACGCCGCCATAGAACAACACACCGTGAAGATCGCCGCCTAAGATTATTGGCCTTAAGGGACCGATTCTCCACTACCAGGTCCATTGCAAATGAATGAATTGCAGAACACGGAAGACCTATTGGCATGCGAAGTGTTTACCGACGAATGAGAAGTTTTGGCTTGTTTTCATACCGGCCACACTGCGTCCTCGCTTTAACTCGAGAACACAGACGTAATCGCCTTGAGTGGTGCAGACAATGGTCACTCTGGGATCCGGAATGGAACAGTATTGTCTTTATCTTGACACCCTGGCAGATCCAACTTTCCAACAAGATAATGCCTGACCACATGTTGCAAGAGTCACAATAGACTTCTTTCAACATAATGATGTCACATTGTTACCATGGCCACCAAGATCTCCCGACTTATCCCCAATTGAGCACGTGTGGGATATTATGGGTACGAGATTGCTTAATTTGCAACGTCCTCCTCAGACTCTAGAAGCACTTCGAGAGGAGTTGGTGGTTGCCTGGAATGAGATACCACAGGAGGACATTGACCACCTGATCAGAAGCATGCCTAGGCGCGTTGGAGAATGCGTAGCACATCAGGGTGCATCCACACATTATTAAAGGTCAAAGGGCTTCAAAGCAGTGCAATCATTTTGAAATTTTTATCATTTACTTATTATGCTTCATTAAGTACTTATACAAAATTTTATTAAAGTAAAACCATTTAAACTGGGTGTTCGGATTTATATGTCACTTAGTATAAATATTTAAATTAGATAGGCTGTATAAGATCAAGAGAGTGACATAGTGTCATTATCAAAAGTATCAATCGGCTTTTAAAGGATACAAACTTGATCAAAATTATGTTACCAAAAATGTAAATGGCCGCTGTCTAAACATTTAGTGGTATCATGACCATACATGATACTGACAATTTAAGCACTAAAGAACGGAAAATGTCTATTCGCTCGAAAAGCATACAACTAAGGCCCGTATCGTCAGTCGTCCCTACAATTGTAGGGCGCCTTTATGGCCTCGTTGATTGTCATAGTTTTCTACTTCTCCGTGTCAGCGCTCTATTTTGAAGTTATGTCAGAAACATCTATTTGCATCAAATTGTGCTTGCTTTTGAGTTATATCATGTTTTATCAGCCCGAAATTTCCTACAATTTAAAAAGAAAACATATCTTCACAATAGGAGAGCGCTGTCGCTGACACGGGACAAGTGTAATCTAGAAATTTTTTAAGGAGAGAAAGGAGTATGACAATCAAGGAGGCCATAAACGCGCGATACAATTGTAGGGACGACTGACGATACGGGCCTAAGTACCTGCTTCTCCCGGACGATCTACTCGGACCGAGATATCAGACAGTTCGCATTTAAACGGGATATACGAGTATTTAGAATCTGTACAAATAGATCAAGAAATGATTGTCTCCATATCATCTGATGCCCTATTCTATCAAACACCTATCAGTTCTACCGGTTGAGATAGATCTCAACCCGCGAATTTTAGGCCCAGCCACCACGTGAGCGCTAGATGGCGACGTTTCTAGCAATGTAGTAGATGTGGTCTAATTACCATTGAACAAAGGTAAAATACGCTGCGCTCGTTCATCCGACCAAAGCCAGCCAACCAGAGACAGCAAGTACTTCACAGCTAGCGGTCACGTAGTGATTGGCCTCCAATTTGCGGACTGGTATCTATAGAGTCCCAACTCTTAGCTCCTATTCACTGTGAAGGTCGTTTCTAGTAGCGCTGTCTTATTTTGATATACCCCACACTATTGCTAGTGTATAGTTCTATGCTTTGGATCGTCGCAGGGACCAAGTGTAGTCTATGCTGATGAGTAGCCAAAAAGCACGAAACAGCTGTCCATAGTTGGCTGTCTTTGGACAGTCTGACGGAAGCTGTTTAGACGGATGGTCTTAATCAAATTCAAAAGGTAGACACTTCAAATAAACAAATGTTATCATCAAAAATTATTCAATGCGTTGTTTAAGTTTATTTTGGGGGGATAAATACATACGAGACGTTTCATCAATTTTTGCCAGAAAGCAGCATAAATTACCAAACACAGTTGCACAAAATGAATCAAAATTACTTCATTTTCCATTATTCCGCGATTCAAAATTCTTCACTTTATTACGTAATTTAATCTAGTTTACGTTTATTATTCTCCCGACTGCCGTTTTAGAAACAAATGCGTTAAATACCTGCCAATTTTATTTTAACTTGAAACCTATCATTCTGTCATTCATTCCACAAATTTTAAGACTTGGTACGTAATAACATTTTTAATTAGTTCACTAATGATTAAGGTGATTTGTGAAGTTAGTGGATGAGTACTAACAAATTTTAACTATGGTAATGTCTATTTTGCGTGACGATGTAGAACACCTCATAGGAATGGGTGGACTCTGTTATGATTACATTCTAAAACCTGTAATTCAAAACGGATGTTGGTTGAGGGATGGTAGTCATTTTAACCGGACAACTACGGAGTACTGTAATCATCAATAAAAAATAATAAAAATAGTCGTATCGCTAACTTTAAATCCACCTTTATTGAAGATCTTTGTTGTTCCATTACTTGCTATGTTTGTTTAATACCTTTGTAGTACCAATCCAACAACAATTAGTATACTGTATCTACCAGGCCATCACGCAATCTGGTGATTATGTACTAAGTGACATCTAAAATGCAACATCCAGAATCATTTATTGAATTTTGATAAAAACTTGTAAACATATTTGCTATCACGGAAGTATATCCTGATAAAATGTTGAATGCATACCGAGCCGTACTTTTTTTTGTAAAGGTTCTTTTTGTCATATCAGGATCCGGACAATAATATATGAACATGTTCACTTAATATTCAGAGATTTTTCTGTATTGGTTCCATTTGTTTCATTGTTGTTTCATTGCATTATCATGCCTAGAGTTCGCAGACGCGCTAATTTCACTCGAGAGGGGGCGTTTGAGAGGGGTTGGATAATTGGGTTACGTGCGGCCGGATTTTCTTTTAGAAAAATCGCTAATCGGGTGATCTCCAGACCTTTCCCCCATCGAACACGTATGGGAGAGGATGGAAAGAAGGTTGCAAAATTCACCGCACCCGCCACAAACATTGGAGGCTCTACAAACCAAATTCATATGGCCTAGGATCCAATACACCAATAAGACATCAATCACTTAATCCAATCAATGCCGCGACGACTTAACGAATGTGTAGCGAACACATTATTAACATTAAGGTGGGATATCTCAGGTATTTTGCAAAATTTCGAGTTAAAATTTTAATCACTTTCTATTTAACAGTAGATCTAAAACTTGTAAAAGTCTGCTCATAATTACAGCACTCCCTATATCATTTAGTATATCTACAGTCTTTTTAAAAAACCTCCTATTTATTTTTGAACGGGTCAAGCTAGAATTTCGTGATTCGGTAGAGAGCAGGTATTCAGATTGACCACGATTAGCCATCCGCCAATAATGGAGGAATCTCTTAGTTTGCAAGAGTATAGATTTTTGATAGAAAAATTGTTTCCGTATATCTCTAATACTATGATGCTTTTCACTGAATAACAATTCTCCAAACAGTAGGTCTTGATGCAACCTATATCCATTTGCAGGATTATCCTTCAATTTCCGGGGGATATACAGGGTATCAATAATCAAAGGAAGATATTGATATTGATATTTTCAACCAAAATAAAATCTAATAAGCCTAATAAGTTTCATATTTCTTCATTTCTGTTGACATTTTTAAAATACTAAATAATCGGAAATAATATCAGTACACCATACATGATTGATAACATTGTTTGTTGATGAAATTCAAGGATCTTATTAGCCAAGGATTATTTAGATATTATGACATTATTATATATTTAGGTACTCGTAAATATAGCTTCTTCAAGTTTAATAAAGATTTATCCTCCACTCACTTTTTTTTCAGTGAAACACAGTGGCGGATTTAGGGGGGAGGCGCCTCCCCCTAGACGTCTGACTTGCTTTTGTAATCTAACACCATTATATACGAGTATTGTGACTTGTGACAAATCTAAGTCTGAGCAATATATATTAGCAATACAGATTGCACTTAAAAAGTGGCTTATGTTCTGTTTGTTCTGTAATTTGAAAAGTGTGTAAAGATTTTGTTCGGGGTTGGTGTTGCAGTGAAGCACTATTAGTCTAATCATATTAGACGAAAATACCCCTGGTTTGCGAAATAATTGTAAAGTCTGGTTTTATTACAGCAAGTTGTTCAAGTTGGTATTCAAAATATGGACGTATAAAATGGGTACACCAATTTTTGTGGGAAAACTTTTTATTCGACAACAAAGAATGAGAAAATGTTTTTTTTTAGGATTCAATCGAAAGAATTGGCAGGAACGAAAAAACTCTTCTTATTGGATTTTTAGGTATTTATGAGACCTACAAAATGAGACAACACGTAAAAAGAACGGACTAATAGCAAAAACGCTATGGCCAAAAACCAAGGCAAACTGCAGGTTTTGGAGCTTGTTGCTAATGCGACGACGGTTTCTCGCAGATAAAATTGAAATTCTTCTAACTCTTAGAATTTGTACTTCTAAATAACCACAACAAAATTGGAGTTGATTGGTCAAGTAGTTTTTGAGAATTTCTAATTGTTTATTCCAAAACATCTGTTTTCCGGTCAATACTACTAGTTTAGTTAATATTTATCTTCCGGAATGGTTTGCGATTCATATCGGCAAGGTAGACTAGTGTAGTTTGCTCTTGGAACTAGCCCTGGTTATTGCTCAATAAGTAGTGATAGCCGGAAACCCGGAAAACACTTGTTTTGGGATCAACAATTAGATATTCTCAAAAAACTACTTGACCAATATACTCCAATTTTACTGTTGTCATTCAGAAGTATGAATCCTACGGAATTGAAGAATTTCAAGTAATTGCGTGAAATTATCGTCGCATTACCAAGCGCCAAAAGCTGCATTTTGCCTCGTTTTTCGGTGATAACATTTTTGCTATTAGTCGGATCTTTTCACGTGTGGCCTCATTTTGTAGGACTCATAAATACCTAAAAACCTTATATGAAAAGTTTTTTCGTTCCTGCCAAGACTTTCGATTGACTCCCAAAAAACCCGTTTTCTCATTGCTGTAACCATTTTATGCGTCCATGTTTAAAATACCCCCTAGAACAACTTACACCAATACAATCAGACTTTACAATTTATTATTTCGGGGAAATTTGGTAATATGATTAGACTACATGTTAGATGAACGCCTATATTGGAATACATTTATGAGATTTGTTTAGCGGTGCCCTTGTGGCCTGTTCAGAAAATGCGTCGATCGATGCTCAAAGTCAATACCACACGTCCCGCATTTCTTCCCGCGTATGTTTCTATTTATGTCGCTATATTGGAATTCGTTTAAATCACAACGCTTCTGCACTACACGTGAATATTATTATTATTATTATTATTATTATTATTATGATAATTGAGATGAGCAGAGTACACAGTACTATAAGCTCATGCAGTAAATATAGTGTACGGACACGTAACACAAATACATCAAATAGAAAAAAATAAAAAAAGACAGTTCATAGCTATAAAGTTTGTACACTCCTCCAGCTATCATACTGCACTTTGAAGCTATTAACTGAAGTTGCACCAACCACACTTTCAGGTAAACTATTCCAGGTGTTGAATATGCGGTTGGGAAGAAACCACTGTCGGACTGTTGTTTTAAATGGCTCCTTATGCAGTTTGAAGCTATGTCCGCGTAGATTGCTGCGCGACAGACGGTATAGATGCATGAGGTTGGTGCCCATCAAACCATGAAGTATCCTGAACGTAACTATAGTATAAGATCGCCACGAAGTCTTCGCTCAGAGAATGAGGTCAGGTTGAATAATTCAAGGCGATCTTCATAGCTTGGTCTTCGTGCTCCAAAAGGGATACGAGTAGCCCGACGCTGTACTGATTCGACGAGATTTCTATCGCGCAGAAGCACAGTGTCCCATACCGGGCCAGCGAATTCAAGAATTGGCCTCACGAATGCCTTGTAAATGTAGGCGCAAGTGTTGACATCGGATCCTTTGAAAGACCTCTCCAGCATGTATAGAAGTTTCTTGGCTTTTGATGTAACGTGGTGAATATGCTCTGACCAGGAAAGACGATCGTTGACTACAACGCCCAGATCAGTGTGGCTGGAAACTGCTTCGATGTTGTGGTCAGAGATCTTGTATGTAAATCGCGGATTTGTCTTCCCGAGGTGAAGGACACAACACTTAGTTAGATTTAAGGGTAAAAGCCAACTGACTGACCATTGACAAACAATATCAAGATCTCGTTGAAGCATAGCAGAATTTACGACAGTATTGTAAATATTGTAAATATTATATATATATATATATATATACAGCCCTGTATTTCCGTACTTGTTTCGTACAAACTTACATTATCAAAATAATTACGATGTAACAGATATAGTTTTTTCCAAAGATTTACAACATTTTTACATGCGATCAACACCGATTCGAAGACTGAGGAAACAACAATGCCGTAAATCAAAGTTCGACAACGGAAGTCTGAAGAATAACTGTAACATCTATATTGAATTTCAAAAAATAAATGACTATACCTGATATTTTTATCACCTGCTGATATACTAGAAGTGGTTGATTGTTGATTGTGTCAGTATTTACACCAATTACTTGATTTGTTTAATGGGTAGTTCAGAGTATTAATCCTTAAGCTAAATACACACTAGTAGACCCCGTTGCGCAATTTTTCTACAGGGAGTCTGGAGACGGACTCAAGACACGATCTATAGATGGTCTATAAACATCCTCCGTTGTCTCTTTTAGCGTCCATACGATAATGTGAATTTTTCGGTCTCATGTTCGTTTTCGCCATCAAAGACATTGTTTTGTGTGGAATGGCTTGTTTTACATTTTGTTTTACTGTATGAATGTCTCATACTGACTTATGAAGAAACTACCGAAAGAATAAGCTGATGGTAATAATTTTTTAGTTGTATTCGTAAGATTGTATCATCTATGAGACTTTAAAGCCACTTTTAACGTTTGGGACCATTGTCATTATATCGAGAATGAAGCTCAAATTAAATAACAAATTGTTTTGGGGAAGAAAATATACATAATATTGAAGCTAAATTCCTTATTATTCTTTTGCAGGTATATCTTCATAGCCGCAGCAATTCACTATCTGTGTGGCTTCACGTCTGAAGATCGTTTCTACACCCCGCTGCCTCTCTACCATACTGCTGGAGGCTGTATGTCAGTAGGACAGATGCTCATATATGGAGCCACAGTTGTTATTAGGAAGAAATTTTCGGCTACCGGATATTTTCCTGACGTTAGAAAATACAAATGCACGGTAAGAACTTATTAGAGCCTAGCAATAAAGCTTCCGTTCGTCCGACCACAGGAGGCCAACCATGGACAGATGTATCGTGCATTTTGGCAACTCATCAGCATGATTTCAGATACTTCAACAAACGAAAGCTGAGTAACTATACTCTGGGTAGAGTCTACTTTGGATAAAGAAGAATTGCTCAGCTTCCGATCGTTCTACTACCTGAGACGAAACATAGACCTTTCTGAGGAGTCGCTAAATAGCACAAACCAGCTGTCCATGGTTGGCCGTCTGTGATCGGGCGAACGAAAAAAATATTGCTAGTTTGTTCAAGGGCGAGTAGAACGTATCTACTCTATCACCAAAATCGGCAGCATCTAGCGGCCACAGTGGTGATCCGGCTGACAATGCAAACTGACATACAGTTCCCTCGTTTTCAGAAACAGATTCCATTCAGCCTGAGTTGTCACATTTTTAATGAGTGACCAAAGAATGGTTTCTTCATTATTCAAATCATGTGTTTTTTATAAGACGATAAGTTTATCAAGCTTACTGCAACTGGGAAACTGGTGATACTAGAATCTTCCTAACAGAAGATTTTTTACAGTAACGATATGTACTTCATTCAGAAGTTTTCCCATAAGGATGGCGCGGCGTTCTTTCACAGACATAAAAGTTGAAAAAAAAAATACATGTTGCCCTGCTCCATGTTAGCATGAATCGCGCTGCTTATTTTAATTAATAAATTGGTTTTGATCTTCAACGCAGGTCGCTCAATACATTGGCGAAATGTGTCGCTATATCCTAGCAGTTCCTCCACAAGAAAATGACAAAGAACACAATCTTAGGGTTATCTTTGGAAACGGACTGAGGCCGCAGATCTGGGAAGAATTCGTGAAGAGGTTCAACATCAAAAGGGTCGGGGAATTTTATGGGGCCACCGAAGGAAACGCCAACATTGGTAAGATATTTGTTACAGAGCTGTTTTTTATAAAAAAATCGCTTAAGCACAAGTTTGCTAGCTAAACGCCTTTATTTTATTAGTTTTCTAATACGTATTTATAGGTGGCAGACACGATATTAGATCTGTCAGCCTGCTTGAGACCATTTTAGTTTTATTTTATTTTTTCAGTGAATGTGGACAACACTGTTGGAGCCATAGGGTTCGTATCCCGTATCATCCCCACGGTCTATCCTATTTCTATCATAAGGGTGGATCCCAGCACGGGCGAACCTATCAGAGATAGCAAGGGACTCTGTATACCTTGCAAACCTAACGAACCGGGAGTGTTCATCGGAAAAATCTTGCCCAACAATCCTACTAGACAGTTTTTAGGTAAGAACTTAAGCATTATTCTGCACTCTAAGATTCTCATACTAAGGGTGAGATGACACAGCTTCAGAACTTTGATACTTATATCTCTATAAATCAATGCTTTATGACAATCTCATTTTTAGCCTAACAATATTTCTCAATTTCCTCAATTGTGATTTGTCCATTGTAGGTTATGTCGATGAAGAAGCTTCAAAGAAAAAAATAGTTTACGACGTCTTCAAACATGGCGATTCCGCCTTCATTTCGGGTGATATTTTAGTAGCTGACGAACTTGGAAACTTGTTTTTCAAAGACAGAACTGGAGACACATTCAGATGGAAGGGAGAAAATGTTTCCACTTCAGAGGTTGAAGCTGTGTTAAGTAATTTAATAGGTACGTTTTTGTTTAGCTGTGATTATTATTCTTTCCCCAACTTCCACTCATCATATTGGCATACTAGTGAAACTAGAAGCCATCCTTGATTGCCCTGTTCTATAAGTGGAAGGGGGGCGAACCTCCTAATAGAGAGCTCATCGAATTTCAAAGTTTATAAGACTATTTGAACGGGACTGTCTTACACCTGTAACTGAGGGGTCCACAATGAGTTATAATCAAGCAGCAGCTAAAATGGAACTGACAATTTCACTGTAAATAAAAACATATACATACATACATTTGAAAAGTTCCCACCATGGACTTATCAAAAACCACTGATTGAAAGAAAAAACGCCGAGACACGTCAAAAGATTTGAAAAGAGGACAATATTTTAATCAAAAACCACTTCACCCCCGCCCCCACAGGGACATTCCGTTAGAAATTTTAAATGACAACGGGTATCGATTAGTAGCTTGTTTGAAAGGTATTCCGAAGTCCTTTATTTTGACTTTCGATTTTTTAAAATCATTCGTTTCGTTTTCGAGAAAATTATAAAAATCTTTATTTACATATCTTAATTTGTTTAGATAGAAAACAAAAACACGCGAAAATATCACTTTCTATTTAAACAAGTGTTCAAAATGTTTGCCAAATCTACAATTCGTATATAATTTAAAATGGAAACTATGTACCAACATAAATAGCAATTTGAAAGATTAGACGTGGCAACAACCAAATAACCCGAATTTTTCCGCATTCTTTTCATCAACACAGATATCCTGGGCGATTTATTGTTATACCTGATTTGACGCCATTAGACTTTTTTTATGGGGCCATGTGAAATCCCCAACCTGAAAGTTTGGATGAACCTCGTCAACGCAGTATCGAAAGCTGCCATGATATCCCACACCATGTTTTAGAAACTATCCGTCAGGAATTTAAACATCGCCTATCGCCTATATCATTGTTTAGCCAATAACGGGCAACATTTTGAACACTTATTGAAATAAAAAGTGACATGTTTGTGTGTTTTTGTTTTCTATCTAAACAAATTAAGATAAATAAAGATTTTTCTAATTTTCTCGAAAACGAATCGTCGATTTTAAAAAATAAGGACTTCAAAGGACCTTTCAAACAAGCTATTACTCGATACCCCTTGTCTTTTAAAATTATTAAGGGAATGACCCTTAGGGGCCGAGGGTGAAGTAGTGGTGGGAAGTTTTCAAATGAACACCCTGAATAGTAACGCATATTATTTGAATAAAAAATATGAATATTTTTGTACAAATAAAATTTATTTTTAGATTATAAAGATGCAATAGCATATGGTGTAGAAATAAGAGGACTAGAGGGTCGAGCTGGAATGGCAGCCATCCTGGATCCTGAAGAAAAAGTGGACTTAAATAAATTAGCAGAAGGTGTGAAGAAAAGCCTGCCCACATACGCTAGGCCCATTTTTGTTAGAATATTAAGGAAGATTGATCTGACAGGTAACGAATAATTTTAAACAGTCTGGTCAGCACTAGCCTGCCTCTATTGATATCTACTCGTACGTACTATTTCAAATTATAATAGTAATATAACTTTCGTTCGTCCTACTACAGACGGCCAATCATGGACAGCTGTTTCATGTTATTCAGCAACTCCTCGGCATGGCCTAGGCTTTGTCTCGGGTAGAACAACGAATAAAAGCTGAGCAGCTATCCTCGGTCCAGAGTTCTAGCTCTGGTCTTTGTGCTGTATTATTTCGATGTTATTTCAAACTTGAAGAGATGTAACGATCATAGTCGTTTTAACCTTTTCCATGATACTTCAGCACGGCGAAACGCTGATCATTCATTGACATTGAAAATGTCCCATTCCGTCAAGTGACAGATGCATACCTCGAATAGCTGCTTACTGTTATCCCGAATAAACTGTGTGCTCAGTTGGTAGCTATGAGTCCCCTCAGGGTGAGGTTCTTTGTACTTTGGTTCTTAGATACAATGGTTATTTGGGCACCCCTAGTTTCCAAAAACTAGGAAATGGAATTAATAACAGGTAAAACTATTGGGATTCTGGCGTTAAAAGAGATCACAAGGTACACAGACATTTATTGAATAAAAAAAAATGAAAATAAAAATAAGGAGAAGTCATGGAAGACAGGTTAACAAGAATGAATTTATGTATTACCCCCCTACTTAATTGGTTATAAAAAAAACTAAAATAAAAAAAACTTGGCTATCTCCGTACGGCAACCGTTGGTAGGCAGCCCCAGGTGTACCCTAAAACCGGAGGGTGACTTGGAGGGTAGAACCCTTAAGTAGAAAAAAATACTTGTTAAAAAAAACTCGAAATTACAAATTGACTACTAATCCCCCTTTTAATTCGTTTCCAAGAATTAAAGATTTAACTTTGACACGGAACCGTTTAGTCTTGGGTTACATTCATTCAAAATTAAAACAAAGTTGTTCAATTACGGTGTACAAGGAAAATCGTGATTGCACAAGCACCAGTCAAATTTTAAATAATTAGCTTACTAAATTAAAATAGTCAGAAACCTGAGAAAACATAAGTATCCGGGAAGTAAAATATATCATGTCCTCTCTCAGCTTATAAGTAAAGCAATTAAAATGTTATTTGAGAACCAGAGGAATATTTTACCTCGTGAGCATGGCTCACTCAAATTATATTTATCAGAAACTACCGCCATATAAAAATAACATTATATTATTCTCAGTGCATGAACTATGATACAAAACAATAAATAAGTGTTACCCATGAGAAATTAAAAAGATTTATCTCTTTTTACTACTAAATAGGTAGATGAATTAATAATTTTTTACGAATTCCATATTGTCTCAAACCATGGATAATTAATTGTTTGAAGTATAACCCTAATGTTACATAAGAACGTCTAAACTGGCGCAAATAAAATTACGGATGGACTCATGCTTAAGGGGTTGTGTTATCAGTTTGGACGAGATTACGACAGGCCTAGCAAAGTAAAGAGAAAAAAATCATGATTACCTCTAATAATGAGGCTTCAAAAATGGGGGAACTGCTACTCCAAGGCGTGAGTCTCACTCAAACTCGCCTTGGACCAACCCTGTAGGCGGCTCTCTATAGAATTATAAATCATGTTGAAGAAATGAACATGTAGCTTGGAGAAAATGGTCACTTACCCGCTCGATGGCTGAGTGTAATTATCTGCACGGTTAAATCGCCAAAAGGGTAAGAAAAAGGCTCCGACACTAAGAACACCAAGGGGGCCGATTTTTAACAACTACCCCACCACCCTTTGAATCACATTCGGGACTGGTATACATTTACCACGAACCAATTGGTATGGCTGCTGATGGTTAAATTTTATTCAGCACTTGGTTGAAATAGTTCTGATATGCTACTGAATGTCAATACCTTCACGACTGCCAACATTACAACATTCACAGAACACGCTGAAGTGTCATGGAAAATTACGCTAATTGTTTGATGTACATCCAACATGACGTAACTTTAAGTGGTCACTAAATAAGTCTCATGATTAAAGCTTTACATATTTATTTTTTGATTTTAGGTACATATAAACTGAAGAAAAATGACCTGCAGCGCGAAGGTTTTGATCCGCGCAAGATCTCCGACCATATTTACTACTTGAGTACCAGTGGTTCCTACGAGCTTCTCACACCAGAAATTTTCGACAAGATTAACGAAGGCGCTATTCGGCTGTAGTAATTTTAAAATGTTTCGAAGTAGCAATGCAGTCTTCTTGTAAATAGTATTACATGACAGAAACGGTTGTCCAGCGCCCTTCTAATTTGGCGCATGGGTTTATACAACGTAGTCAAAAAGTCGCGGTATCGCAAAAGCAGAAAATTGTGAGCGACATGTGAGTTTAGAGATTTCCAGTGTCGACCTTGAATTTTGTACGAATTTGATAGGTTAGCAAGAATGATTTTGAAACTCCTATATCTTATTACCCAGTAATATATTGTCAAACCGCGAATATTTGAATACATGACTGATCATATGATAGTAGATCGGTCCTAGAGAGTGAAACTCTGGAGTAAATGCCTGATGCATTTTCATAGTTATTACGGCAATTGGAGATTTTTTCTAATTAATTAATTTGAGCCCCAATTACTTTCTACATTTATATGTTATAGCTCTCTATAGCAAGTTTATTGGAGTCTCAAAATCTTTCCTAATGACGACAATAATGAGATTTACTCATAAAGATATACCTATATATGCTTTCTTAAAATGAAGATATAGCAATCTACCTGCTCATGTCTTTTAAAATATTCCATTTACTCCATGTGTAAGCACATTGATGCAATTCCACTTCTCAAGAACCACATTAACTATGAGAAGCTTCTTTTTATGTATATATTTTGAAACCTTTCGTCTTTTTTCTGATAAGCGCTGTTCATTTGATAGGCTAATCAAATCAGATATATTATTTAAAAAGATAATTATGATATGAGATTTTAAAATTCCTGAAACGAAAGAACTGTTCTTTTAATCACCTTTATAATTTGACTTTATTCGATCAGATGATCTGATACAAATTAGTGACTGACCCAAAACAAAACAAAGAACGTGATCTTCAACCAGCAAATCTATAATGATAAACTATATTTTTATATGTATCAATTTGTCTTTAGTTAGTATATATTTCAAGCTAGAATCTGGCATTGAGTACGAGGAGGAGGGATGAGTTTTTTTACAATGTATTTTTTATTAACTTGTCTGACATGACAATTTTTGTCTTGCTCGGCGTGGCTTCCTTTGAGGTTGTTAATTTAGTATATTTAAATAATACTGTGAATTTTCAGAACATGTGTGTTACAAGTTTTGCCTTCAAATGTGTGAAAAATGCAATTTTGGGTTCCGTCACGTTAGCAACTTGATAAATTAGTTTTAACTGCCAGCGGAAGCCTTAAAATAACGGTACGCCGGCGGTACGGCAACGAAAAAGTTTATAAATCGGCCTTAAAACATAATTTGAAATTATGGTTTTAAAACGCATGGCATTTTCTTTGAATAATCCGTATCACTACTTTCAAATTACTTAGAGTGCTGTCATGTTATAATGATAGAGATATGATAGAAAATCTCATATTGAAAATTTGCAACTCAGGGTAGCTGCGAAAACAATTGCTCGATTCTAGCTTTAGACTCTATTGTTATTGCGGTTGTGTTTTTAGTTTCGTACGTCTATTGTTATTACATTTATACATTGGAGTTACAATAAAGTTTTATAAAGTTGAAAGTATCTGTTTGCTTACCTGTTCCACAAAATATGTGTACATTATTTTTAATGAGTATCTGCAAAATGCTATGTTTAAATTGATTTAAATCATATGTCAATTTTCTTCCAATATTGACCAATATTCTACGTAGATGACAAAATCAGACGAGTAATCAGAAAAAACAATTTTATATTAAAAAGCAATAATCTCAATGTTACATTGTATAAGATTTCATATGACCATTGTGCTGAGGTTTTCAAATCACAACCACAATGTAAAATACTATTCAAATCTTGTTCAAGAAGCTGTCTTCCAGTGATGGATACACCGTTAGATTCAAATCTAACCTAAAAATAAATATTAGTGGTTTTTAAAAAAGTATAAAAAAATGTTTTTAAGATTCCGTGTACTGTTATGACTGAGGACAAGGTCTGTAAATTAAGTGATGACACCGATTTTTTTTTCAAATTATAATTTAACATTGTCACTCTCAAAATTACTTTCTTTTGATGCCATACATGCGCTGGAGACGGTGCTTACACTTCTCATACCAGTGCTGGAACTCCGATACTGGAATAGCCTTCAGCTGGTCGGTTACAGCTGTTTGAGTGTTTCCGACTGTCCCTTAAGGCAAGAGAAAAACGTCACAAGGACTCAAGTCAGGCGAATAAGCAGGCTGAGGAGCCACACTGGTTCTTGAAGACGAAGGCCTTCCGCTTTTATCTTCAATCGACTCTCTCCCTTGTGAAAATGCCTTAAACCACCGAAAATCCTGGGCTCTTGACAAAACACTATTTCCGTAGGACTGCTGAAGTTTAGCAAGATTTTCCGTAGCACTGAAGCAAAACCCAACTCTGAAGCAAAACCTGATAGCAGGCCGTTGCTCGTAATTGATGTCACTCAGTTTTAGAACACAATAGGAAAAACTGTTTAACAAAGAAAAATCACTACAGGCAACCAAATGACTCAGCGAGTTCAAACTTGTACTGGAGGCAGTTCTCATGTTCCCCTGTCTCCACTCCAAGACGCCTCCAGCGTTGCTAGAACGAACGCTACATTCCCAGTCTGATCTCTTAATTTACAGACCTCGTAAATGACGTGAAACACTTTCCTTTCACACCAGCTTCGCATGGAGATGTACTCAGCCTTATACCCCAGACATAAATCACAAAGGACCACAAAATAATAGCAAAACACAAGCAATGTAAATAAGCCGACAATCTACATCATACTTCCAGTGTGGAATGTTAAAATGAAAAATACGTGCAAGTAATGTATAAGTTAAATGGAAAGCACTCTTATAACACAGACACCCACAACACTTTCACACAGGGTTGATAAAAAATAACTAAATTACAGCTTTATGGTGTGGAAACAAAAACAAGTACAACTACCAGATTACAGCAAAAATGTTATCTGTAAGTAGGCTTATTCAGCATAAGTGCGGTGTTGATTTTAAGCCAACAATTGTAATATTGTCAAATTCAATAAATGATCAGTGTGAATAAAAAGAAACTGGAATGACCAACATGTGATATGATGTGATATAATTGTATGAGCTTTTGTTAAGATACAGAATTGAAAAGAAATAAACGTTTCTAGTCATGATTGCAGGAAGTGACAAAATGTATTATTAGATGTAGATCTCAGCGTTCTATGGAAAAATTCTTGGGTTTGGAAAAACCAGGCTTATATCCAACTTACTTTTTAAATCCGCTGGCAATCTCTTCAATTTTAGATGGATCCGCAACAACAGCTGTTTTTACGTCTTTCGCAGCAAACAATGGCGCAATGTATTTTTCTCCCACTCTGTTTAAGTCATCAACTGTCACTTTATTTGTCAGTTCCAGGAACTTCCTGCAAGGCAACGCGTCATATCGATATATTTACACTACACTGTCTTTCTGGATCTGATGATATAAACAACCCAAAACAAATTTTTCCGAAAATCGATGACGCATTCAAAAACTTCTCTGACAAATGTCAACAACTATAAGATTTTGGTAAGTGAAAAGAACCACGGCCACTTGCTCTCAGTGCTTTACTTCCTCGTTTCCACGAACAGGCGTCTTGAAGTGACTGTATACTAGCATTAGTCTGCCTACTATTCGTTTGATTTGGAATTGTCTTGTTCTTTTCACAGATGTCATCAACTTTGGGATGTCAAGGTGTGACGAAACGACCACTAATTCGGGGCTGACAATCTCAACTTACTAACGCATCAAGAGTTCGACGAAATATGGATTTTTTTAATTGCTAACGTACCTGTTATACTGGTAATCGACCCCCTGGAAGTACGAGATGACAGAGAGGGACACGACGCTGCCGATAGTTTTCTCTTCATCAATTATTTTGAAAATGATGCTAGAGCGGGCGCTATCCAACAAGGTCCCATCCCACTGCCTGCTCTCTAACCGTTCCTGGATGATGTCCTTGGTCTCCTTGTACGCACCCACCACGTTTGTAGCCCTACCGTAGATCAGGTACAGCAACCCTTCATTTACCTTTGTTGACATGCGGTAGTGGTAGCTGTATCCTTTGCCGCGGATCTGTTTCCACATGGGACCCTTGGAATAAAACGAAAACAAGAAGTTTGAAAAAATATACATCGTAAGGCGACCCAGAATAAGAACCAACATGTCACCCAAGTTAAAAAGGAGCACTCTATGGTACATTATATGTTTTAAGTTCGACCTTCACCGATCTGCCAACCAGATGTAAAGCATTTTTGTGAAATGAAATATTTTAGGTAATGGGTTGTCAAAAAATGTCCTGAAGATACTATTGATGGGCACTTTTCCATGATTTTTGGAGTCGCTTTTTTTGTACCGCAGTCAACGATCATTTGTGTTTCCTTTATTAAAACCTTAAAAAATACCGTGCCAAGTAGCAACGTTTCTGAGATTTTGGAACTTTGAAATTAGATGAATAATGTATAGTTTAGCGCCACCTAGCGGATGTCAAACTGAAATATTTGCACTTGTGAATATTAATGAAAATAACATGCAAAGGGTGCTATAAAAGTTTTGCAATACAGCTTTATTTATTGACTTAGTTCAAAGTAATTTCCACCACATTCAATAAATACACTTCTGCATCCGCCAAAACCAGTCCTTAAACCAGCTCTGCCAAGTTTCATCCGAAAGTGCGGCACACGCCCAAGCCCTCAAAAGGTCCTCATCGCTAAAAAACCGTTTTCCCTTTAGCTTCATTTTCATATGCGGAAACAGTGCAAAGTCGCAGGGAGCAAGATCTGGACTGTAACGAGGGTGCTCAATAAGTTTCAGTCCAGTAGTGGTCAAATACTCGGTGCAGGCTTTGGCGCAGTGAACTGGAGCGTTCTCATGGTAGAGGTACCAAGTGCCCATTCTTGACTTCGTCGTGTACCATATAGCTGTGACTGTCTTCCGTGTGTCCAAAACGACACGCTCCACAATTCCGCTCGATTTGAAAAATACAGCTATCAATTTTTCTCAACAGATCGGGATTTTCTGACAGCTACGGTTGTGTCCTCATCATCACAGACCCCAAACTTTGTTTTGAGCCTTGGTTGGCACATCCTAATAATAGATCCAAGTCTCGTCACCTTTCACGATGCCGTCCACATACCGAGATTGCCCCTTATCAAACATTTTCAGCATCTTTCGGCACCAGGTCGGACGACGAGTCTTGTGCTCTTCCGTCAGAGTATGCGGTACCCAGATAGAACAAAGTTTCGTGTAAATGGTCATGCAGAATTGAATGAATTGCTGGTGCAGGAAGGTGTAAGGTCTCCTCTATCTGTTGGTTTGTCACTCTCCGGTCTTCGTTAAGCATTTTCCTCACAACAGTAATATTTTACTCTGTTACTGACGTTCGCGGTCTTCCTTCCCTCTCAGCGTCCTAGAGAGTGGAATTGCCCATTTGGAATTCTCTGTACCACCTGAATATAGTCGTACGATGACGACAATCATCATGCGTAACGTTATACCCACACGTACGTGACCACGATGCCACAGTCCGCACTTTTCACTGGCAATACGAATGAACAACTAAATCAACAAACCTGCTGCTGGCGGCTTCTATGCACTCACGGCCATGTCTCAACATACAGTAACATGTAGCCTCCTGCGTCCGTTTGTTAAGTCATACTGCAAAACTTTGATAGTACCCTTTGTACATTCAGTCGATTTGAGGTTAGAAATAATTTAAATTCCACACTGTCAGTTCTCTCTCGATCAGACCAATGATGACAGCGGAATATTTACCCCTTTGCTAGGCCTCAGTTGACCCCTCATGACACAAATTTCACAAAGTGTAAAATATTTTTGAAAGCAAACATTTTTTTTCTATAACTTTATTTTACATGAATTATTTACGAATATATCACGCGGACCGCAAAATGTGACAAAACATTAAATACTTTTAAGGACCAGTAAAACCATTTCTTCAAACATTTCATCTCTCATTTTTCTTCGTTTAGGCCTCAATATTGTACCCCCAAAGAAAAGGTTCGTCCCACAGGGGCAGAACATAGCAAACAGGTGTTGTATTTGAAAATATTTTTTTTTGTTGGATAAACATTTACGCTCTTTAAGTTAGTATATTCATTATTTAAGTGTTGCCGTGTTTTCAAGTCAGCCGTGCTGCCAGTAGACCCTGTGTTTTCACTGTTTTCAATAATTGCATCAGAGGAATCATAGTCCTATAAGAACATGTAAAAAGATTCGCCTTCCCACTCTTTTGATATGCCTTCCAACACTGTCTAGGGCCTCCAATTCTCGTTTTTGAGGTCGATTAGCAGGCGTGTCCGTGGATTTTAGAAAAATGGAAAAAGAGGAATATCGATCGGTGAATCGATGCTTGTTTTTGGAGGGAAATCGCGCAGCAAAATCAAAGAGCGCCTGGATGCTGTGTACGGTGACTCTTCTCCTCCGATGGCAACCCCCAAAAATTGCCGAGTTCCAACGTGGTCGCACGTCGGTTTTCGAAGAACCACGCCTAGGTGCCCCGAAAATGACTACTACGGAAGATAACGTGTCAAACATCCACGATCTCGTATTGGCAGACCGCCAAATGAAGGTGCGCGAGGTAGCTGAGACAGTAGGCATCTCAAAAGACCGCATGGGTGATTTCCTGCATTAAACGTTGAGCATGAGAAAGCTCTCTGCGCGATGGGTGCCGCGTTTGCTCGCTCCGGTTACTACAAGCGCAACCGTGAGACCACTTTAGAGTAGTGTTTGACGCTGTTTAAGCGCAATCCGAAAGAGTTTCTGCGTCATTTCGTGACCGTCGATGGAATACGGATACACTGTTACACACCAGAGACCAAGGAATAGTTGAAACAGTGGACTTCACCCAGCGAACAAAGACGAAGAAGCCACCATTTTCTGAGATTCACAAGATGTCATGTACAAAGATGAGCCATCCAACTTGCACATACCTCTTGCATCTTCTGGCCTACAAAAATACCGAGTTGCAACGTTGTATTAGCACCGAAGACGGTCTAAACAGCATGATTGATACTGGAAGGTAATGTCCGAGCAATAAATTATAGATAAAAGGTTACCGCATTCTATAGAGGCGCGTGGCTTGGTTGTCTCCAGTGGCGGTGGGCTATTGCTGTTGATTAGGTGTAGGCTTAATTAAATTCCCAATATGGTGTGATTTTCAAAGCAGATTACATCTTTATTTGTAATATATCTCGAGGCTTGTGAAAAGCAAAATATTTCTTTAAAATTTCAATATTCAGGGAGAAGCAGGTCGTTTGATTAATTCTGATATGATAGGTTGGATGTTTGGTATTGAATAGACAAGCTTTAAGTGCTAGGTTACCGAACATGTTACGTTTGGAAACTGAACATTCTCATCTAAAATATAAATATGAAAAACGTTTAGTTTACGAAATTAGCGCTAGCTATTTATCCTTCTTGCAACTAATTTCATTAGCTCTGAAAAGCATTTCACCAGCATTTAGTTTAACCACTTTCTGTATATTCTATACAAAAATGCATTCTGGTCTACATACTTCTTACTTTGTAGACATACTGGTAGGTTCAGTCACTTTAGACAGAAACCAAATATATAGAATTTTTGCTTTTCCAGAAATCCTCCCAATGCTAATACAAACAATTATGATTTGTTAATTTTATGCATCTGTGACTTCCTAGTTTAGTCCGATGACGGAAATTTGAAATGTGTCCATTAAAATGATTTGTAGGAGCCACTGTTGTGGTTGATTTCGCGATAGTAATTGTTTCCTGTAGATTGAGATATTGCTCAACCAGTAGTGTTATCCAGGAAAAGATCTGGGGGGAGGCTCAAGATCCAGGGTGACACGAAAATTCCGTCTCGGGGCGGGGAGGGGTGTCTTGGAGATATAAAACTGCATAGCAGAGGGGGGGGGGGGGCGCTTAGAACAGGTAGCTACACTTCACAGAAGGTATAACATGCTGTAATATGTAGAAGAACGTGGGGGCCTGTGGGCCTAGCTCAAAGAGTTCCGCCCTTCTTTCTAATATGTTTGGGTTTGCATCCATCCAGCGACGGCGACGAAGTAAATAAGAAATGAATAAGTCCTTCTTGATTCAATTTACAACTTAATGAATTAATCAAAGAAATTATCCTGTTTTTAGTCATAAAATGTTACCAGACATTTGAGAAAAAAAATATTTTAAATTTCAATAGGTATTAAGAGTAATCCATGTAATTTTTTCTTATGAATGTGTAAGTGGAACAACCAGCGGGTACGCTAAAGTCGTATTTTTCTATTTGACTCTTACGTTTAGTGGATTTAGCATGTAGAAGGCTGGCTATTATTACCTCCAATCGCATCCTAAGAAAAAAATTCGGTCTGATTTTTTTTTTCATTTTCCTGTTGTGCTTTTTGTCACTGCAAGCAAACTGTAGCTAAACTGTTTTCACAAAGCTTTTTGAAAAACTTAGTTAGTGAGACTTCGCTTTGAAATGATATTCCCAACTTGGGGGAATAGGACGGAGGTTTTTTCAGTGTACTCGTATAGTACAGAAACATTTTCACTGTATACTGGAAATCTATTGTGAATAACAATATGTCATTTTTTCAGACTGCTACGTGGCCCGTATTAGATTTTTTTAAGAATGTGTTTGTTTATTTGTTACTTTTGTTTATGGATTTATACAGAAACTGTTTTTTTTTTTTGAGAATTCTAGATTGATTTATTACTTGTTTGTATTTTAAAGGATATTATTTTTGTTTTAATTGCATGGAATTGACTGTTTGTTTTTATTATTTTATACTATACACTATGCACCAGCGGGCCTTCGGCGATCTAGTTCTTTTCTGCCGCTACACCAGCGGGCTTTGCTCCTCGGAGCTCTCTTCCATGGTGCAATCGCGCGATGTGCCTGCCAGATAGACCCGCCTAACTTTGACGTCCCATCCTAACCGTGTCGAGCTTCGTTCATCCAGAACTAGGCGATACGACCGCCCCTTTGTCCCGAGTGTTTTGAGACTGTGGAACAATCTACAAGAGGAAGCTGTTCTCAGTTCTACTAACCTTAGTCAGTTCAAAAATCGTATTAACAAAATTTCTTTGGGATCATCATAGCAGCCGCGATGTTTCGGCATTTAGGCTTCTGCCTGCGCGACTGCTTCAATATATAATATAGGTATATATATATATATATACCTGTAATATATACTCCATAATCATTTGATTTTTTGGCTTGTCTATTGAATACCAGATATATTAATTTGACCTACCATAGAAAAATTCATCTCTCAATCTCTGTTTGGGAATCTGACTGACCAGTTATTAAACAGACCGTCGGCAATGAGTAATCAGGGGAGCAGAAACTCGTCGTCCTGCGACCTGTCTTTAGGTAGAGCGTCCCTCTTTTATCGAGTATAATTTATTGCCGGTTTATTTCTTTCATCTCCTTTACCGCCGTCTCATGGATCACTCTAAGCAAAAGCTAAACATACACGATAATGTTTACCGAAAGGACATGCGATAAACAGGTTACAATAACAATAAGAGTTTTGAGCGTAGCAACTAGAATTCTTAGAGAAATCACTTTGTTTTTTGAATGTTCGTATTTTCAGGGAACATGAATAATGTAGACTAAAGAGTATAAAATTAAATAAAGAAATGGAACAGCACATCTATTTTCTCGCAATATACTTGAACGATCTACTTTGGAAATGTTTGGCAATAATCATTGAGGTAGAATGCAAAACTAAATAACAAATTTGTATCGTATTTTCTTCTTTTTGGTACTACCCAGTCATGAATCACAAAAGTTTGTTCAATAAAAAGAGTTGCAGAAAAGACGAAAAGACGAAGCAAAAAGTGCTCTTCCAACGTGACAACTCACCAGTTCACACATCCGCCGTCGCCACGGTCAAATTGGTCGAATTTTGTTTCCAAACTTGAAAATGTCACTCGTCAGGCAAAAATTTGAGTCAAATGAGGAGGTTATCGCCGCCGAGGGGGCCTACTTTGCAGACCTCCAGAAAACGTATTTTTCAGACGGGTTAAAGAAGTTAGAGAATCGCTAGGTCAAGTAAATCGAACTAAAAAGAGACTATAAAACGTCACTTTTCCAAAAAAATTGTTTTTCTTTTATGGTCTAAGTACTTATCGAGCCGCCCTCGTAAGTTGTTTGACATATTTTTTCAGATTTAACTAATACCAAAAGGATTTTATCAAACATAGTATTTACAAAATGCTAAGTTACAAAACAAACTGTATCTACATGCAAAAGATAAAATGAATTTTAAAAAAGTATTTTAGATAAAGAAAATACGTATTTTGTATCTGTATTTCAGATTAAATAAGTCACATTTCTGGAGACCACTATATTCCACAATTAGTGAGATGATGTTTCACTTTTTCCCCAACTAGTGCACAGCGATCGATTCAGTTACCCCCATTGAATTTTAATAGTTTTGTTATTGCTTTTATGAATTCCATGTCACATGTTGTCAAAGCAAAGTTTAGATCCTTTCTAAGTTATTTTCCAATGGTACTTATGGGCTACGATATTCCTAGTGATTGAATTCTGATATGCACAATTAGTTCCCAATGCCGATAACCGAAAGTAGTCTAAGTAGTCTGATTGGACGAAACTACTGGATTTTTTGAATGTATGTATTGTTACGAGTGACCATTCTAAGGCTTTTCACTGAGATCAGCTGCGCTTTACAGTGCCACCTAGAGTAAGTGCTTTTTTTATATTTTTATATTCAATAGAGCTTATTTGTTAGTAGTTCCATGTCCAGGATCAAAACTTACCCTTACCCTTAAGTCACAATCGTAAAAGTATATCATACTGTTACGATTGTGAGGTCCGGACCATGATTGAAGAAGATTATTCAAACCATACGAACCACAAGCAATACATAACCAAACATATGTTAACTTATTGGTGAAAAGCTAAATGGACGTCATTTTTCATCAAACTAGATAGACCCAATATCTTAGAAACGTTGCTTCTTAGAGAACATTTTTTTGTCATTTATGCCTTTAACACTATATTCTCGGCCGTCCAACTGGTGATGGTTGAGCTTAACATGGTCGTTTGACCATCAATAGTTAAGTCTTCCGATAAAAAAAAACAACTAGGAATATAAGGATGATTTGATTTACCTCAGCTTGTATGATATACTGGAGGTACAGCATCAATGCTGGAAAATCTGGATCTGTATATGATGTTATGCTGTTGATTGTTTGGTAAAAATATGAAGATTCCAAGCAACCCATGCCTATGATGCATCCATCCAAAGGACTGTCTTGCTTCAGCAACTTATAATCTGCAGTTACGTTGAGCCTGGAGCAAAATAAACATAATACATCATATAGAAAACAACCGTAGTCAATATTACATACATTGTGTTCATTTGAAAACTTCCCACCACGAATTTATCGAAAACCTCTAAGTAAAAGAGAAAACGCCAAGACACGTGAAAAAATTTGTGAAGGATTATAACTTTTCAACCAAGAACAACTTCACCCCCTTTTATCCTCTGCCTCCCAGGGTCTTCTCCTTAAAATTTTTAAATGACAAGGGGTATCGGGTAATAGCTTGTTTGAAAGGTCTTTCGAAGTATTTATTTTGTCGTTTGATTTGTTTTCAAGAAAATTAGAAAAACCTTTATTCATCTTAATTTGTTCAGAACACAAAAACACACGAAAATACCACTTTTTATTTCAATAAGTGTTGAAAATGTTGGCCCTTATTGGCCAAACAATGATATAGGGGATGTTTAAATTCCTGACAGACATTTTCAAAAACATGTTGTGGGATATCATGGCAGCTTTCGATGATGCGTTGACGAAGTTCAACCAAACTTTCAGGTTGGGGAGTAAACACAATAGATTTCAAATGGCTCCATAGAAAAAAGTCTAACGGCGTCAAATCCGGAGATCTAGCAGGTCATTCTATAAGCACTCTTCGCCCTATCCATTTATCTGGAAATTCGTCGTCTAGCCATAACCGAACCGGAAGAACATAGTGAGGAGAAGCACCGTCTTGCTGAAAATATATTTCATCATCTTCGATTTGATTTTCAATGGTTTCATTGATAAGTGGATTGATGGTATTCTCCAACATATCGAAATAAATGTTTCCGTTCAAATTTCCATTAATAAACAATGCCCCAATCACTTTGTTTCCTAAAATGCCTGCCCATACATTAATTTTTTTGTGGTAGGTACTGTGTATGCCCTTCTACAAAAGCATGAGGAATTTAATTGCTTATTAACGAATCCATTTAGATAAAATGTGCATTTAGGAGATATTTTTTACATGAATGGTATTATCATAAATTGCTACAGTCATTTGTTAACAAAACTTAACTCGCCTATGGAAGTCATCTTCGGTTTACTCTTGCATTATTTTCATTGTGAATGGATAAAATTTATGGAGTTTACTCCCTGTGCGTTCAGAGCCTAGTGAAATACCAGTCGCAGCAACAATTTTGCGTAATGAAGTATTTATTCCAAAATTTCGCAGAAGTTCAACTTGAGCGGTTTCATCCAAAACTCTCCGATGATCACGTTTTTTATTTGCAACTTGAGTAAATTTAGTAACAAGGTCCAAGACATACCTATGCGAAGTTATCTGCCCTGAATGTCTAGCGTTAAACGTGACGGCAGTTTGCCGAACACATTGATTTTGGGCACCAAAAACTAGAATGATTTCCACTATTTCGGCTAGGGTGTAAACCATTTTGGAAGTAAAATCTGAATCAATAAATTAGTTTTCACTATCCCAAGGTTGTCACAGAGCTGACAGCAAATTAAATTCTTTTTTTCCATAGCAACAGATAACTAAACATTTATAACAATAAATACAGTTCGCACAGGATATCTGTGTTGATGAAAAGATTGCGGAAAAAAATTCGGGTTGTTATTTGGTTGTTGCCACGTCTAATTTTCCGAATTGCTGTTTGTGTTGGTAGTTTCCATTTTAAATTAAAAACGAATTGTAGATTTGGCAAACCTTAACGGGCAATATTTTGAACACATTGAAATAAAAAGTTTTCGTGTGTTTTTGTTTTCTATTTGAACAAATTAAGATAAATAAAGATGTTTCTAATTTTCTCGAAAACGAATCGACTGATATTAAAAACGTCAAAACAAAGGACTCCGAAAGACCTTTTAGACAAGCTGATATTCGATACCCCTTGTCTTTAAAATTCTTGAGGGAACGACCCTGGAGGGCCGAGGGTGAAATGGGGTGAAGTAGTTTTTTGTTAAAAAGTTGTACCTCTTGATGAATATTTTGAAAATTAATCAAAATCATTGCTCTAACTACTAAGTTGGTGGATCTAAACAATTAAACGATTCTTACCTTTGTATTTTCTTAGACACGATGACTTCACTTGGTAAAATATTTTTGATGGCATTGCCGGGTTCATTTAAATAATCTAAATTTCCAGCTAGATACAAGACGAAGTTTGCCGGATCAGTGATGATCCTTCTCAGAGTTTCCATTTTCTCTAAAATTTCTTTACCACCGGCTTCTGAATCAAGTTTCTCAATGATTTCTGTTAAAAATTTATTCTGGTGGATGATGCCGTTCTTCATCACATTACTATCTGCCAAATTATAATTAATGTATGAAAAATATCTACGAGTAAGTAGTATGTTTTATCTTGCAAATGCAACTCGTAACCTCTTAAAAATGTTGACCTGTGAATTTGTTAAACAACATTGTTACAAAAATTGCACACGCAACTGTGAGCGAAAGCCATTAGCTCATTCATTCAAACGCTGCAATGAAATAAGTTTTTACCTTCTGAATATCTCAGGCCTCGCATCGCATAGGCAACAACACTTCTACCGCATCTCTTGACTTGAGATACAGAGTTGTTCATTTTCATGGCAATTACCTTCAGTCTTTCTACCGTGAATACTGTTTTGTATAATAACTCTTTCAGCCACGATAGGCCTTTTTCGTATTTACTACTCTCCACCTAACCAACAAAAAAGTATTTATTGATTCACTTGATTCATGTATAGACATTTCTTTAAATACTTGATGCATCCACTGGTGATTCTAATTTTTTTTTTGTTTATCTCCGGGGTACATAATTTGTCCAAAGATATGGAAAACGTGTATGACTTCGTTTGGAAGGTAGAGAGAAATTCTTTAATGCCCCTTTAGAAAAAATGTATAAGCTTTCACGCAAATGGTAAGAATTTCGCAAAAAAATGCATTGATTAAGCATGAGACCAGACCCCCTAGAGGTATCTAAACTTTAAAATAAAGATAAGGCATGATAACCGTATTTCACCTTCACTTTAAGACCGGCTATTATTCTGGACATTCATATAACTATCAAAAAACTTTCTTTTTGAGTTCTGCAGCTTTAACGAAAAAGTTAAATTTTCTAAAAAATATTACCTGTAGCACCATGGTAGCAGTGTTACTGTAACTGCCACAACTGAACGACTCATAGGATCCAACGCCTATTGAAGTTGAACTACTCACAGTATCGTCATTCAATTGTGCCACAACCTCTTCGTATGGAATGTTCTTGCCATCTCTTTCTAAAGGAAGTTCCAAAAGTGACTCTAGCATCAAAGGCATGTAACTGCGGAGTTCATCGGGAACTGAACTTGTGTCCAAAAGAGCAAACATCTGCAAACGGATATAAGAATAGCGACAATGCGTATTAGCAGCGCCGCACATACGGGTATTTGAATTAAAAAACTGGACAAAACTTTTTTTCATTTTAAGTTACTTCAAAAACTGTAATTAGCTCTCTTATGGTTAATAATGCTACTAAGAACAGCAAGTAAAGAAATAAAATGCTTGTAGTTGAAAAACGTGAAAATATTTATTAAAAAATATAAAAAATGTTATTAAGAAAATGACAACCAAGAATCATCTAAGTAGTCTCCTATCTCTGGTGCAGAGTCTTCATCATCATCATCGTTATCACCAGACAAATTAGACTGGTCCATCGGTTCTGCAGGCAGGAGCATTTCAACAGGTTTCTTGAGAAATGGTTTTGTAATTTTTCTGGGAGTAGGTCTCAGCCAGTTATCAGGTGATCCGAGCTCAATAATAATGCATTTATGATATCAAGATTGCAAGACTCTCTGCTGAACTTCCGAGCATAATTTTGGCGGTATAACCGAAAGTGTTTATTGCTAGCCTCTGCGGGCTCTTCTGACATCATTCCTATAGGCAATAAAGTTTTTTCAATGACAATGGGCCCATGGAGCACTATTTTGTCAAGAGTTGGTGTTATTGGATGCCACGAATATAATTCAACGTACAGTTGTGCTGTATCCAAACAAAATATTTCAAATTTCTGTTTGTCTATTTTATGGCCGCCTTATATCGCTTCTAAAATTACTTTAAGACAAAAAAAGTAGACGGGAATCTAAACCGGTTATTGTTGCTGTTAGCTCATGATCCGTAAAAAATCTCCTACTGGTATTCCCAGCATTGCTATTTCTGAAACCAGCTTTTGGAACATCAACTATAAGATCCATTTGGGATCTAAATTCCTTTTGTATCTCCAATTTCCTTTGTTGAACTATTTGTTTATCTCTTTCACCTTTTAATTGCTATTTCTTCACTAGCAATTTTTACGCAAGATGAAGCACTTCTTCAAACAGTCTTATTCTGGCATGCAAAATTAATAAGCCAAATTTTAAGGAATCTTCATTACAAGGACGTTTGTTTCATAAATCGTTGAAGTCTTTGGATGTATCACCGCAAATATAGCATTTCATCGTGGATTTTGTGTTGGTTGCGGCATTACACACTTTCGCATCAACCATTGAGAACATCATTACATGTTTTACTAGAAAGCTTTTGTTTAAATGCGTGACCTGTGTCGGTTCCAAAGACTTTATTTTTTTCGTGGCGAAGAAGGCAACGGGTTTAGCCATATTATCTTACTGCCTTCGCTAGAAGACAACTGTAACGGAACAAATGAACTTTGGAATATATTTACATCAGAATCGAAGTTATTTTCACATTTTTGATTAAATGTTGTCTGCTGTGACCCATCACATCCCCACTTATATGTCAAAATTAGCGTGTTTCTTTCTTCACTATTCAAATTCTGGAGAACATCTGTCAAATGCAACAAAAGCAGCGAAGCAGTATGATTTAGTAAATCTTGAAGATTAAGTTCAGCGCAAGTAGCAGTGATTTTATAAGATTCTTGTACAGGATAACAGCCTTTTTTAGCCTTTTGTAAGATCTTGTAGCATGGGTATAGTTTCTTGTTAAAACATCTAATAGTATTATACTGTCTTCTTGTCAGGTCAGCTTCGACAAACATAGACAATGCTTTCATTGGGGTTAATACGGTTGTTAGCTACTTTCCGTCATTTTGAGATTAAATGAACGCTTTTCGATATTTTTTTGCTCGCGTTGGTGATTGCATTAGGTCTTTAATCACCTTTGAAGCATCAGTCTTGCCCTCAGAACGTAACTTCGTATGAGTGGCAAAAGTCAACTCTTCAGAGCTTATTTCACCACGGAATGCTTGTTTTTTGTCTTTTACTTCGCTCAATAATATTACTAAAAGATTTCTGTGGGCGCCCTGGTCGTGATTTTGTTTGTGGTATTTCAAATGTCATTTGGAGCCAATTATTATTTCTTTTCAGGAAAATATCTTCTATGTAATGTGCAGCAATCCATCTAAGTTTTATTTCTGATTTTAGATTTGACAATTTGTGTATAACTTTTTTTCGTTGTTGTTCTAAATAATTTTGAGAATTCAACAAAAAAGATTCAGCATAGTCCAATTTTTTGTTAATGTCGTTATTGGGATACCCTTGCATAATGTAAAATTTCTTTCGAGTAATGACCTTGACTCCAAAGGGCACTATAAAGAAAGAAAAGAAATGGCTTAAACGAACGTTCATCTTTTACTCGTATTTGGCGATTATACTGAAATTTGGATGAAGTTGGAAACAGCTTCTGTCGATATGATTATCCAAGATCTAATTATATAATACGAGACCAAAATCATAACCAGGACACATCCAGAAATTCATCAAAATCATTCGAGTTTAATTAATATCCAAGTTAAAAATAATTGGAACATAGATTTCGCGAACACGTCATTTTTTTCTCACAAATCAGCTAATATTACAATTGAAATTAACAAAATATGTTGTACATACCTGCCTCAGAAACGTACATGTTGAAAAACTGGTACACGATTCGTAATAACTTGTAAAAACTTTGAAATATTGTCGTCACAATAAATACGCTAAGAACATACATAAGCAATGAAGAATGATCAAATTCGCACCGAGACTACTGAGAACTACGAGAAATAGCAGTGGGTAAACAAAAAAGTGTGGGGCTTTTTCTAGCATCTGTTCCGTCATCTTAGGCACATACCAGTTTTGTGATACGAGCTATTCTGCAAGATCAAATTTTGTCCGGATTTTTAATTCAAAAACCCGTATGTGTGCCGCCTTGAACTAACGAACCATGAAGAAAAAACGCAACACCGCATCATATGATCATAGGAGTCCGGGAGACTCTTCGGCTCGGCCTCCGTTAGCCATTGAAGGAACATCGGTTCGCACGTCTTGAGATGAATTTTAAATTAAAGAATATGAATTTCAAAAATGTAGTACAATTTTACTCCACCTCATTCAAAATTATTCAAGCGTATTGTTTTTACTTCCCACAGCTACTGAGGAGCTTAGAAAAAATGATATGTTTTTTGTTTGTTATATGATACGCACATCATCATGTCCAACTTTCCGTAGGTATGTTGGTCTGTCTGTCTGTCCGCCAATTCTTGGTCCGTTTATAACTTGGAAAGTACTGCTCGGATTTGGATAAAATTTTCAAACAAGATTACTACAATGCCAAGAACAAGAAAGCTTTGTAGTTTTTAAAAACTGACCCGGTGAAGGTGGGCTACTGGACAAAAAACGACAACATTGAAATTGTTTTGATGTTTCAGAGGCTCCTGATCATTTTCAGAAAAAAAAAATGATAGGGGTTAGAAATTAGGGGCTGGGGGTTGAAAGGGCCCACCCCTTATTGGGGTGGAGATATTTCAATTTTTTGATGTTGGTTTATTTATACGCCCCAACCTTTAGTTCTACGCCGTGCTAGACATATTTCACACGGCATAGATTTTCCCATAGTTTAGCCCTTAAAACTTAGACTGACAGAGAAACGCTTTTGATACGCGTCCTGCTACTGCTCTCTGAGCCACCAGCACCGTTGCCAGATAGGTTAGGGAAAGAATGTCTATGGAGTAACTGAATGGGCCTGTTTGACTGACTTGGTTCGCTTAATTTCTCTGTTATACATGTACATAACTAACTTTTTTCTGTTAGGGTCTAACTTGTACAGAACATTATCCCTGATAAAATTAACTATTTGACGCCAATTTTTCAACTGGGACCATGTCAATTGGCAGCACCAATGTCAAATCATTAAATAAGAGCTAATCCTCTTTATAAATTATATTAGTTTTTAATAAATCATCTATTACTATTTGAATTTGTCGTGCCAGCAAAGTTCTCTTCCTCAACTTATGCAACTAAATTTTCATTGCACTCAAATATTTGATCGTTTTTCCTTAAATAAAATGGTTAAATTGGAAAAATTGATGGAGCAGCACTTTCTAAAAGTTTTCGACATTTTATAGTGGCAGTATTAAGCAATACATCATTCATCCTGCAGAACAAATGTTTCTGCGGTGTCCATTTCTCATCTATGAAAATCCAATGAAAGCAACCAAAGGCCAGCTTGTACTATTCGTCATTGTTCGTCAGAGCGGTCCGGTGGACCTTTGCTCTTAGTTAAAAGTCTCGCCGGTCTGTCAGTCTGTTTGGTCTGGCTACCCAGACACCAAACATGTTTAAGAGGAGAAGTGAAAGAAAGAAATGGAGCAAAGAAAAGAAGTAAATCATGTGAAATAGCTTAAGCATTACTGCTTTGACCACTCGAATAATTTTGTAACTCCAAAAAATAATTTTGATCGGTTTTATATACTAAAATAATTTTGGTTGGTCTGAAATTCACAATTTAATTTTGATCACAGTGCGAGGCGCGGCCTGGAATGTTTACTGAATCACGCAACAGAGGGTTACTGTGCGATTCGGCTTGATTGTAACGCCGCTGTAGTCCAGCTTGTTTTTTTGAATTGTAGCTATCCACTTGCCTTTCAACTCTTAGGGAATCTAAAAACTTGTCTATAAGGTGTCAGACTTAGCTCTGATTGGTAATTTCCTTTGCAGCTTGGTACACAAAAATACAAGGGTACTCACCTCGAATATTTCTACACCATTTCACACTTAGCAAACACTTAAAACTCAAAAGCACGCTTTTGTTACACTAATTATAAAACACTTCATACACCACTTTAACACAAGAACTATTCAAATCCCGGCAGTTTGAGCAAATTGTCTGTTGACACTGTTTAGTCTTTAAAGCGCAAAATACTGTTATAAAAAATTTGGAAGTTAATGTAACCAAAGGAAAATGTGACAACTAGGATTCTGTTGCAGTGTTGCAAAATAAGTTCACGGCTCATTAGTTCAAGATGGTTTTGCAAATACGTTTTTATGACTAACGTATCAATTGTCCATGCATTATAATGAAGATAATCTACTTACATACACAAAGTTGGTCTTGAGATGATCAAAATATGTAAAAATGGGAGTATCACTTAAATTGATTCTTTCATTTTTCTCAGCGCTGCTGAACCTCGAAATATTGTGAAATTTTATGGATTCAATGCTAGGTATTGGTACAGATGTTAACATTTCGGGAGGTGGTGGTCTTTCGTTAAACTCGATAGCGTTACACAGAATTTCACCTTGCTTCTTCAAACCTTCTTCGCCTAGTTCTTTTATCCGCTTTTCAACCTGAAAATAAGACCATGTGTGAAGTTGGCTGTAGCGGAGTGGGAATAATAAAGGGTTTTCCATTAAAGACTTGAGAACTTTCTTTTTAATTAAAACGCAAACCATTTGAGATATCTCAAAAATGTTATTATTGGATTGAAGTATACTCAAAACATTTATGTATGGAATTCGACCTCGTTCATATGTCAACCACGGACATTTTCGCAGCAATCGATTCGTTGAAGCCTATTTTCAATGACTCGGCCACACATTTCGACAGAAATGGCCGCTATCTCTCGTTCAATATTGGCTTTGAGCTCCTCTAACGACGCCGGCTTCTTCTCATCGACAAGTTATTTAATGTAATGTAAAAAAGTCTAGAGGTGTTAAATCACACGATCTAGGCGGCCATTCGACAGGACCATTTCTCGATATAACACGTTCACCAAATTTTGATTTCAATATATCCATTGTTTCACCCGCTGTGTGGCTTGTGGCACCGTCTTGTTGAAAACACATATCATTAATGTCTAGCCCATCCAATTTACTAAAAAAATAGCGTTGCAACATGTCTCTGTAGCGATCTCCGTTGACTGTAACGTGACGGTCATTTTCATCAACGCAAAAAAATGGCCCAATGACACCACCGGCATGAAAACCACATCATACAGTTATTTTTTGAAGTTGAAGTGGTGTGTCTTAAAACACAAGAGGGTTTTTACCAATAACGCATATTTGGTCTGTTGACGAAGCCGTTTAGCTAAAAATGCGCCTCATGACTGAAGATCATTTTGCGATGAAATTGGTCATTTTCTTGCAACATTTCTAGAGCCCAATTCGAGAACGTACGTCGGTTCATCTGATCGAACGGCTTTAGTTCTTGAGTTAACTTGATCTTATAAGGGTGCAGGCCAAGACCTCATCGCAAAATTCGCCTAAGTGTGATCTGAGGGATGCCCAATTCTTGAGAACGCCGTGGAATCGGCGTGCTCTGTTCGTTTGCGACGGAAGCTTGAACGGCAGCAATATTCTCGGCGATTCGACCAACCCGTAGTCTCACTGGCACGGGAACATCCAGCAGCGAATATGTGGACTCAAATTTTTTTACTAGACTATGAATTGTTTGTCTATTGAGACAAGAATTACGACCAAAAATTTGGCATTAACGCTCTTAAAGTTGCAGTCACCGACTCGGAATTTCGGTAGTAAGTTTTAATTATTTGTAAGCGTTGTTCGTTCAAAATGTTTTCTTTACTGAATGTTTTGACACTGACAGTTCGCTAATTGAATTAAAGATGCGATCACAGTGAAAGTTCAAAGTTGTCTTGTCCTTATTCGAAAACCCGATACTACACCTGAAATATATTTTTTTTTAATTTTAAACTTGTGTTCGCAATTCAAATGAGAAACTGAAGTAATACTATGCTCGACAGTCTTATACTTACCCTTTCCTTTTCTTCTTTTGCAAGCTTTTGTTGTTCCTCCTTGCTTGGCACCATTTGCGTAGCTATATACTTATTCTCTACCATGTATTTCCTCAAAATTCCAAGCCAGTATTCTTTTGGCTCTTTCTGTAGCTTAGTTAAGTCAGTTAAAGGATTTACTCTTTGCTCAAGCTGTGAATTATAAAATATTCCACAGTCACCACATGTTCAACAAGATTTTCAATATCCAACATATGAGTTATTTAAGCAGGATCAACGCAATAATTTAACAAATTCAAATTTTGACAGCTCAGCTGATACCCTGTACTTACATCGTCCTTTGTATTTCCATACAGCATATGACCAATGATCATGAACGCCACAGTGTGATGAGGACTGTTCTCCAGATTGCTTAAATTCTCCAATGTATATCTATTGATGATGCTGTACAAACGTTCCATGTCTATATCGCCCTCGTCTAAAATTTTCTTAAGCACGGTTCTGAGTTTAGGGCCGATTTCGGGCAATTTACCGACTGGGACGTCGTCGAAAAGAAGATAAATGCAGGTTTCAGAGTTCTCGCTGATGTTGTAGGATACCTACAATTTATTATCGAAAAAAAAATACAGATTACACTTTTTGTTTTAGGCACTGTTCTCATCGCAACCAACTGGCAATCCGACTAGGCACATGTATTCAAATGGCAGCATCCACGCCAAAACCATAGTAACGCAGCCAGTCGCTCAACAGTTGCTGACACTGTCGTCGCTAGTCGATTTACAGTTACTTACCAGATGATGAATTACGTCATCTGTGAATATTATTGTGACACTTCAGCTAACGTCTCTGTCATATCCTCAACATATCATAAATAGTTGGAAAAAAATAACTTTTAATCAGGGCTTTTAAGACCAAAAATAGTCTATTAGTAGGTATAATATAGTCAGTGGCTTTATCCACAACCACAAAGCAAGAGTGCCAGTTGCCTGAGGCTGGCTGCAGTCAGATCAAACGTTTTGTCTTGAAACAAGTTGTCTCAAAGCAAAATCTGCGACCGTCAAGCAGATCGAAACATTTTGCCTTGAAAAAATCTGCTCTGGTTTACATTTTATTGAGGGAGTTGAACCAGTTGTTAGAGATACCACCAAAAAGGGAGTATTGGGTTTGCTTAACACACCAGAAGAGGAATATTGCTGGTTTCATCACTGAATTTAGAAGTTATCCTGCCAAGCTTTATAATTAATCTAGGATAAGTATCCTAGGGTTAATATATGGTATTTGGGTGTTCCGCAAAAAAATATTAACCAAATCAACAAATTGTGGAAACAGACCAACCAAATAATGCGAAATATCATGCTTCATTTGGAACATTTGATGAACTCAAAGTAACCATTAGAAATTGGGCACAATATGTTTGAAAATTAACAAAATGTATACTCCTCTGGTGTGCTCCTGTCCCGACCCTTACCTGGCGTAATTGAAATTATATTTAAGTGTAAATGTGTCAATTTCGCGATATGAACTTGATTAATGCGTGGGAAATCAAGAAATTCTAGTTTAAACCTAGCGCAATCTGGCCTACTAAAACCAAGAACGCATAGCGTCGGCAGATAACATTTTGTCAGTGGTGCCAGTATTTAGCCTGGTAAGTATATTTTCGAGGGTGGACTGGCCTTAGACGGTCGTCGGCGCTACTTTAAAAGAGAAAAAGATGACTGCGGGTGCGTACCGATGTCAATTTTTATATAACAGAGTCGGATTTCGATTGGCGATCTAGCCTGTAAATCGTTTCCTATTCTGGTACTCAGCAAGTGATCATTTAGTATTGTTCTACCCTTGTTACTGTTCGTCGATATTGTGTTGTTGAATTGTTGTGCTGTACTCTTGTTGGTGTGATTGTTCTTGAGTGCCTCTTTTATCAAGGTTGATAATGGACAAAAAAGGTCAAATGCGACCATTTTGATTACGAATGCAGTGAGTTTAATTCATGGAGAGGACAACACTAGTGTGGAGCAGTTCAACTCTATAATCGTAAAATGCATTGGGGGTAAGCGAATAAATTATTGCAAGAAGAGGTCATATCATGGAAGATGTGCTGCAGCTGTAGTGAGCCACAATATCCAGCGGTCTGTCTATGTGGTCCAAATAAATTTGCGTTCTAAGCTTAGTCCAACCTCGCTTATTGCTAAGATGGAATAAAGACTCAAACAGAAGAATCTCGAAAAGAAACTCAGACAAAAAAAAATTGATATAAAAATAGCTAACAATTCGGATAGCAATTCCAAAGAAAATGAATAGTTTTATGGCGAATCTTAGTTAATGTTAGCGTTAAACTCTTTTGGAATTTGTCACATGTCAATCATTGCTTTAAATTTTGTGGTGAAAATGCTGGCTAATGCACATAAATACAAAAATGTCCATAATATACAAAAAAGCTTACCTTACTAGCATAAGGATCTTCAATTTCAACAAACTCCTTAGGTAATGGTGAAACAGAATACTCTGTGAGATATTTAAGCAACAAGATTGTAGCAGTGACAGAGTAGAGGTCTTTGACGCAAGAAGGACCCCGCCAAGCCATGGCATAAAGCCCATGATTTTCTTCGTCATTTGGATATTTGATTATCAGTTCCTTGGAGTCTCCTTCTATAGGAGGAACAGGGCTTTGCCAGGGCCTGTCAAAAGGCTCACGGGGACCCTAAAAACACCAATACACTGATTAAAAATATCACTTTTTCTAGGATTTGGAAAAGTGGACCTTAGAACTGCAGTTTATCATATAGCTGATCAAAATCCTCAGTATCAATTGTATGAAACTTTAGGTTTTAAGAATTACCTTTGATATAATTTTTTCTTCCAATTTTTCTAATGCCTTGAATACATCTGCATGCTTGATTTGACCTGTAATGATCAGTTTCAAGTTTTCTGGTCTGTAGAACTTCTTGTGGAACTCTCTCACCTAAAACAAATTGGATTAATTTGCTAGTCATATGCAATTTTGTATATGAAATTAGAATGTTTAAAATAAGTACATGATCAATTAAACGATTATATATAGTACATACTTTGGTGTTGTTGGTGGTCTCCCTAAGGTTCTGTGTTCTGCCTCCAGTCTCTGACGAATAACCACACTTCCCTGGATAAATCTGTCTAGCCAATTCCAAATGCATCCTGGACTCTGCAGAATTTTCCCTGCCTTGCATCTCACAGAATACAACTCCTGCATCTTTGCCTTCTTCTGTGACATGGTAGACTTCTGTTATAAATCCTTCTTCCTAAAAAAAAAACACAATAATATACAATCAATACAAGTATATTAGTAAAAGCAGTATAAATAGTAGTAAAAAGGGTCTCCAGCGAGACTGATTTGCAGAATTACAGATAGGCAATCTGGCAGAAACAAGTGAAAGTGATGTTAATGGTTAGCTCATTAACTTATTCCACCAGAAGATACCCAACACAATTGAAAGTCGAGTCTACGCCAAAATAAGCATACGTACTGCGACGGCGTTAACTATAAAAAAAATAATGTATTTTTCCAATGAGAAAATCCGTGCAAAATCAAGCGGCCAGCTTGCAACTTATTCTGTTCTATGACTATGGATGATGGGCGTAGTTGTTTTGTGGAGATGAGTGCGACATGGGGAAAGAAAAAGCTACAGGAAGATAAAATTATTATTTATCAATTGACAGTTATTCGTAGTTAAAGACAGAATAAGATACTCCAAAAATATTCAACGATTTTATTTCCATCCTCCAAATTTGGGTTAAAATCCCCCATATGGAAACCACTGCTATTCACTTGTTGCTGCATGCCCAGGCATATTTAGCGCGATGGCCAACAGCAGAGTGCGAATCTAAACATCTAAAATCTGAGAATTCAAAATTTTGGGAATAATTACGAGAACGATTGAGGAGTGATCTTTCCTGGGAAGGTTAAAATGATGTTTGAGAATGAACAATTTTCTTTAAAACGAAAATGTTGTTTGCTTTTGTAGTCGGTTTTTATTACTTCTAAAGGAATTACTGTGATCCTACTTGGAAACTGCGACAATGGATATTGTAAGTAAAAGTAAAATAGCAAAACACAACACATGATTGGGCATCTTGTTGAAGCATATGTTAATCAACATTAGGATATTATGGGAGGTCCAATACAAATGATATCTTAATTTCTGAAATAATTTTTCTTCATATGTGTACAATGTTAGAATTTATAGTATCCTAAGTAGCCATAATCACTGATATATGTATATTGATAAAAAGTTCATCAACAAAGGTAGCGTTATACTCACAGTGAGAACTGGATACAGGATATGCTCTAGGAATATTGGCATAAGGGCTAGAAACCCCTCACTTCCTGCTGTTTCCATTGTATAGCATGTGTGATCAATATCAGTCCAAGCATTTGTTCCAGAAGCAAGGCATCTGTTGGCCAGTAGATCCAGGACACCCTTGTAAGGATATTTCTCGCTGCCCAGAAAAATAAGGTGCTCCAAAGTATGGGGTAAGCCATCATCATCAAAAGCTTCAGTAGCTGTAAGAAACAGGTTTAAGAGGTTTTATGTATGATACCTTGAAAGGATACATTGTATTAATTTTAATAAACAATGAGCCATTAGTGCTTATCTGCATTTTCATATGACTGACATTTGCACTATCATCAGGTGTTTCAAATCTGTCTCACCACTGTTAAAGATATGGAGTTTGCTAAATGGGGGCGGACTTGCACATATTGGTAACTAAGAAAATGGCACTTTTTCAAAAACGATTTTGAAAAATCTTTTTTTCTTTGTGGTCTATACCCAGAATCATTCTGAAATGTGAAACTTTCTAAGTGCCATTTTCTCAGTTTTCACATTTAAACAATGACTATGTATCTATGTACCTCTTACTGTAAGAAGTTAAATTTGAAACACCTAGAATTTAGTGCTTCACAATTGCTGCATCAAGACCAGACCAACCATTTGAAGCAGCTTTAATTCTGAATGAATAGAGTAACTGAAAATGGAATGATGAGATAATGAACCATATTTGGAGCAACCATGTGTGCTCCTAAGGGAACATATATCAAAGTACATCTGATGATTTTTTTGATTGATTTATTGATTGGGATATTGGGGTTGATTATTGTTTTTTTTTAATTGTTTTTATTATCCAACAAATTGGACTTTCTTTTCATTTGTAAGCCCACATGATGAAAGCACATTCAGATTGAACCATCTAGGTGCATCTTTCTGTAATAGGGATGTCCTTGATGAAGAGGAATTATATTGTAATTGTTGTTTTATTATCAAATAGTCAATATTTGTTTCAAGTTATATTGGTAAATATTGATAATAGTAATAATAATAATATATAATAATAATGTATCCCAAAGGAATAGTAAAATTCGATGTAAAGACATTCTTCACAAAAGAAACAAAAACGCCTGTAATGAATAATATGAATAAGCCACATATTGACTAACTATTGTTTTTTACAAGTAATGGTCCAAAATGGGCAACAAACAAATACACGTTTTTCTTGTCCCATGTGTAATGAATTGAGGTACTGAGACTGGGAATTTTTTTGTTTTGAGATGTGTACAGCACTTACTTCGATCCGTCTGTCTGCAGACAGTGTGTTGGCGTTGTTTTACTTGCGTAATTTTTGAAATAGTTGATCTTATTAAAAGTGTTTAAATGACAGTTGAATTATGAGCAAAAAAGCAGCTTCAGATCATACACAAAATTTGTTATATTGTATACTTTACAAAAATAATTTGCTTTCATTGTTTCTGATTTCTTCAGGTTGAAACATAGTCAAAAATATTAAGATATACAAAGTTGTATAAAAGATAGGCCTTGAAATTATCAGGTAATCACTTGTTTTGTATATCAGATTTATCAGAAAATCATTATTTATTTTTCCTGGCTCTACTTGAGATGGGATTTTAACGTAAATTATGTCATCATTCCCACTTTTTCTCCTCTTCAAGATGGCATAGTCAACTTTTCATTTTGAAATTTCATCTTTTGACTTCCATCACTAACTTTGTTTTTACATTTGGACGCATTATTGGAGCTTTGTATATTTAAATGGAATTTTCAGTCCTGAATTGAGTGATATCTTTCCTTAGTTGGCCATGAATTTATTATTGGAACAAAAATTATAAGGAGATAAAATGGTATGGTGAAACATGAAATGAAAATGTCATTGATGGTAATAACAATAATAATCATGAATGAGCAGAGGTAAATCATAGTAGATGTTCAAAACCTTGACTGTTATTTTGTAGGCAAGACCTGGCTCTTCTCTGTACATTGTTCTCTGCTCAGTTTATTTTCCTTCTTCTCAGTCTTCCAAATACTGTTACTATGTTCAATTTGATGTCTGGTCTGGTATACAGAACAAATAATTATCTGATAGTTTCAAGGTCTACATAAGAAATTCCATTTTTGTGAATTCATGACATATTATGCATTTTTGGAACCAGAATTATAAACTTTATTCACCTGAGTAAAAATCATATATGATTGATCATATGGCATCTATAAGAAAAAATAAAACTGATTGATTGACAAGGGATGAAGTGTCAGATTGGAATTCTAATTAAGCTATCTTGTACAGGAGAAAAAGTGGCAATGTAAATGTGCAATTTATTTTGAAATTCTACTACTGTTTTGGGTTAATTGGTTTTTTTGTCTCTCTCTGCAAGTACTTTGATTTTCTAAACTTTCTGTGTGGCATTCTGTTAGTTACCTAAAAAAATGCAACTTTTACTCCATTTAAGCAACTTGGTTATCCCTTACTGTTTCTGAGATTCTAATGGTGAAGATATATACCAGGTATATAAATAATGATATTAAAACAACATTTGTGTAACAAAGATCAGTTAGTATGACATGATAAAAAATCAAAATAAGCATATCTGAATGTGTGGGAAGTATCAAGCCAATCTGCTTGCACTTTTTTTTTGGTAAAGTTTTTTATTGTTCTCGATATTATTTGCCTCTGACAACAGTACTAGGTCAAATAATCATTGTTATCTCAAAGGTGAACATTACATAATCAATATTCAGTGTAACCCATACCGTCAGTATTTACTGATGATTGTCAGCATCAGTGGATTTCTATGGAACCTTATATATCAATAATTACTAACATCCAGGATAAGTGGTCACTAATTATCACGTTCCATGGAAGATTCTGATCTTGTGACATTTGCTACTGAAGTCCTAATTTAACTACATTTAATTTTGAAAGGTTAATTCCAGCTGTTGCTGTTGTCTTCTGAGGGGTCAAAAATAGGAAGCATGGTCCTGTGAGCTGTGGTCATGCTCATGGTAAAATGTCCATATTCATTCATATTCACGGTTTTTTCCAATACTTTTTCAATGTGGCAGTGTGATATTTATCTTGTTAAAGGGAATATGAATAAGTAAGTCATTATTTTTAAGGGCTAAAAATAGTTTACAAAGAGTTCAAGCACCTTACCTAAACAGAAATACCCATTGACAACAGGTCCTTCAACTTCAGCAATAACCACAGTCAGGCCAGTCTTTTTGGAGATATATTCGGATACCGGGATCCTATCAAAGGCCTGTAAGGAGTAGAGTAACTCAAAACCGACCATATTTGACGGTGGAGTTTTATCTATCGGTGGCATAAATATTGGTTAGACAGAAGGTTATTATATTTCGATAAGTTGAAATACTTTTCTACAGTTTTCGTGTATCAATCTAGCTACTACTGCGGTATGAGATATTTACGTTGGAGCAGCTACGAAAAGTTCTGAAATGTTGACTAATTTTTAAGATCCCGTTAGATATACTCGGCCTCTCAAAAATCACAAATAAATGAGGTTATGTTATGAATTTAAGATGTGTCATGTTGACTGTTTACAGACAGCATGTTGATGGAGATATCGAATATCGATTCGATAGTAGGCAGTCTACTCTCTAGCACAAAACATATTTATATATATACGCTCTCTAGACTGGGGTAAGAATATCGATCATGTACAGATAGGTTTGTTCCATGTTCCGATAAGCAGTTCCGAATTACCTAAGAATCAATTCCAAATTATGTTTCTGCGCATGCCCGAAGATCAGAACTAGTTAAGAACTATTCTATTGAAATAATCCGCAGTTCTATCTCTTTTAGAATGCAACGAATTCATCATGTTACCTTTAGAGGAAGCAAGCTATGCTACAGTAGCAGAGGAGGAAATTAAGTGAAACAACACTAATTTATTAATTGACTTGAAATGAAAGGAATACATAAGATTTTAATATCTCTAATAACATGAATTAAATAAATTCATTAAAATTATTCCAAAGTAATCTTCATCGCTCAGTTTTTGAATATGGATACAATAGGCAGTTAAGAAGTAGGTTTCATATATGTATGAGAAGATTGAAAAGTTAGAAAGGGCAAAACACTTTTTTACAAATTAGTGGTTAATATATTGTGACCTATTTCCAGTTGTAGGAGTATCCTTCAATTTTTCGACTTCCTGTATAAAAATATCATCTCAAAACTAATAAACACGTTAAACAGTAATAATCTCATTTTATATAATTTCCCGAATATTGACTTAATAAATTCCCGTTCATTCACATATCAGACACAAATAAAAAGATGTTTACATTTTAGAGTATCTGTAAATGGAAAATATCTCAAGAATAATCAAATTGTTAGGAAGGTCTGTCCCACGTTTGATACAATGAATCAAGTGATGTGTAAACAGATATCTATATTTACATGGTCTTGAATTGATGGATATTCCCTTATCTTTTATTTTGAAATGCTCAGCGTATTATGGGGTAATCAGAACAATATAAATAGTGCTTTATAGTGTGACGTTAAGCTGCGGTATTCAGTTTTTTCATAGTTTGCAAAATGTGGTTCATGAAATTTTTGGTTGTCATTTCCTGTCTCTGCAACGTATGTCTATGGTAAGCGAAGTGGAAGCTGTACTATAATGAACTAACTTGCATATAAAACTATTCATAACTCTTGAGGGTTGAGCTTTCTGTAAACGTCGGTTAGAAAATGTCTAATTACGAGGAGACTCAGCAAGGGTATGGGATTAATCCCTTAACATACCACATGCAATTTTAATCTCAAACTTGAATAACTCCAGTGTACGTCTAAAAGTAGGATAGATTTTATTCGGAGTATTCTTCAAATATTTAAACTAATTTTTCTCCAAAAGGGATGGGACAAAAATTTTCCAAAATCGATAGTTAGATTTATATAAAATGAAATGCTTTATCTGAAAATGCATCAGATGTTTGAGAAAACAGTGGTTTAGATGTAGTTTTCTTTTCGCTGCTGTAGGCTACAAAATACTTATAATTGAATCATTAACTTAAAATTTAACATTAAATACCTTATCTCAAAATGAGATGTTTCAGAAAAAACAGTGGCGGATAAACGTTTACTTTTGGCGTCCGTAGGTGTTTAACATCCCAGTTACTATGGTACTGGTGTAAAATTCGCAAAAATGTTTGTTTATCGCTACCGCATGAACAAAAGTTCAGCTACAATATAGATATTTTTTAGGTTCTATATATAAGTAGGTTAGGTATAGCAAGAATCGTTAGTTATTCTTTAGTTTAGTAACCTATATAAAGCTATTTATTGCTATCTGTCGCATGAATGTAGTGTTTTTTGTACGTAATGAGAAAACGTAACTAAATAAATAAATAATCCAGTAATAGCTTTAAAATGGAAAATTTGAATTGTCATATTTTAGCCTGAAACTGAAGTTTGAGCTTTTACCTTCTCAAGTAAGGGATCGTAAAACATTTGTAAGCAAACTTTGAACGAAGATGAGCATTGTTTTACACTTACTGTTTGACATCCAGTTAGAATAAGAGGTAATCGGGTATCATGTTCCTTTCACACTCCATTATATTTAAGGAACATTCACTTACTCATCAAGGATTAAGTCTTGAGAAAATGTCTTACACGCTTCTTATATGAATAATTAACAGTTCTATACGTAACAATTTTTCCATTGTTAGAATCATCAATAATGATTGAAATTAATCAATTTCTACTTACTGCTATTATTCACGAAGCTGTCATCGAAGATACTTCACCACTAATATTTATACAGCTATTTTTTTTTTTACCAATAAATAGAAATGTACTTTAAAAAGGTTAGTTTCTCATACAGATGGCGCTTAGAGACAGTAACTATTTCAAAGTAGATATCTAATTAGTATGGAGAGGCAAACATAACTGTCACAAATTCTCACGGATGACGCTACGGTTTCTCATTTGAACTCAACTAATTTTTTTGACGCGGGGATATAGTATTAGATTAGCTAACTTCAGGCAGGTTACTTTGATGCTGAATATTATGGGGTTTACCTTAAGTTGAGTTTTAAAGCGAATAATTCCTGTACGAAGCTTTAAAAGAGATTTTCACTGGTATGTGAATCAATATACTGACTAAATAGGTCTACCCTGTCACTGTCAGGCATTCAATAACTATAATACCATGCTTAAGATACAGATTTTACAATCTCTCAAATAATGTTGAAATAATTATTTGCCTTTCCATTTTATTGGGCTCACGGCGTGTCCAGGAATCTCCTAAAAATATATGTTATTATTATCACTTTCAATAGATATAGGTATAGGATATAAACCAATCAACTTACTCGCTGATATTGAAGTTTCTTGGACTTGGAACCTTCCACTAACATTGTTCACATTCAATACAGTATTATTATTAAATATTATAATATTAAGAAAGACTAAACAAATAAATCCATGAAAAAATACTTTGTTAATCAGCAGCAAAGATCTGAATATTTCCAAATCGCACTGAATTCTTGAAACGGATTGGGGAGCTCAAATGTATTTTTATGGGTAATATGGGTAATAAATCATTAAGCATCCAAAATGTTCGTTTGCTCTCACTTTAAGCCTACGTTATTAAATTCGACTTTGATATGTAGCTTAATAATGCAAAACCCTGTATAGAATATTAAAAAAGCATCCGTGTTACCGTGCATAAAAAACCATCAGTTGCATGCTTCCAGTCGCTTTAGTCCTTCCCTTCACTAAAAGAAAAGAATAATCAGAATTCACCTGTCGATTCAAACTGCAACTTTTAATTCATTATAACAACATAATAAGAAACACAGTTCTGAAATTACAAGCAGCTAGCAACCTATTTGAATACCTATTGTGAATAAAACAAAAATAATTTCATAATCGTTTTGTAAAAAATTTCACCCCATAATGATGTTATAAATTTTATGTAATATGTATCTAACAGTAATCACATAATCTTACACCAAGCATTTGTTTGCAATGCATATTTAAATAAAATAAAATAAAACAAAACATGTTTCTTTCAAACTAGAAAAACAAATTTAACATGTGATACATCGATGAATTCGTAGGAAAAGGGTGTACTATTTTTTCAGATCATATAAAAAATAAATATCATGTAAATAACAATCCTAGAATCCATAAAGTATCTACATTTTTTTATTAAGTCTGAGACAGACACCGTATTTAGAAAATAGTTTGATGATGACTCCGAGGAAACGAAGCGTCACACTGAAAATATGAAAACGCAATTTTATTGAGCTTGAAGGATGGCAGTGGAAAAATATAGTTAATTTCTGATGTCTACTGAAATAATGGAAAAAGTAAAGTCGTCTAATTCATTTTCCCAAAAAAGTCGAAACAGGTGAAAGGTAACCATATTCTGGAAAATGTAGGTATTTAAATTGAGCAACTTGTTGCAAATATCCTATAGAGGGTAAGTCGGTAGAAAATCAAGCTCTAGGATCAAAAATTGCAAACGTTAAATAATATACTAAGTGACATATAAATCCGAACACCCAGTTTAAATGGTTTTATTTTAATAAAATTTTGTATAAGTAGGTACTTAATGAAGCATAATAAGTAAATGATAAAAATTTCAAAATGATTGCACTGCTTCAAAGCCCTTTGACCTTTAATAATGTGTGGATGCACCCTGATGTGCTACGCATTCTCCAAGGCGCCTAGGCATGCTTCTGATCAGGTGGTCAATGTCCCTCTGTGGTATCTCATTCCAGGCAACCACCAACTCCTCTCGAAGTGCTTCTAGAGTCTGAGGAGGACGTTGCAAATTGAGCAATCTCCTACCCATCATATCCCACACGTGCTCAATTGGGGATAAGTCGGGAGATCTTGGTGGCCATGGTAACAATGTGACATCATTATGTTGAAAGAAGTCTATTGTGACTCTTGCAACATGTGGTCGGGCATTATCTTGTTGGTAAGTTGGATCTGCCAGGGTGTCAAGATAGGGTAAAAGATGGGGTTCTAGAACTTCGTGGATATAACGCTGCGCGTTCATGTTAGCTCTGATGAAGATTAAAGGTGACCTGGAACCATAAGCTATAGCACCCCAAACCATAACTCCAACAGTGTGATGAACATGTCTTTCAACAAAAAACTGTGGATTCCTCCTTTCACCACGTCGCCTTCTAACCCTGGCACGACCATCGTGCATGCCTAAACAAAATCGAGACTCGTCACTAAAGACAATACTGTTCCATTCCTGATCCCAGAGTGACCGTTGTCTGCACCGCTCAAGGCGATTACGTCGGTGTTCTCGAGTTAAAGGGAGGACCCAGTGTGGCCGGTATGAAAACAAGCCAAAACTTCTCATTCGTCGGTAAACACTTCGCATGCCAATAGGTCTTCCGTGTTCTGCAAACATTCATTTGCAATGGACCTGGTAGTGGAGAAACGGTCCCTTAAGGCCAATAATCTTAGGCGGCGATCTTCACGGTCTGTTGTTCTACGGCGGCGCCCAGTGCCCATTGCTCTTTGCGTACGGCCTTCTCGAAGCCATGCCTGACAACACCTAACCACAGTGTCTACACTTCTTTGCACTCTAACTGCAATTGCCCGAAAAGAAAGTCCAGCTTCCCGAAGTCCCACTATACGGCCCCTATCAAACTCACTAAGTTGACGAAATCGTACAGGTCTCCGTACTCTGGGCATCGTAATCGATCGTAAAGGACGTCGATTCTTTACTGCGGCTGAAATATTCATTTTTAGAGCGTTAGTGAATTAAAAAAAAGCAGTATAAAAACCCGAATATCCAACTGATAAGGCTGAACATTTTTTCACTTGTTATTTACAGTAAGATAAATACATTCACCAACTTTTATTAAAATAAAACCATTTAAACTGGGTGTTTGGATTTATATGTCACTTAGTATAACAAAACCAAAATATTTTCAACCAATTTTCATTTTGTTTAAGCGTTGCGTAATCAACAAAAACAGAACATTTGTATATAATTATATATCAGCGATTTGCAAAGTTACTAGATGTGATGTGGGCATAATTGGGTTACAGGAAAAACAACATCACTAGTGGTCATGTAGACAATCACGTAGTCCTCTAAAAAACATATTTACCACTACATGAGAATGTATATCAATCTAAACTTAGAAGCAAAAAATAAAATTATATGCGATTATGTGTTATCACATGAAGGAGAGTTGTCACGTAAAATAATATACGACATAAGCGAGATACTTTCAAAGGCGGGAGAGGCGTTAATAAAGTTTTTCAATTAAATATTATGTAAACGAGCAAATTGCAACTTTTTGTTAAGAAACTAATTATTTTCCATAGGTAGGTTAGATACTCAAGTAACTCATGACTTACGCACTTTGAATGGAATGAATATTCATAACAAGTTTTGAAGTTATGCTTAAAGAATTGAGCATATGAAACTTTACGCACAGTGAAACGTTGAGTCAAAAGAAAGAAAATCTACCCACCAGGTTTCGAAATATCTGCTTGGAAAGCTGTTAAACTCGTGGTTTCTGACTTATTGATGTATTACCAGATTCTGAACCGTTATTAAAAAACTATTTTGGGCTCTGTATCAACTTTTGCTTGATACGAGTTGAAGACAATGACGACATTAAATACTATAAAATATCATTGCATTTTTTCTAAAAGTTTATTTTTCAGTGAGTTTGTTGTGGATGACTTCTCTACTAATGCTAGTAATACAACATCCTGGAAAGAATTATCCGATACCATTATGGAAGGAGGCAGGTCCAAAGCAGTGTTGGTATCGCACAACACTGACCAATTTCAGAGGGCAGTAAGTATATACAAAACAATTTTGTACCTTTCAATATCATTTAAGAATCCCGTTTTATGCAAAATCTCAAGTACCAAGATAGATGATATTACGACGGTTAAAAAAAGGTTCCCAGAGAGCTCCATCAGCGACAGTGGAAGGTACGAGTCAAAACCCGGCAACACCGCTGAGCGCTGCTGTTTCTCCAATTCTCCACCCTAGATTCCCCCTCCTCTCTCATTCTTGTCTGAGCAGTCGTTTACTATGACGCTTCCTCTTTTTGATCCCGTCAAGTGCAAAAATCGTTCCATACAAGGGCGTACCAGGGGGGGGGGTGAGATTTCTTTCCCTAGCTTGGTGAAAATTAAATGAAGTTAGTTTTTAAAAAAAAAATTAAATTATGATTTAAATGAGTATATGATAATATCAAGGCTCACTCATTTTTTTAAAATTAAATGTATGACATGCTATTATATTTGAAATCAAAATTAAAAACTATTCGTCTATGCAAAAATGGCATACATAAGATAAATTAAAGTCGAGACGAGGGATAAGAAATTAAAAAACATATTAATGTCCTATACTATATGCCGCCTTGCAAGATCATAAAGTGCCAATGTCAATGAGCTGTTTGTTTTGAAATCCTATCTCAAATAAATTCAGAAAAAATTAGAAACGAGTTTGGGAAAATTCGTTTGCTTTTTCGTGTATCTCTGGAGATACTGGAAGCGTCAACACTTGTGAAATGCATTTTCTAAAATACATAAATACGCAACTTTGTCCCTATTCAACCGGTCCGTATCTCTTACCGTTTCGGAGAACACACTGGTGAAAATATGACAAATTTGTTTTTCAAATTATTCTATGGCTATGACATATTCTATAAAACTATTTTTGGCTGTATGTCATATACTATCTCAACTGTTGTTTTCAAATATTGCAAACGACTAAATTATTACTTAAAAAAGTGTTTGTTTGAATGTTTCAAAAAAGCAATCCTAGTGTTTCCTATATTCGTATGAATAGTCAAATCGTCGTGGAAGACTCTATATACCTAAATGAAATGCATATATCGGGTAAACCAACGAAACGGTTGCTATTTGTTATTCTCCTGGTATATTTTGGGAATGTCGCTCGGACACGTCAATTTTGATTTCTAGTGGGATGTCTTTTCATCTACAGCCGTGATCCAAAAATAAGATATTGCGTTACACTTTAGATTTTTAAATGGAACCCCCATTTTTTGAGTTTTTAGATTTGTCATAAAGTTTTTAGTAACTTTTGCATAAAACGCTTATACCTAGCTTCAGTAGTTGTGAAACTATTTGAGTTCATAATAAACTTCAAGAAATTGTGATAATGTATAATCATAAAAATAATAAATATAGTTCCTATAGTAACAAGACACTACTTTAAAATTAAAAACATGTCTCCACGTAATAAAAAACAAAAAACAACTCACAGTTTGCACGCACATTAAATTCAATATGGCAACGAGTGCTGAAAGTGATGCAATAATAAAGATGTTCGAATCTATTCCTCACATTTTCAAGTATGTCTTTAGCTATTTGTCTATACCTACTCAGCCATAATATGCTGACGAAGATCTTGAATGGAATCTGGCTTCGTACTAAAAACATTATTATTCAAATGCCCCCAAAGAAAGTAATCTCAAGGACTTAGGTCCGGAGATCTCAGTGGCCACTCGATAAGACCTCGTCTTCCGATCCACTGATCGGGAAATAGATGTCCAACAAGTGTCAAACTGGAGCCACATAGACCGACGGTGCACCATCTTGTTGGAAATGTATGTAAATTTCATTGTAATTAACGCCATTTTCTATTATTTCGGTAATTCGTGGCACTATTGTATTTTATAACGTCTCGCCCGTCATATTTCCAGGAATAAAGAAAGGTCCTACAATATGATTTCTGAAAATGCCGGCCCACACATTTATTTTTTCAGGATATTGCGGGTGTACGAGTACATCTCGAAACAAATGTGGATTCGAGTCACTCCAATATCGACAATTATGACTATTTACATCACCATGTAAATACAACGTACACTGATCCCAGAAAAAAATATTAAATATAAGATTTGCATTGTTGATTAAACGTTTGCAAAACTCTAACCTTCTATTAAAATCGTCTACATTAAGCTCAGCGGAGTCACAAATGGAGGTGCGACCTTTTCGTTGGGCCACCCTGTAGAAAAAAAGTTATCATGCACGTACATATGATTTGTGGAACTACCACCAAAACATTTTTTGGAGGTGCCCACCCTACCGTTTTGAGCTGGGTTCCAAAACTCGCTTGTTACACGTTGCACGTCAGCGGGAATTGACCAGTGGATATTTATCTTCCCTTGACAGAGGTATATGGCGACAAGTGTATGTCAGTTCAACACGCGCGAAAAATGTGCAGGAAGTTTAGTACCTGTTGGAAGGAAGTCCATTATGAAGAACAGAGTGGACGATTGTCAGTCTCGGAGGCGGTTATAAAAATAATAATAGTCTGCGTCCTTCCAGTGTGGCTGGAGCTCATTTAGAACCAAATTTCTGAATCAACGGGTAGATTGTTCCACAATCTTGATACCCTAGAAATAAAGGAATCGTCGAATCGGCCAGTTCTAGATTTACGAAGTTTGGAAGACATTGTTTAATTCCATCAATTTTCATACCTACATATCAACTCAAATTCTGCGTTTTCCAGATTTTGTTCACATTACTGGATCCACAATCTTGCGGGGCAGCCATAGCAGGAATAAAGAAGTATGTGGAAATGGATCTTACGGAATATAAAAGTATAGAATTGAGGGTGAGAGGTAGAGGTCAATATACAGGATATGAGTTCGTGATCAGACATAAAAGTGAACGTGGGCCGAAAATACCATCTTACGTGCATTACTTTGAGGTAAGTATTCCATTGCATAAAGCAGGGAAACAATACAACAAAACTACCTAGCGGTTGATCTTCAATTATCAGGGATAATCAGTGTGATACACTATAAGCAACGAGCATTTTGTCGCTAATCCTTGACCCCTCTATAACTAGTACTACTCGGATTCTGATAAAATTTTGAAGCAAGGTTACTACTATGCCATGTTCAAGAAACCCTTTAGCTTTTGAAAATCGATCAAGTAGCGGCGGAGATACAGGCTACGAGCGAAAAACGGAAAAAACAAAAATCGCTCAAACTTTATTGTTTGACGTTTCAGAGACTCCTAATTATCTTCATATTTTTTGAAGGGGTCAAAATTGGAAGTTGGGAGTGATAGGGGTGGGTGAGGGTATATCCCAATTTTTGTCGTTAGTATATTTGTACGCCTCCACCCTCGGTTTTCTACGCGTCTATTACATTTTTTACACATCATAGGTTTCCCGGTACATTTGCTTTTAACACTTTTAGTGATAGAGAAATGTTTTAAATGAACGCGCCCAACGCAAAGAGAAAACATGCGTTAAGATTTAATCGTTGCAGTCAGATGGAATCGATGGCTGGCCAGTGTCGAAGCTAATTATCAGTGTTGTCGAACCGAAAAAGACGAAATCGGTAGATACTGTCATTGGAATTCGGTAGATTCAAGGGCAAAATCGGTAGGAGAAAAGAATCAGGGTCTTCGCAAGATCAGCGGTGGATCAAGGACCTTTGCGTCACACAGCATCGTCTATGAAAAAAAGCATATTTTTGTATGGGCGCACACACAACCACACAACACAAGTTTTTTCAGAGCATCTTTTTCCGAAAAGATATGAACTCACTAAAACTCCTTTGCAGCCATCCTGTAAACTCCGTTTTCCATTTTTGTTTTTAAGATGTGAATACTTTTCTGTTTTACTGAACTTGAAACCTGACATTTTAATTTAATATTATTTAATTAAATTCAGTCGAGCTTTGGTTTCCTTATTGTTTGTCTGGTGTTGAGATAATGAGGGTGATCTACCGTCTGTACCTTTTATACGCACAAAAGCCAATACCGAATGCGGAGTAAGGGATGTGCGTACATACGTATAGGCAACCCAAATCTACGTCCCTTGTGTGCCGACTGCCTAAATATTCGCATATGTATGATTTGTAAAGGGCATTATACTACATAAACTTTCGACATAGAATACATTTCTTAGCTTTATTTTTGGTGAAAAATCTGGAACTATGTTTATTCTTTAAAAAAATCGTGACAAAATGAGGGCGTTTTCGGTAAACAAGGCCCCATTTCGGTAGAAATACCGAAATATCGCTAGGTTCGGCAACACTGGTCACAGCGGCGTTGCTAGATGGTCGCGGTACTGTCGATAAGGTGGGGGACAAATTTGGAAACGTTGTCAAATAAGAGGGGACTATGTAGTTTTCTCTTAATTGTCACTAATCAAGTTTTATTATTTTTCAAGGCTCCAAAGGATTTTGAGACGATTACCCTTCCAATAGACGCATTTGAAGCATATCTGGAAGGTAAACCGGTAAAGAATGCCGCCCCCTTGGACAAAACGAAAGTAACAGCTTTGGGAATACTCGCATATGGAGGTGTCCATGTTCACAGGAAACAATACGGCGTAGGAGCTTTGGAAATCGATTGGATCAAAATATCCTGAATTTTTTAAATGAATGATATTTTTAGTGTCAGGTGGCATTGGTATTAGACATTTTAATTGTTGACAAATGGAGGCGGTATACTTTTAAGGGAGTGTGAAATTGTTTCTAAAACAAAAAGTTTCTGAGAAGTATTGTATGTTAAAAACTATGTCGGTCATGGAGAAATGAATCTTGTCTAAGATCAATATGTTAAAAACGTTCCAAATTACAGTATCTCTGAGAATTTTGTGCTGATTAGATTCATTGAATCGCTCTATACTCCCTATAGTCCATTTACGACCAGACAAAACACAACATGCCCAAAAGCGACATTGTACAGGTCCGTATTTTCCTCAATGGTCTTGGAATAATCTAACAAAATAAACGATTATTTTTATAGAAAGAAGTGCACATACTCTTCACAATTCTTTATTCGCTGGAAGTACTTGAATCATCGTCCGGATGGTTAATATTAATTATTAAAGGTGCAATTTGGAATTCGATTATATTGTCCAGATCCCACATCTTCATGTCAAAAGATTTGAATGATCTATTGCTTGAAGTCACAGTTTTTTATATTTGCTCAAATCATTTCAATGGGATTTAATTCGCAGTGATAAGGGGGTAGCCATAATATGGTCTTATTTTGGTTTTTAGCCATTTCTTCAATAACATTGAGATTATATTTATATTTGTGCTGCCTGACTAGATGGATAAGTTCTGCTTTGACCATATTTTCATTGAAAGTAATGTCTTTTGATAGGAGCCATTGTTGAATTTCTGCCTTTCTTGTGGACATTGTGAGATTTTTTTCTAGTTTTCTATTGTGGTATGCAGCATTATCAAGTACAATGACGGCATGGTCGTCAAGCTTTGGGAGCGTTTCTTCAAACCATCGTTAAAATGACCTCCCGTCCATTTCCTCATGGTAGTCGATCGTTTTCTTTGACTCAAATGCCCATAGGCAGTGGGTACAAAGCCAGTTCCACTCTCAATGTGACATGGAAATAATTATTAAAAATAGTATTCAAGAAAACTAATAATAATACAAGCAGAGTATCTAACAGGTGCTGGTTCCAAGTCTACCAGATATAGCTAAGTTTGATGTAGCTAAGTTCTCAGCGTGGGTTCATAGTTTCAGTCAACTTGATACCATTTTTACAACACAAATGACGAATTGATTAGATACACATACCTGACGGATTCTTTAGGCCAGTGGTTAGCCCATCTAAGAAGGCTTGCCTTGCTGATTTCATGGTAGAGTCAGCCCATACTTTAGCTTTTGTATGTCCTGAATTTATCCAGGTTTCATCCAAGTAATAAATCTTCCTGCCCTGGTCGCGGTATTTCTTTATTGACTTTAAATAATTTCTTTTCCATAAAATAATCTCTTGGCTGTCCATCAAAATACTACTTCGGCCCCGTTTTCTATACACAAAATGAAGTTCTTTGAGTAAACTATAGAATGTGGTCCTTTTGAAGGTAGGTAAGTTTTCATGACTATTATCCTCCTGTAATACCTAGTCTATGGTAGGAAGTTCCCGTCTTTCAAAAAATTTATGGACTTTGCGTCTGATGGCATTCCGATCAAAGATATCAAATGGTATCCAACAGCCTCGGGTAATGCAGCCTCTTGCGTGGTGGAGAAATTTTTTTATTTTTTTATATTTTGCAACAATGTTGAAAGTCGTCTTAAGACATAAGTCTCTTTTGTCAGCCACATGTCTTTCAATATCATGAATTTTCATTTCAGGCTGCTCTAACATTTCGGTCTTATAAACGTTAAGGACAACTTCTTTTGCCTGAGTTTTTCATTGGGAGAAATATTCTCAGTCTAATCTGCTGTATCCGTAGACGACATGTTAACGTATAAACACATGCTATGTATGCACCGAGTATGAACAGCAACTGCCTGCGTCGGCGTGCCGGCGATACCCCAAGCCTGAGTTCGATCCTGTCGAATCCTGCATTTCTTCGTAGTTTTATGACCGAATGACCAATATACAGGGTGACTTCGAAGTTGAGTCATTTATTTTAACAGTGAGTAGATCTGATCAAAAGAAATGTTTTTTTCCTTTAACATTTTTCTGGTAAAATTAAAGTAACAAAGTTATAGCCCTTTAGAAGTTTGAGTACCGCCCTGTCTCAATAATAATATGTGCTCGTGTTTGGCAACAACGGATATAATCCGCCTTATCGGTTCATCGCATCGGACACAAAAAAGCGAAAGAATTTGAAACGCTTATTCAGTTGTATTCAGTCAATGTTTCAGTCGGTAACGCGTGAGTGAATAGTGGTGTTTGTTGCGTGGCTCAAACGAAATAAAAAATGGCACATGTTTACGAAAATGCTGAACTTGTGGACATGATTCTTATTTACGGGGGGGGAGTCTTTACAAAATGCTGCCGCGGCATCACGAATTTATGCGGATCGGTTTCCCAATCGAGTGCAACCAACCCCTCGTGCCTTTGTTAATGTAGTACAAAGGGCTCGTGAATCAGGTGACTTAAGACCTCACAGGGGAGGGCATGCCGGTGCTCCAAGACCGCACGATCAAATACACGTCCACACTGAAATACTTGTTGGGAGGATACTTTATAAAACATGTTTTTTTAAATTTTTTTTTTATTTTTACACATATTTTGGTTTATCTTCCTTCTACAATCATTATCCGAAAATTAATGACTCAACTTCAAAGTCACCCTGTATATTGCAACGCTTAGGCGGCTGCCGCTTTGCCGCGCTGCATCTTTGTTGTGCCAGGGCGTAAATGTACTACGAATAGGATATAGGTGGCTATATTAAATGTTAGATGGTAACTCAAGTATTCCACTTCAGTTTCTCAAGTACGATTTGCTTTTCTACGAATCAGAGCAGTTTTTCATAAACAAATTATCTCGGCTAGACCTTCTACTAGATTTTTGCATTCTCCGGTTCTAATCAATATAAGCTGAAATTTTGAAACATATATGTGATACTTTACCTACACTATTATGTTGCAGTTTATAGAATGATTTGTTAGCGTTCTTATTGTGCTCGTAATAACGTAATGATCGTTTTATTTTGTTAATTTGTACCTATCTAATATATATCCAACAAGCGTAGCTACGTTATAGTCAAGCGGAATCGCATAACAACCCTTTGTTGCGCGAGTCAGTAGACTACACAGTCGAGTAAGTTCGCAAGTACACAAGGCCGCGGCTCGCACTGTGGACAAAATTAAATCGTGCGACTTTAGGTCGAACAAAATTATAATTCTTCTTCAATAACCAATCCCAAAATTAATACAATTCAAAATTGCCGAATACTAATTTGCTCTCCCTCCTTCCTTCCTTCCTTTCTTCTTCCCTTCTTTCTCCCTGACTTTTTTGGTATCCGGGTAACCAGACCTGACAGACCTACTGACTTAAAAGACTTCAACCAAGAGCAAAGGTCCTACGGATCGCTCTGACAGACAATGACGAATAGAAACCTATCTATGTCACTGTTTTTGCTGTGATATTGGTATATATAGCGCGTGTTTACATAGTATGCATTCGATCGCTGCCATCTGTAGGTATTTCGGTTGTAAAGGGTGTCTCAATATGAGCTCCGGATTTGATTTTCAAGAAAAACACAATTTCTTTTCGAATTAAGCGAGTATTTATATTTCAACATGAATCGGAATAGTTGCGATTAAACATGAAATAGGACATCCGGTAAATGACAACCTCGAAAGCTCTGGCACAGGGTTAGTCTTGTCTTAAAATTCTGGACAATGTTTTCACATAACTGTGGCTTTATTTCGTCGCTTACGCGCCGTATCTCTTCTTTAAGGCGTTCAACTGCTTGTGGCTTGTTCGCATACATCTTTTCCTTCACATAGCCCCTACGACTTTCCGGTCATGCAACGGTATTTCGTGGATCTCATGTGGATTTTCCGTCTCCCAAATGCACCAGTTTTGCTTCCAAAAATCAGGTTCAGCATCAACCATGCGAGCAACTGTTTGGGCGTATTCTAAGCGACATAGACGGCCAGTTGTCAATATTTTTTGTGTTACCTGCACCTTATAAGGAAATAAATGCTGAGCGCGGTGACGATACGACACTTTTGGGTTCTGGGCAACGCTGTCTCTGACCGCTTCAACCAATTAATTGGAACGTCTTGGCCGTTGATGAACGGTATGTTGAGATCTCCCACTGTCCCGTTCTCAAGAAAATTCCAAACCAAACGACGGATAGTGTTGTCAGACGGTGCCTGTTTGCCGCGATATTTTCGACCATATGTACGTTGCGTTAACACAACTGAACGACGATTTTCAATGTACAGTGTGACTATTTCGGTGTAAAGCGATTCATGACTAAAATTGTAGTGAATTGACGTTTCAGAAACACGTATAACCAAATCACTCGGTAAATATCAAAGTCATTCTTAGATTATTTAGAAAATAAACAATAATATACAAACTGATATAGATCTTTATTTTTTAAATATACATAAAATTGTACAACAAACAGTTAACTATTATAACTATTTTACATTATTTACATTTATGTTACATTTTAAAAATATTTTTAAATCTTACCTCTGAGATCTAAACATCAACTTCATGTAACACGCGGCCGACGTTTTTGCCACATATTTGATCTTAGATCCAAATATCACAAGATACCGTTCATAAAAAATATAAAAGATGATTTTTTACTGTATGATGGAATCTTTCCAAAATTACTAACGTATATTGACAATAACGAATTGAATTCTAAAAAGAGTAAGTATTATAAGCTAGGTTTACAAAATATATGTGAACAAAAATTAGTTCAACTTGTATTTTACAATTTGCTATAAGTAAATTGTGATGTTAGAAATCAAAACAAGCTGTCGCTTTTAAAAAGAACAAAAACACTATACAGAATGTCCCAGAAATAACCCACCATAGTGAAAGAGGAGGTAGATTGGCTGCAGATCAATCAGATAAAATCGATATTACCTTAGCAAAAGTTTTATAGTTTTCGAGATATCGCCACTTTTAAGTTTTTTCAAAAAATCCCTACTTTTTGCTTCTTTTTTGCCTATTATGGCTATTAAGAACTTCTAACTCATGAGTTTTTTCCTAAGTTGGTTGAGACAACCGAGTATTCATTTAATTGAAAACTAGCATGCTAAAAAAAATAATTCATTTTATTTCAATGTGAAAACATTTACTCAAGTTTGACTAATTATTGGAAAAAAAAATGCAACAGACTAAATCGGAAAACGATCTTAAAAACTAGCCTATTTAATGCTCTTGTAAAAATCATTTATAGGTTCTTACTACTAAAAATTGAATAATTCCAAGCTTTGTCATTGAAGCCGTAATACTTGCGAAATACTACAAATAAAAAATAAGTGCAGCAGTCTTTTGTAACCAAATCACTAATGAATGAAACGACCTGAACAGCGAAAGACCTAAATAGCACGTGTGTAGCACTAACACAAGGAGCAGTACTAAATTAACCCTGCGAGTGCGGTGCGCAGGTACCGCCTCTGTTCCTCGAGGTGACATAATGCCTCCGATCAAACAATGAACGTGAGAGCGAGATAGTCAATGACATGTTTAGGTCGTTTCATTACTTAGTCATTTGGATACAAAAGACGGCTTCACTCATTTTTTAGTTGTAGTATTTCGTAAGTATTAAGACTTCAAGGACAAAGCTTGGAATTATTCAATTTTTAGTAGAAAGAACCTACAAAAATAATATATCTACTATTTTTAAAAGAGCATTAAATAGGCTAGTTTTTAAGATCATTTGCCGATTCAGAATGGTACATTTTTTTCACAGCAATTAGTCAAACTTTGGTAAAGGTTTCCACATTGAAACAAAATGTATTATTTTTTTAGCATACCGTACTAGTTTTCAATAAAATGAATACTCGGTTGTCTCAACCAACTATTAATGGTAGCCCAGGAAAAAACGCATAAGTTAGAAGTTCTTAATAGCCATAACAGGCAAAAAATGAGCAAAAAGTAGGGATTTTTTGAAAAACCTAAAAGTGGCAATATCTCGAAAACTAGAAAACATTTACTGAGGTCATGTTGATTTTATCTGATTGATATGAAACCAATCTACCTCCCATATCACTCTGGTGTGGTATTTCTCGGACACCCTGTATAATAGTCACTGGAATGGACCATCATTTTCTCTAGTAAATCAATCATTAACAGTAACCAATATTTTAATTGGTTTAGAAACATCTTGAACCAATTCCAGGGTTTCAAAACACAGTACAAAGGCGAATTTTTTATATTTACTATATTTATTACATTGCAGTGGCTTAAGTTTTCTTCTTACTTCCATAGTAGAAATTCCCTTCTTCAAAATTATTCAGTGAATTCTAAGAGAAATAAGTCTTTTGTAATACCTAAATTGATGTTAAATCTGATATATTGCACCTACAAGTAATATTGGTGAGGCCACGTTTTTTATTTATTATTGAAGTTCAGTGTAAAAATATCAGCCTGTTTTGATTTGTTTGATGTAATTATTTGTTCATATTTTCATTATAATGAAGTAATCATTTATAATATTACACTTTAGTTAATAGAAATAGAAATACTGTTACTGCAAATACACCAAAATACAAAATACTTGTTTGCTTCGTTAATACGGAGTATAGTCTGACCATATTAGACGAAAATACCCCTGGTTTGCGAAATAATTGTAAAGCCTGGTTTTGTTGCTGCAAGTTGGTCAAGGGGGTATTTAAAAGATAGACGCATCAAATGGTTACACCAATTTGGGAATACTTTTTATTCGACAACAAAGAATGAGAAAACGTGTTTTTTGGGATTCAATCGAAAGTGTTGACAGGAACGACAAAACTCTTCATATAAGATTTTTAGGTATTTATGGGACCTATAAAATGAGACCACACGTAAAAAGGTCCGACTAACAGCAAAACAGTTTTGGCCGGAAACCTGAGCAAAATGCAGGTTTTGGCACTGGTTGGTAATGCGACGCAGATACTTGAAATTCTTCAAATCCGTGGACCTCATACTTCTAAATAACCAAAACAAAATTGGAGTAGATTGGTGGAGTAGTCTTTGAGAATTTCCAATTGTTTATCACAAATTACCTGTCTTCCGGCACTCACTAGTAATTTATTGAGCAATATACAGAGTTTGTTCAAAGGGAATTTTATAGAAAAATACACTAGTTTACCTTGCCTATATGAATTGCAAACCATTCCGGAAGAGAAATGTTATTTTTATGCAAAAAAGGATGGGTTACGTTTTTTCTTCTAAACAAATTCAAACATTGCGTATTTGTGAGTAATTCGCAATGAAAGATGATAAACACATCTGCTTTGTTATAAAATGTGTATAGTGACGTACTATATGTTTTTCGAATATCGTAGCGCATTTGTTTATTTACTCACAAATAGGAAATGTTTGAGTTTCTTTAGAAGAAAAAACGTAACCTTTGTTTTTCGCATAAAAATAACATTTATCTTTCAGAATGGATTGTGATTCATATCGGCAAGGTAAACACATGTACATATTTTGCTATTAAATGCTCTTTGAACGAACACTGCATATTGTTCAATAAACTAGAAGTGATAGCCAGAAAACAGGTGTTTTGGTATAAAAATTAGGAATTCTCAAAAACTGCGTGACCTATTTACTCCAATTTTGTTGTTGTTATGAATCCTACGGATTTAAACAATTCTAGTAGTTGCGTGAAATTGTCGTCGTATTACCAACTAGTGCCAAAACCTGCATTTTGCCTCGTTTTTACGTGTGGTCTCATTTTGTAGGTCTCATACATACCTAAAAATTTTGTTTAAATATTTTTTCCGTTCCTGTCAACACTTTCGATTGGATCCCAAAAAACACGTTTTTCACAAAAATTAGTGTACCGATTTTATCCGTCCATGTTTTAGATACCCCCTTGAACAACTTGCACCAAAAAAACCTGACTTTACAATTATTTCGGGGAAATTTGCTAATATGATTAGACTAGTATTCCAAATACTGTCTTAATGATACTGAAATAATCATGATAGTAAGATAACATTTATTCCACTCGAAGGGCTGAAACACTTGAAATAAGAAGCTGTCATTTTATTGAACTAGGACTGCAGCCATATAAAATGACTTTTCCGATGTTTATAGTAAGAACTTGCAGGAATTAAAAAGCCTAGTATTGAATACTTAATGGTCTCTTACTGAATTCAGGATGACTGATTTCAACAAAATGTAATCTTCTCCATACTAGAATAGCACAAATCCTGAATATCATAAAATCGGCACGGGTGAAGTTTGCTCCTCACGTTGCGATAAAAAAATGAGTTTTATGTGGTTTTTAAAGAGACTATGAGGGGTAAAAACTTCCTTAGATGAAGTACAGACTCCTCTTTAGTACTTTACGTTTACATTGTTTTTTTGAAGATCTTTATAACCAACAACGAAGAATCTATCCTTAAGTCTCTAGTTGAGGAGCTAACTTCAAATGTTTTTTTTTTAATCGGTTGAATAAGTCTTCAGACTAGTCGAATAGAAAAATCGCAGTCTGATGGGAAATACTGACATTATATACTACATTTTTTCTATAAAACATTCGTCCAAGAAGTTCTCCAGTGAGTGGTACAAATGTGGACGGACAAGACCAAGACTGTGGTCCTCATCTGGGTAAGACTGTAAAGGAAATTAGTATTAATAAAATATATTTTATAAAAAAAATGCTGTTAGTGGTCGGGAGCAGGCCTAAATAATATAAGTTTTGTCTAAAAAACTGACGTGATGAATTTAATATATTCATCCGCTTTTCAGATAAAGGTTTCATTGCTTTCTATGGCCTCACGAAGTATGGAATATGAGTCTACTTGAGTATTTAACGAATTTACCAAATTTTCCGTATAGCCAAATAGAGTGCGGTTCAACGGTTATTGCATGCCCACCAGGGCATTTATATTTCTAATTTTTTGATACCTTCGGAGAATTTGGTGAGACAAAAAAGAATTCAAGAAAATCGATGCCTATGATTTCTTCGCCCTTTTATTTTCGCTGCTTATTGGCGAGAAAGTATTGCAATCACAAAAAAATTCGAAACTGAGATATCATGTTTTTTAAATATTATACGTTCATTTGAAAACTTCAAATCACGGATTTATCGGAAATCACTGATTAAAGAAAGAACGCCGAGACACGTCAAAAGATTTGTCAAGGGGGACAACTTTATAACCAAAAACTACTTCATCCCCTTTCATCCTCGGTCCCCAGGGTCACTCCTTTAAAAATTTTAAATAATAAGAGGTATCGAGTAATAGCTCGTTTAAAAGGTATTTCGACGTACTCTATTATGACGTTTGATTTTTTAAAATCAGTCGATGTGTTTTCGAGAAAATTAGAAAAACTTTTGTTTATCTTAATTTGTTTAGATGGAAAATAAAAACACACGAAAATATCACTTTTTGTTTCAACAGGTGTTCAAAATGTTGCCGTTAGGGTTTGCCATTCGTTTATAATTTAAAACGGAAACTTCCAACATAAACAGCAATTCGGAAGATTAGACGTGGGCAACAACCAAATAACGACCCGATTTTTTCATCATTCTTTTCATCAACACAGATATCCTCGGCGAACTGTAATTATTGTTATACCTGTTTAGTTATTTCTTGCTAAGGGAAAGAAAGAATTAAATTTACTGTCAGTTACCTTTGTGACAATCTTGGGATAGTGAAAATTAATTTATTGATTCCAAAATGGTTTACCTACTAGCCGAAAGAGTGGAAATCATTCTAAATTATGGTGCCCAAAATCAATGTGCTCGGCTCGGCAACATATTGAAATAAAAAGCGAAATTCTCGTGTTTTTGTTTTCTACCTGGATAAAGTAAGGTAAATAAATATTATTCTAATTTTCTCAAAAACGAATCGACCGACTTTAAAAAATCAAACGTCAAGGTTAAGTACTTCGAAAGACCTTTAAAACAAGCTATTACTCGATAGCCCTTGTCATTTAAAATTTTCAAGGGGAAGACCCTTGGGGACAGAGGGTGAAAGGAGGTGAAGTAGTTTTTGGCTAAAAAGTTGTCCCCCTTGACAAATCTTTTGACATGTCTCGGCGTTTTTTCTTTTAATCAGTGGTTGATATGGCACTCACTTTCGTCGAATTGTCTGTCGGTCCGTCCGCCAATCCTTGGCCCTCCTATAGCTTGGAAAGTACTGCTCGGATTTGGAAGAACTGTTTTGCACAAGGTTATTACTATGCCAAGGGCAAAAAAAGCTTTGTGGTGGCGAAGCTAAGGCCAAAAAAGGAAACAGATTTTTTTTTTGTTAGTATACTTCATAGATTTCTCCGTGCATTTGCCCTTAAAGCTTAGAATGATGGCGAAATGTTTTCGATACGCGTCTCTGCTTCTGCTCTCTGAGTTCAGCGGCGGTCGTCCGATCTCGATAAGTGTCGATCATGTGGTCAAGTACTACCGTTAAGGGACTAATTGTAAAGGCCTGTTTGACTGGCTTGAACCATTTAATTTCTCTGTTATACATGTCCGGTACTATTTTTTTCTCAGAAGAACTAACTTGTGATGAACATAATCCTTCATGAACTAATGACAGCGTTGCGTGGGAAGTGCACAGTTAGCCTACTTTACGCCATTTTTTTGAGTACTGAATAGTGGATTGGTAGAGAAAATATTTGGAATGAAAACAAAATTAGGTGGAGCGAATTTTGACCTACCTGTTGTCTAAAAAGTATATCGTTCACTTCTAACACCTTGGACCACATCATTGATTGCTGGTAGTGAACATTATCGTCGTAGGTGCCATGTATCAGGTAGTACTCTTTATCTCTCAGGCCTTCATATTTCTTCAATAGCTGAGCTGCTTCATAACCTTTCAGGTTATCTTCTAGTGTCGGTAAGCCCATGAACCTTTCGGTGTATATTGAATCTGAAAGAGACGAGTAAATATAATAATATAATACTCTTCTCTTTGAACAAAAACAAAATAAAATGTTTTTAATTCTCAAGGTAGACATTTCCTGAGCTCTGTGTGCCCCTGTAGCCGAAGCTATCTTGATTGCTAATGATTAAGCCTGGTTCTGCAAACGACAGCGGAAGCTAGAAGCTAAGGAAAAGAGGCGCATTTTGTCAGATAACAGGAGAGATGCAAATTGCCATGGTGCATGGACAAGAAGGCAGATATTAAATCTTGGGAATAAATTGCTATTCTGCACAGTTCATCACAGGATATGGTTGTTTTGACAGCTACCTGAAGATGCTAGGAAAGAGGGAGTACACGCATATATCCATTGCAATCCATTGCAATACTCTTAATCATCTATTTAAATGTGGCAGATGGGTTAAAGACAGCTGGAATTTACGCTCGGCGAGAAGCTCCCTGCTGACAATTTTGCCAGGCATGTAAGCGAGGGCCAATGGGTTGATATTAAACCTATAGTGAGACAAATGATGCTGAGCAAGGTGCAGGAGAACAAAAATGCATCAAGGAACAAAAATAGGTTCCTTTTTGGCGCAAGGGTGCCCACCATGAAGAAATGTTGCAAGCATCCCTATGGTGGGTGGTGTAGTGAACTACGAGCCCCTTCCCACTTCAGTTGGCCCAACTATTGAAATCTTAGTTTTTTTCTTATCGAACACAAATAATAAAAATGTAGCATGGTGTTATAGGTTTAAAATACAATGAATATTTTGATAATATACAGGTATAGTAGAAAACACTAACTTTATCACTCCTTAATCAAATTTGCAGCATAAAAAGAACACGTTGCAATTACAGCATATCAACCTATTTTCATTTCAATGCAAAATAAGTCTATAACGCATAGGTGGCTGTGAAAAATAAAAGCCATGACAATTGTTTTTATTAATCACAGCTGTCAGAATACGTTTAAAATAGTTTTGGGTAGTTAAGGTTTTCAAAATGGGTAGAGGAAAGGTTATTAGTGAGAAAATTCGGTTACTGATAATTAAATGTTTTAATTCTGGGAAATCAAACTCAGAAATTGCAACTTTGTTAGACTTATCGCGGTACAGTGTGAGAAATATTGTTAGAAGATATAACGTAACTGATTCAGTTAATATTAAGCAACGATATGTGAAAAAAGTAATATCACAAATGCCGACCGAAGAGCATTAATAAGAATAATCGTGAAAAACAGGCGTGCCAATTATTTACAATTAAGTGCTCTATGGAGTGACGCTGTTGGAAGAAGAATTTCGAGGTCCACAACTCATAGAGAGGCCCACAAACTGGGATTTAACACTTGCAAGGTAAGCTTTCTTATAAAAAAAAGTGAAGTAAACATCCTAAAGTTACACAACTTGTTTATAGGCCAAAGAAAAGCCACTATTAACTTCACCGCAAAAGAAAAATCGGCTTAGATGTTGTGTTGGTGACAGTCGCAGTAGAGTTATTCGCAAAAAAATGAAGCATTCCATGTTGACTGTCTGAAGAGAAAAGTGAAATTTCCAGCATCCATTATGGTCTGGGGCAGTATGTCATCAAAAGAAGTAGGAAAACTTCATTTTATTGATGGAAATGTGGATACAAACAAATATTTGGCAATTTTAGAAGAATCGCCTTTACCAGTGATGGAAGAATGCTTGACATCCGGCCAAGATTTTGTGTTTCAGCAAGATGGTGCAGCGTTCCACACCTCAAAAAAGGCTACAAAATCGATGGAAGAGAATAATGTACCACTTTTGAAATGGGTTTCTAGCAGTCCAGATCTGTCACCTATTGAAACTTTGTGGCACGAGATGAAAAAGGTTCTATGACAACATCCTGCTCATACAGTCACCGATCTGAGACAAAAGCTTCAAGAAATATGGGATTATTTTACACCAAATTTTTGCCAAAACTTGGTTAACACTATGCCCCAAAGAATTTCAGCAGTAATAAAAAATAAAGGTGATGTTACCCAATGGTAATCTTTCAATTGTTGCTTTGTTAACTTCGCGTATTTATTCGTACATTGTTTATTTGTTCAGATGTGCTATTAGTTATAGGTCTAAGTGATTTCAAATATGTATTTTTTACGAATATAATTTATCTAAAATGTTTTTGAGAAAATAAATTGTTTTAGAAGTAAATAGTTTCGTCATGTTTAGTTTATAAAGGCATATTTTGGAACAAATCTTGAAGTGTGCCAACTGAAGTGGGAAGGGGCTCGTATTTATTGCTAAATTGCATTCTTCAATTATTACATTAATTTTCTCAGACAATAGAACACCCTTAAATATTCGCGTATCATTAAGGAATGGTGTATCCAAGTTTCATCTACAGTAAGTAATCGGCTCCAAAACTCGGATTTATTGCGTCTAGACTGCACCAACAGAGCGTTGGAAATGTTCATTCGAACACATTTTTGGTCAAACGTGAGCAGACGTACATTGCTTCCCAAGCTTTTACGACCACGTTTAAATTTAGCTACTCAACATTGTACTGCGATAAATGATGGTTTAGAGTCCCCATACACAGAATCCAACTAATCTTTGATTTGCGTGGACGTATTGCCTTTCAAAGGCAAATATTTAATGACAGCTCGATACTCGAGTTTGTCCATTTTCATAAAAACACTCACATCAACTCATTCAAACGACTGTTACATAACAACTGCGCGTCCAAAATGTTAGAAACTTTGGTGAGTAACTGTCAACAGGTGAACAGCGAAATTCACTAGCTTTTATTTACGAGTGTTGCCATATTCACGCTGACGTCGGAAACTATTCAGACCGCCCTCGTATGTGATGTTGAAACTCTTGGCGATTTTCCGCATATCATTGCCCATAACAAACGGTCATTGTTACAAAATATCTTGACCCTAACCCTAAGCCTACCTGCTTTGCGGCTCATCAATTTAGGTTGTTCTTTGTAAAAAAATTGCTTGGTATCACTTTTTTATCAAAAAAATTATCATGGTTATTCCTAGAGGTCAGCGAGACCCCTGAATGGCAAAATATTTTCTCAAATTTCAGTATGCACCTAGTTGGGTGTTTGATTCGCTTCGAACAAAGTTTGCTCGATCACATTAAACAATAAAGTTCCTTAGTAACATCTCTCTAAAGATGACCGTTTTCGAGCAATGCGCGATTAAATGTTAGAGGGGCCCTATAAATGGGTATCTTCACTACTCGAAAACTCAGCTAAAAATTATTATCTTTCACTTCTCCTACAAGACTCCAGAGACTAATTCAGCTCAGTCTATTTTAAAGCAATTTTTGTTTCCTTGTTAGGCCAACAAGAGGCGAACTTTTGACTTTCGTAGACTACTGATAAAAGCTGGTAGGCGAATGGTTAGATTCAAGATACTTTTCGACAACGACAGTGTGTTATAAGCAATGATTTAGCGGAAAATCCACTATAAGGATAGATTAAAAAAATGACGTTGCGTCAGAAGTGAGAAGATTATTTATAATTACTTACCGTACAATGCCCAGTCGGTAACAGGTGCCACTGAAATGCCACATTTAAAAACTTTCTGTGAATCCGTGGCTAATGCCATGCCAGCTGCGTATCCACCATAGCTCCAACCCCATATTGCTGTCCTCGAAGAATCCACGTAACTCAAAGTATTTTGTATCAACCTGAAACAAAGATTTTGTCAAGTCTGCTATCTTGAATTTACTTTCCTTTTCTTATATACTAAAGCAGCCGCGCAGGCAGAAGCCTAAATGCCGGGACACCGCGGCTGCTATGATGATCCCAAAGAAATTTTGTTAATCTGATTTTTAACTGCCTATAAAGTCAGTAGAACTGGGAAAAGCTTTCTCCTGTAGATTGTTGCACAATCTCGACACCCTCGGAACAAAGGAGCGGTTGTATCGGTCAGTTCTGGACGTACGAAGTTCGACACGGTTAGGATGGGAGGCGGGTCGGTCTGGCAGTCACATCGTGCGGTGGCATCATGGAAGAGAGCTCTGAGGAGCAAAGCCCCTGGGTGTAGCGGCAGAAGAGAGCGCCGGTGCGAAAGGGTCCCGAGACTGTCTGTTAGAGAAGAGTCATCGATCAGTCGGACAGCCCTCCTCTGGGCAGCATCAAGCATAAATAGTGTAGTCGGGGCGGCAGCACCCCAAACATGTGAGCAATACTCGAGGCTAGGCCTTATCTGGGCCTTGTATAGAGTGAGAAGGTCTTGCGGAGAAAAGTACTTCTTAGCCTGGGGACTTCCGGTGGAACTGGTGGTCCAATATTTCAACACTGTTCCACAGATAATTAGAATTTGCACATAGAATATTTACGCGTGATTCAAACAGTGGCAATATTTATCGAGCAAAGACTCTTATCAAGACATTGAGAATGAAATTAATTACAGTTGAGTCTTTGAAATTATGCAGGGCGCTCCGCGCTCTGTGGAATCGTGGTGTAGGGAAGTCGATCTTTCTGTCAACGCTGGAAAGACCGAGCTGATCCTATTCACTAGGAGTAGAAGGCTTGACGGGCTTGTTTTGCTGACCTTCTTTGCGACTAGATTAGTTCTATCCCAATCAGTAGAATATCTAGGAATTCTCCTGGACTGCAAACTGAACTGGTGATGTGTTGTCGGTGTAAGATGGGAACTTAAATCCAAAGTGGAACACTGGCTCTACACGACGATAGTACGTCCATCTCTCTTGTACGGCTCTCTGGTCTGGTGGCCTTGCATTGGAACTGAGACAACTAAGGCCAAACTCAATAAAATTCAGCATTTGGCCTGTATTAGCATAACAAGAGCAGTGCGTACAACGCCAATGAGTCCAATGCTCCAAGCTCTGCTGGATCTCCCACCGTCGGACCTAGTGATCCGCAGTAAAGCGAGAGTAGACGCACATCGACTGTGGAGTCAGAGCAGCTGGGCCTTCATGAATCCTCTCAAGGGTCATACTGCCATCTTAGTCGAGCTACAAGGGTGATCTCCTTACCCCTAAGTATCGCTTCAACCGCAAATTTGATGTGGAGTATCCAACGAAGGAGAAGTGAGACGCCGGTAGCCGGAGGCTCTCCGGAGTAAGGGGGCAGGTCTGGTACACGGACAGCTCAATCACCGAAGAGGGCTCGGGCACCGGAGTCTCTGGGCTTAGAACTAGGCTATCTCTGGCTCTTGATGGGTACACAACTATTTTCGCGATTCTGACTTGTGTATCCCGAATTTTGGAGGAGGAAGAACCTAGGAGAAGAATAACAATCTTCTCCGACAGCCAGGCTGCAATGAAAGACACTAAGTGCTTGTAATATTACTTCGAGTCTTGTATTGCAATCCAGGGAAGATCTGGATCGTCTCGCAGTAAAGCATCGGGTATCGTTAATGTGGGTACCGGGGCACGCTGGGATAAAGGGCACTGAAACGGCGGTCGCTCTGGCGAAGACAGGATCAGCCATCAAGCTCGTTGGTACAGAGCCAGCTTCAGGAGTGCCCGCGCAAATAGTTAGGAGGAAAATGGAGAAGTGGATTGCAAGACAACATTCTCAGAAATTGCGAAGTATCTCCAGACATCAGACACGGGAACTCATTGTAGGGCCCAGCGCTAAGGATGGATATTTCTGCTTATCTTAGATAGATAGAGCCAACCTAAGCCTGCTGTTGGGACTGTTGTCTGGCTATAACAGGTCAAGGAGCCACCTGCACGTGATGGGGGTGGCTGAGGATCCCTTGTGTAAGCGCTGCAGGGTAGAGGAATAGAGCTCGGCGCACGTTCTGTGTCACTGAGAAGCTCTGAGCTACTACAGGTAGACTATACCGGGGTCCACTACCTTGGACCCCCAGCACGTCAAGGAGCTTGGACTCAAGGCCAAACTCAAGCACCCATAAATGAATCTTCAGATGAGCTAGACCCCATGTTAATGCGAAGACTACGCTGGAACTGACAAGAGGCCGGTTTTATTTGCTTTTTTCTCATCAGCACTGTGTCCATGACCAGAGCCGAAATTCGGTACCGCTCGTCGCTGGTTGCCGGTAAGCAGGAAACCAGCTTTCCCTGCGTTTTCGCCCTTATGTTGTCTGGAATGCCTCTAACTTTATGTTTCATTCATTCATTCACTTACAGTTGAAGTTGTATTTACGAACTCGAATTGAATTCGGTACATACAGGGTGTTTCAGTTTATTGTTGCATAACTTTAAGATTTGATAGAACTTTTAAAATTAATGCATAAAGTCTATATAAACATGGGTCGGAAAATGCGGGGCTTCCGAAATACAGGGTGTTTAAATTTACTTTTTAAAATAGTTTTTTTTAAATATTTCGAACAATATTTGATGTATAACAGTGAAAATTGGTATACAAGGGTTTTTTGGTACGACAAAACGAACCATGGGCATAGTTTTACTGTAGCCGCTAGAGGGCGCTCTTTACTGTACCTATAGTCTATTAGAATGACCGAAAATTTTTTCTTAGTGCAATTTTTTGCTTTTTGAATAAAAAAACTGATTCTTTGCACTTTTCAACATAAAAAAGCTCTCCTGTGAGTTTTCGTTATAGTTAGCCGTTTTTGAGATATTTCGATTTTTAAGGTTCGATGCATTTTTAAATATTTATGGAAAAATAATATTTTTTTTACATTTCCGATTTGGGCATTACAAGTAATTCAGATGATTGTTTAGATTGTGTTTTTAAACACAGCAATAATTCCTAACTCCAAATAAACACAAAAAAACAGAATTTTAATTTGTTTAATTTTCCAATATTATTTTTAACAAATTAAATTAATTATTTACAATTAAAATGGTATTGGATAGTTAGGACAAACATACAAAATCTAAAGTAGTTGCTCGAAATGTACACCCAATTGTTCAATACACAATTCACATCTACGAATGATCGAACGTGGTATAGCATTATTCAAATAATGCCTTATTTCATCACATGCATTCCTGATTCTGTCTATTATCATATCTCTTGTGGTTACGGGAGTCTGGTATACTTTTTCTTTTAGAAATCCCCACACAAAGAAATCTAATGGATTTAGGTCAGGGGATCGTGGAGGCCAGGCGACTGGTCCTCAACGGCCGATCCATCTTTCTGGATAATTTTCGTCCTGCCAGTTTCTAACTATTCTCGAATAATGAGCTGGACAACCATCAAGCTGGGACCAGGCCAATCTTCTTAAATCTAACATAACATCATCCCAAATATTTGCATGTTCAGCTTTTAAAAATCCCAAGAAGGTCGCAGTATTTAACCTTGCAGGCAAAAGGTAGGGTCCAAATAGTCGATTACGGTAAGATACCAATCCACACGTTGCCACTAAATTCATGCTGAAAATTTCTTTCCCGAACTGCATGGGGATTTTTATGCGACCAAATATGTTGATTATGATAATTTACCACTCCACGTCTAGTGAAGAAGAACACGGTGAACATGGCTTGCTGAAATTCCCAAGGCACCAGAAACTCTCCTAACACGGATCTCTATCAAACTCACGCAGAATCATGCGGGTAAATCTGCGCTGACGAACATTTATGTTTTGATCCCTTTGGAGATTTCCAAAACCATTTTCAATTATTTGGCGATGCACTCTTACAAATACTGAGCAAGTTGGATGTCGTCTGTTTGGAAATCTTCGTGCGTATTCTCTGGCTGCTTCTGTTGCGTTTCCATTTACAAAGCCATACACAAAATGAACATCCGCTAACTCTTGATTGCAGAATAAAAATGGCATTTTTATAAAACTTACAAAAAAAAACAGGTAAAAGAAACTAAATTTCGTGCATTCACAATTGCAAAAAAACGTTTCAGGTTTCAACAGACAACAAAACTAACTGTCAACTAATTGACGTTTAACCTTATTCTGCTTTCAATTTCAAAAATATTTGCAGGCACAGCCTACTTCTAAAAATTATCGAGATACTGACTTTTTAACGTTATTTTATCATAAATAATTAAAAATGCATCGAACCTTAAAAATCGAAATATCTCAAAAAACGGCTAACTATAAAAAATTTTTCTGTCATTTTAATACACTACAGGTACAGTAGAGAGCGCCGTCTAGCGGCTACAATAAAACTATGCCCATGGTTCGTTTTGTCGTACCAAAAAACACTTGTATACCAATTTTCACTGTTATATATACATCACATATTGTTCGAAATATTTAAAAAAAACTATTTTAGAAAGTAGATTTAACCACCCTGTATTTCGGAAGCCACGCATTTTTCGACCCATGTTTATATAGACTTTATGCAGTAATTTTAAAAGTTCTATAGCATCTTAAAGTTATGCAACAATAAACTGAAAGACCCTGTATACACCTACGGAAAACGCGGGTAGTTATCTACTCTAAATTTAATGCACGTCAGCAGTGATCAGCATTATCTTTCTGGATCAAGTTAAACAAAAGGCCTGAAACTAGGGTACTTCGACTTCTACAAGAGACATAAATAATAGTTTAAAATACTAAAAAACATGCTTTTATAGCTAACCGAACTAAAAATTAGAAAATAATTTTTAATTACAAAGAGTTTATATTACAGAAGTAATTCATAGTAACTAGTGTGGGGTGCTTAATGTATTAAATGTTACAATCATTTTATTGGCAACTATCTATGAGAGGAGAGTTATGAAAATGTAGTAAAATGCACCCCACGCTTTTTACTCTGAATTGAATTATTCTGCTAATAACTTAAATTTTATCATAATTTTATTGTGAGGCCATTATATTTATGATTGATTGTTCGACCATATATTACTGTAATATAAACTCTTTGTAATTAGGAATTATTTTCTAATTTTTAGTTCGGCTATTTTCGGTGATTTTTTTAGTCTTTTAAACTATTATCTGTTTTTCATTTTTTAGTTTGATTTATCAATTATTTTTTTTGTGGACATGTCATGATATTGCATGGACATCGGTCCTTGAAACGTGTGCTAGGTGTCAAATTAATCAAACTTCTGGAAATTGGTAAAACTTGTGATCAAAGATTCCGTTACATATATACATAGTTACATATATACGGGTCAAGCTAATAAAAGTGTGTCATAAAAAATACAAAAAAGGTATAACAAAATCTGCGGATGGAACTCACGACTCCTGGTTTACAAAGCCAGAGTGCTCTGCCACTGAGCTACAGAGGCTTGTAGCTTGAGTGTTCGTAAAGCGGCGTTTGAAATCCCTAGCTTTTTATTAGCATATCCGCTTTAAACATAATTTTTCTTATAAGGATAATGGAAAACTGTTATTAAATCATTGCATTGTCATCGGTCCTTGATACGTGTATACAGGTCAAGCTAATAAAAGCGTGTTAAAAAGGTAATGAATTTCTATGCCACCTAATGGAACTGTTAGACAAAGATGCACTTTTGTCAGATGAATCCTATGTAAAGATGAATTTGAATGCTAAAATGTTCTTAGAAAAAGTTTAAATGCGTTTTACTTTGAGCTTGTTACAAAAGTTACTTCTAATATTATTGTCTCCATGCTGTTCCTTTGAAACCCCTTGATTAAGTGTGGATCATTTTCCCATACCATCCGGCATATTTGACTATAGTGTTACCAAGAAATATTGTACACACAATAAAATGCTTACCTAGTAACATTGATTTGATCCTCAATCTCGACTGTTCCCAATTTCCTGTATCCAGAGAATAACATCTTGTCTCCCTTTAATCCAGATCCTCTGCCATCTATAGTAGCGTAGATTATACTTTTGTTGGATGCCAAATAGCTTCCCCAATCTAACACGAATCTGTCAACTACCTGGAAGGTGTCTGGACCTCCATACCTAGAAATTAAATAGCACTCACCATAAATTAAACAGGGACCGTACTTGAAAAATCATAAGTACTATACCGCTGACCAGGGGTTAATTCGGGATTTAGTCAAGATGGGAATTTGTGTCGATTTTGGTAGAAGTAAAGATCGAAACGAACACCGAATATTTTTGATATATGGTCTACAACCATAAAGTATTGGTGAATATACGATGGATGTCTTTGAAGTTTTGCATATGGAGACAAAACAACACAGTAGGTAGTTTTAAATGACTTTATTGTTTTTCGAAGTATTCTCCACGAATATTAATACACATCTGCAGGCGCTCGAACCAATTTTCGAAGCACTTATTCCACTAGTTTGCTGGCAGATCCAAAGTGGCATTTTTGAATGCGACAACTGCTTCTTCTGGTGACTGGAACCTTTGACCACGCAGTCTGTTTTTAATTTTCGAAAAAGTAAAGAAATCGTTAGGATTTAGATCGGGACTATATGGAGGATGGTCCAATAATTCCACGTTTTCTTCCTCGTTTCTTGGGCTGTGTGCGAGCTTGCATTGTCTTGGTGGAGGATGATTCTTATTTCGGGGTTGATTTTTCGAAGCTCGGCAAACAAATGGTAGTATACCAATCCGCAGTAACAGTTCTTTGCTCATTAAGAGGAATTGTTGCAATATGACCCGCTTTTGACACAAATGTCGCGATCATCTTTTTCGAAACACTTCGAGAACGGATGACTTTTGTTGGCTTTTCTTCACCTTGGAACACCCAAACAGCCGACTGTCGTTTACTTTCTGGTTCATAACAGTTTCCGGAATTGAAACGGTCAAGCGTTTTTTGATACCAATTAACCCTGGCTGCTTTCGGCTCTTCAGTCAACAGGTGGGGTATCCAACGAGAAACTTATTTTCCTACTCCTAATTCTTCATGTAAATTTTTTGAAATAAGGTCTTTGAGATCTTCAAGGACGCCTCAATCTCGCGATATGTCACATGTCTATGTTCAATAATGAGTTTGCGCACAGCATCGACGTTTTCCTGGATGACTGCCGTTTTTGGCGCACCCACCATGGGATCGTCGCTAAGACTCACCTGTCCACGTTTGAATTCTCCATACCAACGGGAAATTGTCGACTGATGTGGCGCTTCGTTGCCGAAAACAGACAGTAACTCAGCAAGTCATTCTTGTTGCGATAAAAAACAATTATGGCGCGAAAATGTTCTCGGTTGAGTTCCATTTTTCTAATGACTTGGTGACACTCAAAAATTCACTGTAGTGAGAACACTGCACGTTTTGTTGCGAAACTTTGAATTTAGGTTTACTAAAGAGTGAGGTTAAGATTCAGTACTGACGTTCGAACCGCGCGGCCTACTATGTTTCTATATGCAAAACCTAAAAGACATCCCTCGTAGTAAGCAATCCAAAAATGTCCTTTCGTGATATGCACCTTAAAAGGTAAAATATCTGGAAAGAGGTACGAAACTGCTGGAAAAACTAGTATATAAGGCTTTTGCTTTAAATGTGAATGACGAACTAGAGCAATAAAGTTTCAGAACTTACATAAATGAGAAACTTCACTTACACATTAACAACCATAGGGTACTTCGTTGAACCAGACTCGTCCAGATTTGGAGGTAACCTCAACATTACATTGGCTTTGAATCCTCCAGCAACGTCAAACGTCATTTTCCTGATTCTCACAGCATCCGTTTTATCTAAATAGTCTACCAATTCTTGATTGTCTGTCCAGTGAATTTTTAGCTTCTCATTCTTATTGTATATAGATACCTAGAAGACATAGGTCAATAAATATGAGGTTTCAAGTTTTTGGCATTCCTGTATGGTCGAGCCTCAAGATGTCGATGGTACGATCGATTCGGTCAGTTTTCATTTATGTTTTTGTATCAAGCAGATAGAATCTGAAAATGCTCGTTATTGTAAGTCTCCTGAAGTAATAGAGATTTCTATTGAAATCATAAGTAACAAGAATATACAGGGTGTTCCTTAATGATATCCGAATATTTGAGGGTGTGAATCTACATGAAAAATTAATGTTAGTTTGTTTTATAAACTATGGTCCAAAAATGCGTTCTTACAAAAACTGGGGGTGTTGAAGTTTTATGAAAAAATGGAAATTACTTAATATTTTCATAACCGATTTAGATATATCACTGATATTTAGTACATAGTAAAAGTTGATAAACATGCATAGTTTTCAATGCAAAAATAATTTTTAGCTTGAACAGTGGCGAGCGTACGGGTATTGACTTTGATAATTTTTAAGAAAAAAATTGTACGCCAATGGTTTTTTGCCAAATAAAAATTATTTATGAATTCCCCGTTCAATTTAAAACAAATGATCTCTCTTGAGTTGATTTTCTTGGATGTGCCATTTTTGAGTAAAAAAATAAAAACCGTTCTATTATCTAACTTGCAAAATTATTATTAATTTAATTGAACACATTAAAACATTAGCGGGAATGAACAGCAACAACAACTGACAACATAAACATAACATTGAAACCAACGAAATGATTACAAAAATTGTTGAAAATGGCCTCCTTCACTTAGTATGCATGCTTCCGCCCTCCTTCTCACGGAATTGGGCACTCGTTGAAATATCCCTGGAGTGTTTTTCATTCTATCACAAGCTGCAACTATTATTTCTCTTAATATCTCTACAGTGTTAGTGGGACTTGTGTCTTAAGATAGAACCACAAAAAGAAATCTAAACTGTTGAGGTCTGGGGACCCTGGTGTTCATTCTTGGGGGCCACCGCGGCCAATCCAACGATTTGGATAAACAGTTTGTAAATAATTACGAACCGCTATACTCATGTACCACATATTGTTTCTTATTACTAACGGAACATCATCAAGCAGCAAAGGCAACTGTTGTTGAAGAAAATTGTGGTAAGTCTGTCCATCAAGTCGTCTCGGCAAGAAGAATGGACCAATAAAGTGGTTGCCAATAATTCCTGCCCATACGTTAACCGAAAATTGGTGTTGGAAATGGGTTTCAGTTACGGCATAGGGATTTTCTTCTGCCCACAAATGATAATTGTGGAAATTCTGAATGACATTTCTAGAAAAGTTAGCTTCGTCCGCGAACAGGATCATTGATTCAAATTGCGGATTTTGTGTAATTTTTTGAAGATACCACTGACAAAAGATCACACGCATTGGAAAATCAATGGGAAGTAATGCCTGTACTCTTGAAATATGGCAAGGATATAACAAAAAATCCACTAAAGTTCTCCAAACAATTTGATGGCAAATATTGAAGTGTCTAGCGATCTTCCTCGTACTCGTTTCAGGATGTTCTTCGACTTGGTGCAGCATTGCTTCCTCAATTTCAGGTATTCTCACACTTAGAGGTCTACCTTCAGATGTTCCTTTTCGGACAGGACCAGTTTCAACAAGACAACGATGAATATTAGAATAGCGTCGACTATCTGGCAAAGCACGATCGGGATATCTCTGATGATAAATCCGTCTGGCTTGCTTACCAGTACCGTTGGCAATGCCGCATACGTAATGCATTTCCGCCATTTCTGCATTTGAATAATTCACAATTATTAACAAGATTGCAAAAACTAAATAATGAAAAAATGTCACAGCGAACAGATTTGAATAACAGAGAGTTGTCAGATGTCAAAAGCCAGTGACATATTCCAGAGCAACTAGATATTTATTGCTAAATTGCATTCTTCAATTACTACATTAATTTTCTCGGACAATAGATCGGTTTTTATTTTTTTACAAAAAAATGGCGCATCAAAGGAAAACAATTCAAGAGAGATCATTTGTTTTAAATTGAACGGGAAATTCATAAATAATTTTTATTTGGCAAAAAACCATTGGCGTACCATCTTTTTCTTAAATAATATACAAGTCAATACCCGTACGCACGGCACTGTTAAAGCTAAAAATTATTTTTGCATTGACAAATATGCAACTTTATTAACTTTCACTACGTACTAAATATCAGTGAAATATCTGAAGCGGTTCTTGTTGAAAAATCGGCATGCCATCAGTAGCCTTTATTTTGAAATAGCAAACAGCAAACTGCAAATTAATATAACTTATTGAGACATTGCTTAGAAAATTATAATATCAGGATCGTCAGGTCAGTCAATCTATCTATTTGATTCAAAAAGATCTAAATCTTACCATATATATATATATATATATATATATACCTTTCACGGATTTTGAGTTATCGCTATTTTTAAGAATTTGTAGAAAATCACTACTTTTGAGACTGTACTATTTTTTTTTCTGAAATAGTTTAACAGGTTACATTCCCAAATCATGTATTGTTGAAGAAAAGTAATCAGTGAAAAATTAGTCTAGTTAATGCAGTCGGCTGAACCGAAATTTTATCTGTTGTCAAAAATATTACGTCATATTCAAGTAGGCTTGTAGAAAAAATCAGTGGGCAGATAAACTGTACTTGATTCTATTATTGCGATTTTTTGTTGAAATATGCTGGAGAGCAAATTTTCCAGAGTGCGGTACAGATAACTGCCTGGAAGATGAGAAATGATAGGAAGGCATAGAATCGACGTAGATTCTGAAGACGGAGTACTACTGTTAGTTAAAGATAATTATTCAAGTACTGTGTGCCGTATTTCGCAGAATTTTGGAGCAGCCAAGTTGATTTCAGAAATGGAGGTTCGCAAAAAAAATTATGAACCGGACGAAGACAGTTTTCGAACAGCAGGGATAATTTTTACCTCTGGGCTGGATAGAATCTAGAATCATGAGGCAAAACGGCTTTCAACACCGATTCAGAGGCAGCTTATTTGATGGACTAATGAACAGTAAATTCATCGACCCGCAACAGAAAGATTGCGTGGACAAACTTATTCAAATCTTATGAAAAACAATGTACCAGAACAGTAAGCCAGACAATGAGGTTCCAGTACGACGAACCCAGTTTCTTATCACTCTAGGTTCTCAAAGTTGTCCATTTATTATTTCAGCAGCATTAAATTTTTTTCGCGAAGTTGTGCTTCAGTTGTTACTGGACCAGCCCCATAAGCCATTCCTTTAAGTTCTCCCCAATACCAGAAATCCATCGGATTGAGGTCAGGACATCTTGCTGGCCATTTTCGAGGATCAGGAGCATTTCGACCGATCCAGCGATTTGGATAATGTTCATTCAAATACTGAATGACGCCTCTAAAAATGTGTGGTGGTGCCCCGTCATGAAGAAACCACAAATTCTGTCTCCGTTGTAATGGTATGTTGCTTAAGGTCTGTTCTAAAAGTTCTGGTAGGTTATTGGCTAGAAAGCTAAGGTATCATTCTCCTGGTAACTGTGGAGGTAACTCGAAAGGGCCAATTACCGGATCGTCAACAATACCCGCCCAAATATTTATTTTAAAACGTTGTTGGAAATGACCTTCACGAATGGTATGAGAATTTTCTTGGGCCCACATGTGAGTATTATGGAAATTCAATATCCCGTCTCGCGTAAAAGTACATTCATCCGTCGCTAGAATGTTTTTAAAAAAATCCTGATTTTCAATGTTTTTGCGCAAAAACCACTGACATAATGTTAGTGTGCGAGGATAGTCTTCTGGTAACAAGGCCTGCACTCGTTGTACATGGTAGGAATAAAGCAAATTTTCCCGTAGGATTCTACGGTCCATGGTATACGATAGTTCCACGTGGCGGCCTAATTCCCGAGTGCTGATATCTGCATTGATTTCCACGATATTTAAAATTTGTCCCCCTGCTCTAAAGTAACCTCTGTCTTTCACCAGTGCGAATATTAGTGGGCTGAACACTTCCTGTATCTCGAAGTCTTTGGTACACTTGCTCAAATGTCCGTCTGTCTGGGTGTACCCGTTGGCGAAATCTGTCGCGATAAACTTGAGCTGCAAGATTTGAATTCTGACGAGCTTCACCGTAAACTAACAACATGTCGGCGAACTCTTGATTCGAGAACATAGTAAATACGACGACGACGCGACGTACGCGAACAATAACTAACCAGTGGTACCGTTTGCAATCGATTGCCGGTTCGATAAGAGTGATGATTGACCGACGCGCTGTTGTCATGTGTGTTTTAAATATTCAATTTAATGAAACTTACTTACTGACTACAAATGTTGGCTTACCTTAGAGAAACTTAATGCCATCTATTTGTTAATTACCCAATTTAAAAACGTCTTAGATCAGATTATAAAAATTAGTAAGATTGTGGTGATTGTGGTCGATATAAAGGACTTAAACTTGTAAACTATAAAGCCATTTAGACAAAAATCTATTGACTTTTGGACCATGGGTCATATGAACTTTTTGACTTGTTTTGAACCCTCCCTATTACCCATTTCAATAATGACTACCATAACGTTTACACCCTGTATATGCATTTTAGCATTGAAAAAATTCTATACTTTCCTTGTTTGAGAAAGCTTCTATTAACCACGCACATTATATCCCTTGGTATGATATAGATACATACTGGGATATAAAAGAGCTCGACCAATAATGCCTCATTTCTCAACCTAGATACTACTATACTATTCCGCGTACGTAACCTACAAAAATAAAGTAAGACTTGAGGTAGACTTACCTGTGGCACGTCCGGTCCTGCACAGGTCATCACGTAATGCGAAGCGTCTTTGCTGAAATCAGCCCTATTGTAAGCGCAAGGAACGTCGGCGTGATGTTTCGACTTCAACGAGCATGTGATGCAGTGAGGCTTCCTCTTCACTGGAGATATACTGTACAAATGCTGGACGGATGAATCGTTGTCGGTATTCGCCAAATAGTAGCTGTAAACCATCGATCGATCAATAATACTATAATAAATTGGAATTGGATGTATATTTCGGGAAATAATGACCAAATAATTTTGAGATATTAGTTGCGATTGGGGTGTCCTTCAAGAAGATGTCTAACCTTATGGTCTACTTGGATGTTCATATAAAATTTCTATTGTGACACACTGAGGCAAAAATTTAATCAAACTAAATACATTTTTAATTTGGCGAATTAAAAAATTTAATTATAACTATGTGAAAGCTAAGTTTAATTAGTTTAATTGACCTACGATTCCTAAAACAGTTTACCTAAATCTATGAAATTAGTAAAACAAACCACAATCATTTTATCATTTAGAAAATCGTTTACTTAGATTGATTACACCAACTTATTTGAAATTAATAAACTATTAACATGAGTTTACCTGCTCCGAATGGATCAATTTAATTATGTTTATTAAATTTGTTCAATTAGCTTAGGTAAAAGCGTGTGCCTAGTTTTAATGAATTAATTTATTTAGATTTGAAAGGATATTTGGATAGAATTTGGAATTTAAAAAAAAAATATATTTGACTGAATGATAAGTATTATAACTGTGCTCTGACAAATCTTGGATATCAAAAAATTTGGAGAGCTTGATATTGATAGTTGACGTTTGTTGATAATAATAATAATACAAAATACAAAAAATGGGCAAACAAATGTGAAAGAACCACAGAAGGCATCGCCTGTGTGTGGATTATATCTTAATCACTAACAATCAATCATTTAACAATTATTGTTAATTCTAATAGGTATTAATATAATTGGGATTTTGAAGTTTTAGTTTTCTATATAATTATGTATAGTCATTCGCTGGATAGTTCAAACCCAGTCTCTCAATTTTCATCTAATTTTTTTTCCAAAATTGAGTATTTTGTTTGGTACTACATTATATAATTTAGCTGCTAAGAGCTTAAATGATTTTTTGAATAATGTTTTGTGTGGTTTTTGGATATTAGATGAGCCTATTCGATATCGTGTGTTATGCTCGTGTATATATGATTTCTTTTCATTACAATACTTATGGTATAAGGTGGTGGCATGTAAGAAATAAAGTTGTCTTGTATCAAGTATCCCTGTTTCCTGATATCAGTTGTTCGTCTGATATAATCTTGGCATATGGAAAATTGCTTTCAAAACAGTTTTTTGTGCTATATTCAGATCAGAAATATATGTCTTGCAGGCGGCACCCCAGGCTGTGATGCCGTATATTACATGATAACTTTCTGTAAGCATGTTAGCAAGCATTTTGAGTTTATAGGCAACATTTTTAAGTTTTTCGATAACGTATTTAATATGGTTATCCCACCTTAGATGTGAGTCCATAAATATTCCAAGATATTTCAAAGTGTTAACTCTATCGATTTTGGTCTTTTGGCCATGATAATTAACGGAAATTTGTTCGAAGATAGGTAAAATTTTTTAATAGGATGTTAATGTAATAAATTTTGTTTTTTTGAAGTTAACTGTTAAAATTTTAGTATCAAACCAGTCAATGAACTTTATAAAATCCTTTTCAGCTATTATAATATTATATTCAGCTTTATATAATATTATATTCAGCTTTATATAATATGAGGGTGTCATCTGCAAAACATATAATCTTTTCAGAACTATTAATTTTGAATAAGTCATTTAAGTAGAGACTAAATAATAGTGGGCCTAGTACTGGTCCTTGAGGCACACCACACTTGATGTACATTTTTTTACTGCAGGTGTTAGTGATTTTGACAGTCTGTGCCCGACTTGAAAGGTGATTTTTTAAAAGGATTTGTGACGTTCTCCTAAGTCTCAATCTTTCCACAACTTTCAGAATCTCGACATGGTTAACAGTATCAAAGGCATTTTTTAGATCAACAAAGATACCAATATTAGGTATTTTTTTGTTGACATTAGAGTTAATTTCATTCATTGCAGTCAAAATTGCATCTGTAGTAGATTTTCCTTTTCTAAATCCATATTGGTCAGAACATATAATAATGTTTTTGCCCAAAAATTGTAATATCCTTTCTTGTAGTAATTTTTCGGAAATTTTGGCTATATTCGATAGTACTGATATGTGTCTATAATTTGATGTTTCTATTCTGTCACCGCTTTTATAAACAGCAGTAATAACTGTTGTTTTAAATGCATCGGAACAAATTCCAGATTGGAAACTCTAATTAATGACGTAAGAAGACTTTTTTTGGTTTTAAGTGATAGCTTCTTGTACCTCAATCGGACTAACGCTTTCTAAAAAGAATGAATTGGGAAGCTGGGGTTTTGGGAACATGTCGTTCAAAACATTTTATTAAATAGTGGCTGCTAAATTTTCTCCAATATTAGTGAAAAAATTTATAAATGCATCGGATATTTGTCGTTTATCTGTTAATATTGTTCCATCTCGATTCTTAATTGCATCAATATTTGGCTTCTGTTGAACGTCTTTGTTAGTTAAGTGATCGACAACCGACCACAGTTTTCTTGGATCAGATTTAGCATCTTGTAATTTTTTTAGACAAAATTGGCGTTTTGCTTCTCTAACTAGACTGATAAAAATATGTTTATATTCATTATATTTACGGGAGGTATCTGCACCTGGTGATGCTTTCATTATTTTGTATAGTTCCTCTTTTTTGTTGACAGACTTTATCAAACCTTTAGTTATCCAGGGATTCCTTCTGTCAAAATGTTTAATTTTAACTCGGTCAGTACTACATTCAATTAAATGCTTTATGCATTCAATGAGTGTGCTAGCAGCATCATTAACATTTGTTGCACAGTACACTGCTGTCCACGATTCTAATTTGATATTTGCAAGTAGTTTTCTATTATCGAAAAAACACCTACATTTCACTGTTTTATTATTGGAGGTGGATCTACTATTATTTTCTTCTGATGATGATATAAGTATTACAGTGGGTAAATAATCTGTTATATGGTTTTCAACAATTAATGGTATGTACGAAATTTGAAAAATTTTTGATGAAATAATGATCAATGCAAGAACTAGAACTATTATTGACTACTCTTGTTGGTAAATTTATATGTGATTTGAATCCGTTGCTCTGCATTGCAGTGATATATTTGTTTACTAATTTGGTATCTTGCAGTATATTAATATTCATGTCTCCTATTATGATGTGGTGTGACTGTATGGCATTTTTGTAATCTAAAAAAAAATTTCAAGATTCTCTACAAATGTATAAGGGTTTGATGATGGTGGTCGACAGACAGATGTGACTTTTACACCTGTCATTAAATTCAACAAAATCACATCTGTAGTTGATATCATTTCTTACATATACTACCACCCCATCATTCTGACTGTACGTACCATTATTGTAAAGCGTATCATAACCATCCAAATAGAACAAAGATACCTACATCATTAATTTTCCAAGTTTCTGTTAATATTATAATATCAAATTTGTGTTTAATTGTAATCAGAAAGAAAAAATAAAAACTTCCGAATTTTATAATTCTATCCATTTGGCTTTTATCTCTTTCTAACATATGTGTTTATACTCTCTTCCCTCTTGTACATATTGAGCTCAGACAAATTTGGTTTTCAGTGTATACGTTATACAGTATAAAAGAAAAGCACATCAAGTCTGTGTTGAGCACATATTTGGTCCTATACACAAGGGTTCATGTACAACGATAAATATCCTAAATATGGTTATGGGTCACTAAGCACCTTACGCTCCAGTGTCTCACCTAATCACGATAACTAATCCACGCCAACATCCGAATACGAAGCTCCTCGCGAAAATCACAAATGAAATTGAGGAGGCAGGCACTGCGTCTGTCGCAAAACTCCCGATCCTTCGCGAATGATAGGCCGAGACCTGCCGAGTCGGCGATACAAATAAACAGTTTAAATGTTTTTATGAAAATGTTTAATTGTTTTTAGTGTACCTTTTCTACATAAACTAATTACCTAAACTAGTTAAACAATTTAATAAAACAGGTACATGGTTTGCTATTTTCAAGCAAGTTAATTTAATAGTAGATAACTTTCAATTAAACTGGTTCCAGAAAGTTCAGTTTAATTAAACCAAATAATTCATTTACTTTTACTTTTACTCGATTAATCGACCACGTTTTTTCAGCGCACCCACGATGCCAAGGAGGGTCAACTGAACTTTTTCATTCAATGCCTAATTTACTATTACGAAATTTTTCAAATGTATTATTTCATATTTTTTTTGCCATCAAGAAAGAAAAAAATAAAAGCTAAAACGTTGGCACCTTGAAAAATTACACTTTTTTGCACCTATATTTGTGTATCCCAAGAATCCGAAGAAATTAAAAGTGCATATAGTCAGTCGTCATTGTAGTTGTACCTTTGGGAACTGCTGTTCCATTTTGACTATCGCAAACTAAGAATCACACGCTCATGATAAGCAGGTTGTCATACTGAAAGTGACAAGCATAATTGCGGAAGACTCGCATGATACAAAAAAAATCAAGACAATCATAGGTGGCCTGTTGAATATGCGTGTGTGAGGAAGATCGATGTATGAAATCAATTTTTGTTGTTGTTTTTTATGACCCGCCAAAGCCGTGAACAGACCTATACCACTGAAAGTCTTCTCCAGACCCTGTACCATCACAACTTCGTCAACGACCTGTACGTTGTAATCACAGCTTTAGCTACCCCAGAATAGCACAAAAGAGCCGACGTATTTTTAACAAGCCGTATAATCGGAGGTCAAGCTTCTGCATTTTCTATGAACAGATTCAATCAAAAAATCGGGGCGTGATTTCGTGTTGAAGATAGAAATCAGGCCGCTCGAAGTACAACTACAGTCGTTATCCGTCAAAATATGAAGGAGCAATATCCTTAACGAGTCTGTAACAAGCAGCCTGGAAACCGTGTAAGTGACCTATTTATTATATCAGAGTGGCAGCCAGTATAAATTGCCCAGATTTGCAGGACATTACCGCCGCTTCTCTGGCAACTTGCCTCATGACGTCGTCGTCCAAGGAAAACTGAACTTTCCAAAGAGTTTTTCCCTTAGGAAACCTTGCATGCGATTTTTCGTAATATTCTTAGTATACGACCGGCATTGATATCGGCTGTCATTTTCCGTTTTGAGCGGCGTGAGAAAGAAGTTGTTGCTCTTTACTGGTACTCTCCCGTAATAGTTCATTACATACCTTGGCGAAGTCGTGCGCCATTTTTTAATAACCCTATGTATTGAACCTTTGTTGAACGCTGACTATGGTATATTATCATACTGCATTTTTGTAATAACTGTAAAAAAAACACGGTTGCTTTTTAACAATTTTTTTGATACCACGTTAATTTACATTGAAAAGCATTTAAGAAACATTACTCACTTACAAATAACATTATTAAGATGTCTTCCATTTCGATCGACGCATTCTTGAAGGCGATCTCTGAAATCGTTCATTATATCATGGAGCATCTGCTGAGGGATTATTTCGATTTCCTGATGGATTCTCGCCTTCAGTTCTTCAAGAGTACGAGGCCGGGGTTCTTCAAAAACTTTGCTTTTTAGATAGCTCCACAAGAAAAAAATCACATGCACTTCGGTAGGGTGAACGGGCGGGCCAAGAAATGGCTCCGTCTCGGGATATCACCCGATTTGGGAAAACTTCGTTGAGGAGATTTAACATATGCCCACGCGGGCCGCGAGGCTTCTTGTGGCTCCATCTTGTTGAAATAATGTTTCATCATTCAGTACATGTTCGCGAAGACGAGGAATAAAGAATGTTCGTAAAATTGCCGAGTAGCACTCCGCATTCAAGATAACAGCTTGTCACCTTTCATCTTCAAACAAGAATGGGCCTGTGATTGCCGTTGAAGACATTGCACACCAAACTGTTACCTTGGTCGGATGGAGAGACTTTTGATGGAGTTCTTGAGGGTCTTAGTATCTAGAATTTTGTTTGTTAACGTAGCCGGATAGATGGAAGTGCGCCACGTCGCTCATCCAGAGTAACGTGTAAAGTTCGTCGTGTTCTTTCATCGATTCCAAAAACGTTTCACAAAAGCGCCGTCGAACAACGAAATCGTTTTCATTTAGAGCCTGAACCACTTGAATTGTGTAGGGGTGTAAATCTATCCTGTCTGAAATTCTAAGCCCAGTACCATGTCGACGCGATGATGTCCGAGTACTTCTTTTCATAGGGATTCTTACACGTTCAATATTCGCAGGAGTTCTCACTGATCTTGCACTGCCACCTCTTCTGTTTCCCGTTTCCTGTTTCACCGACGTTTTCAATATTTTTTACCCATAGCTTTATTGAGTTAACAGAAGGCACGGGCCGATTACGATTAATTTGGAAATGAACACGCAACGGCGTTGAGCGGCTGTGTAACACCCACTTTCTTGGCTCATGCGCTTTATTCAAGATTGCACGTTTGACTGTCGCACCCTGTATTTCGTTTGATTATATTTTGAAATATGGCATATCTGATAATTTCTTTACTCTCCGGCAACGATGTCAGATAGAGACAACGCAATTTCTGCATCGCATAATGGTCAGTAGGAAAAGGATGCTTCCGCTACTTGATAGTGTGCAATAAAGATGGAAGGTACTACGTAAGTCGACATATCACTCGCTTCCCGCTAATTTTCAGATATTCAAATTTATCCTGGCACTTTTAAGCTTCCAAAATAGTGGGATAAATACAGTTAATAATAATAATTTCAGTTTCAAAACATACTAGTACTAAGCAAAAATTATTAGTAATATTAAAAAATTGATAAAGGGTTTAATAGCAGTGACAATTTTGTGTCCAACAAGCCAAAGAAGCTGTACAAAATAATAATAATAATAATAATAATGATTTATTGCCCAACAGAAATTGATTCCATTTATAGGACAAACTATGAACACACAAGAGGAATATAACTAAATATCGTTCAGCTGACATTTTCAACAAAAAGACCAGACAGTCAACATTGATATCACACACGTCACTAATAATATTGAAATCAGATTGCATGTAAGACAATGAAGAATTTAATCCTAAGTTTGCATTTCAGCGATCTAACTTAAAGTACGGGTAAGAGCCTAAAATGGCGGTGAATTGAAATTCAACTGTGATAATAGGTAACATACCATCTATCATATTATGCAACAGTTTATGTAAAAATATTAACGAAAACTGAACGCGCCTCAAATCAAGGAGTGACAAACCAAACCTATAACACAGATAAACCTCAGAATGGCCATCACATTTTAGACACAAATATTTGAGGAAACGTGTTTGTACCTGTTCTGATGAGGCCTTACAAGTTATATTCTTCCAAACTAAAGATGCATATTCTAACTTAGAGCGAACATATGCACAATATAACTTTTTACATTTATATCGCCGAAAGCTCTACAGTTTCTGACAATAAATCCATATAATTTGAATGCATCTGATATATTTAGGTTAACATGATAGTTAAAGGCTAGTTTTTGATCGAACCATACACCCAGATCCTTAATATGATCGACTCTTGGGAGATCACTATTTGCAACATTATATTGATGTACAATAATTATCTGGTTTTTTCTTGAAAATGAGAATTTTGAATTTTGACATGAATGTACACATTTAGTATTTACCCCATTACCGGGGTGGATCTAGAAAATATTTTGAGAGAGGGTCTACCTGACGAATTTGGGGGATTGGGGAGAGGAGTAGGGTATCAGAATTCATGACCAGGAAGATACCTATCTCGGGGGTATCGGTGATTGAAATTTGAAGAGCAAGGGAGGTCGTCTGAAAATTGCAAAACACGATCTAAAAGCTTCTAGACTCCCAGGACACCCCTCTAGGTCCGCCACTGCCTCATTATTTCTTCATGATCATTGTTTGCCTCAGAGGAATAAGGAATGCGGTAAATAATGGCGATTTCTGATGTTAGTCGTGAAAGAACTACTTTGTTTAAGTTGGGAATATTCGAAAATAGCGTTTTGATATACTTTGAAGTTGAGTCATTAATTTTCAGATAATGATTGTAGAAGGAAGATAAACCAAAATATGTGTGTAAAAATAAAAAAAAAATAAAAATTAATGTTACCTTGTTTTATAAAGTATCCTCCCGACAAGTATTTCAGTGCGGACCTGTATTTGATCGTGCGGTCTTGGAGCACCGGAATGTCCTCCCCTGTGAGGTCTTAAGTCACCTGATACACGAGCCCTTTTTACTACATTAACAAAGGTACGAGGGGTTGGTTGCACTCGATTGGGAAACCGATTCGCATAAATCCGTGATGCCGTGTAAATAAGAATCATGTCCACAAGTTCAGCATTTTCGTAAACATGTGCCATTCTTTATTTCGTTTGAGCCACGCAACAAACACCACTATTCACTCACGCATTACCGACTGACACTGACTGAATAAAATTGTAAAAACGTCGTTCCAAGTTCTTTCGCTTTTTTGTTTCCGATGCGCTGAACCGATAAGGCGGATTAGATCCGTTGTCGCCAAACACGAGCACATAATATTATTATTGAGACAGGGCGGTACTCAAACTTCCAAAGGGCTATAACTTTGTTACTTTAATTTTACCAGAAAAATGGTAAAGGAAAAAAACATTTCTTTTGATCAGATCTACTCACTGTTAAAATAAATGACTCAACTTCGAAGTCACCCTGTATAATATATCTTCAAATGTAAGGTTTGGAAATGTACAGTTTTCGAGGTTGTTTGGTGTTTTTTTAGGCAAAGAGCGAGGAAGACGTGTCTGATACATCCAAAACATTAGATAACCTCATGCTCGCTTGTCGCTTTGGAGAGGCTGGATGTCTTTGGGAGTGGGACTGCCAAGCCTAGGTTTACAAGGTGCCATTTTTTAAATATTTCCGCGTTCTCGGAATGGTGCAGAACCGTTCAGAATGTTGTTGCAATCTATATAGAAACGGCAAAGACAAATGGACTGTCACCTGGAAGACAGATAAATATGAAATTTAATACTGTCTATGACTTATTTGAAAAAACTTCGTTAGAAAAGACTTAAGCCTACACATGTGGTTTCATTTAACCACCAGAACATCGGAAACTCTACAGTGTACTTGGAACACCACGTTTGATTTTCGTCACTATTGACTTGCCGGTCCTGGATCTCATGCTACCTGGGTAACTACTTTTTACTCTAAAAATTAAAGTCATTACTTACATTAAGTTATCTTCATGATTCCATGCTAGCAGTTCCGATACGACAAACAGGCCCTTCGTTACAGGATCATCCTTTGCATTTTCCTCGAGTTGAAGCAATACGACGTGTCTGTAAGAATCGCCATTGCCTTGTTCTTGGGATAGAATGAGTACCATTTGAGAACCACTTTTGGAGAAAATTGGCGGCGAGAAGAGTTCCAGCCAGCCATTTTTCATCACAATGTCTTTTACCTGAAACATTTATTATGTGGACAATATGTATAATTTTGTGACTAGTGAAAAAATAGAAAGCATACATCAATAGATTCGTCAATAACAATACAAAAAGATTGGTGTTGTTTTATCGCTGGAAAATATCAGCGTCTGCGGGACCCCCCAGTAAAGCTACAGGAATTACTTCCATACGTCCATCTCCATCACACATACATGCGCGAACGTTTATTTGTATAAACTAAAGGCCATGAAAAAGTCAGAGAGACTTTATGAATGTAAATTCACAAACTGTAATATGAACATTTTTTTATTTGTCCACACAGTCACCATAAACATTAGTCTATCTGTGGCACCAGCTTCTGGATAACTTCGTTAAAGAAGGCTGCCGCCTGACCGTTAAACCAGTTGTAACTGTTTTTTCAACATTTCATCATCTTCCAAACTCTTTCCATCAAGCTATTCTTTAAGTTTAGGGAAAATATAGATGTTAGAAGCTTGTCCAGTTGAGTCTGTTACCTTGCCGCAACGTGAGGCCGATCATTGTCCTGAAGCAGAACGACCCCGCTAGAGAGCAGACACCGCCGGTGGTTTTGAATAGCACCCCTAATTCAACAAGCTGCTGGTGAATTTTAGCAGATGGATTTTTTTTGCGTTGAGAATTCGAATTACCGAGCGTACCTCCCAAGTAGTACCTATAACCACAAAACCAACACCTATAGAGATGTGAAACGTAATAGCAGCGTAGTTAGAGAGTGATCAAGAGTGTCCGAGGTTGAACGGACGTCAGGTGGCGGGATGCGCGGGCACGATGTGCAATCAGGTCTCCGGACGTTTTTTAGTTTTGTCTCAACACCTCGAACAATTTCTTATCAACGTATGAGTCTCCTCATTCATTCTTGTCAATGTCCATATGACAACTTGCTTATCATGAGCGTATGTTTAGCCATGCTAATCTTCGATATAAAAGATAATAGTGCATGAAGAGAGAACTACAATGTCGTCAGTCTGCATTAGGAGTATTTTCAGAAAGTGAGTGAAAACACTGGTCCTCTATCACCCAATTCATGTGTGTGTGCAAGAGCGAGTAGCAGCTGTGTCAATAATAGACTTGAGCAGTGTGCAATTTCCAAAAGTTAAGCTACGCACATAGTGCCACTAGTCAACCTCGTTACTTATTTGGTATAGCATTGTGAAGTATCTGCCAAAAGCGTACGAGTAGATCACATTGTCAATTTCATTATCCTGCCCCAAAACTTATTCCAAAATAGGAGTATAGACAGACTGAAGTCAAATAGAGGTATACACTTAGGGGAAGAACAAAGATAACGTGCTATGCACTATTAAAGGTAATGGAGTATGCAGGTTTTAGTCCGAATGTTTATGTTCCGGATATCGTTGGATGGGCATTTTTACTTACTCCGTCGGGCGTTTCATTACAATATTCACATCAAAAATGAATAATGTGCTCATACAACGCTCATATAAAATACTATATGATATAGCCTCATATGAGCTCGTAAATTGGATCCAGAAATGCGTATACTTAATATATCCGTATTAAAATTGGCATATAACTCGGTGAATAAAAGTTTGGGCACTAAAGGTAGGAGAGATAAACTAATATGACCCTAAGCACGAAAGATATATAACAACGTGCGCCTTTATGCGCATAGAAGACTTATTCTTTAAACAATGGTAAAAAACGTTGGTTTTCAAAATTTATTGCTGGAATGGTAGTGACAAAAGAATTGAACCATCTGCCTGATGACATGGACAAATACAAAATGCAACAAAACATGGATTCTGTGTAACCAATGAATTCTGACCAAATACAAGCCTCATATTTGTCTTGATCCACTAAATCCGCGTCAGTTGTCAGAATGTATCTGCATTCTATAAGTCGATCAGGCTCAAGACGACACTTTGTAATGAATACGTATTTTTGGCGTCAAGTAGGTTGACTCTGCATCGCCGTCATCTAGTCAGCAGTCAGCACAAGTGAGACCCTCCAAGAAAAAAGTTTGGGTCTGTCAAACAGGCCTATATAATTAGTCCATAGTCATTGTTTCCTTGCCCTACCGGTAGTATCATCAGTCTGGCAACGTCGACCCGCCTGAATACCGATTTTACTCGACATCGCCGGACAGCGGCAGTAATAAGAGACTCATATACCCTTATGCATAGAGGCTGGCACGCCTACTGGTGAACCCAGGGAGCAGAACCGGACACTCGTATCGAAAACATTTAAAACATTTCAACTCAAAAGGGTGGAGAAAAAATAATAGGTACGTAGAATTACCGGGGTTCGAAGCCTTTAAATATACTGACATCGAACATTTTCTCAGGGACTTGAAATCCCCCAAGCTCCAATTCTTAGCCCCTACCAAAATGTTTTCTTCTGAAGCGGCAAAAAACGAATTTTGGGCGATTTTTATTTCTTTTAGTTTTTGGCCTTTTTCTCTGCCGCCACTAAAATAATTTTCAAAAACTTAAAAAAAACCGTTTTTATCCTTGTCATAGTAGTAATCTTGTGTGAAAATTTCATCAAAATTCGAGCGGTACTTAGACGGGCCAAGGATTTGCGGACAGACCTACAGACAAATAGCCAAACCGAAATGAGTGACATGGTTTTTCGTCATGTATAGTTTGGCAAACGGATCTGCAACAGCGAAAGGAATGCGACCGAAAATATTCGATATTGCCAAATTTAACTACAAAAAAGCAATAATAATAATGAAAGTAATTTCAATGATTTGAAAATCGATTTTTCACAATTCCAAAAAATATTAATTCAAAATACTGAGAATTTTAATGGGTTGTTAGCTCTATTTGTATTTACTAACTATTTTTTACTACTGAATCGTATTATAAGTAAACATTTTTCCAAAGATCTTATCTACATCGGTTGAGCTGGCAACAACCACCCGAAAGGTATATTGGACACCGCCTAAACGAATCTGATTGGCGGATATCCTCACATGTTTTGTCGCCATGAGAAAATTCGACTCCCTATTGGGTAGCGTCCCAGACAATTTTTTGCTCCTTTCTTAGAATATCCATACTATTGAAAAGTCCAGTGGCGTAGGTTTTATCCGTGTATGAGTTTTACAACTATTATTGTTAACTATTTATTGTTCTATTAAGTTTGTATGTTTAGTGCTGTGTGTTTTTGAATAGTTTAGTGTTTTGTTATTTGATATTGTTATTCGTTTTGGTATTATTTTTTAAAATGAACCAATTTAATCGCGGAAAGACGCTTCATAGCCAAACAAGAGAAGTGATTGCGAATGTTTATAGGTTAGTAATAATAATATGCAATAATTGTAGTTTTTGACGACTGAGTCTGAATATAAATAAAAAACAAGGAAGTGCTAAGCTAACATTCTGATGATTATTTATAGGGTTTGCGATGAGGAAGCGGCAAACAATTCCCTCAAGTTGCCGCTTAAACGTAAGCTTGATAGGGTGTCCCTTTATACCGGAGTCGGAGTATCTTCTGTTAGGAAAATTCATAACGAAGATAAAGAAAGACTAGAAAATAACCCGAATAAAATGTTATCCAGTCCCGGAAAAAAAAGACCGCGTCAGTCTCTTGTTGAGAAAGATGAAGATTTTGATTTTCAGATTATTAGACATTTGATAAACAGATTTTATCTTGAATATAAAGTTGTCCCGACAACTAGGAAGTTATTACAAAAGTTGCGAGAAGACTCAAATTTCCCCTATTCTAGGGAAACTCTCAGGAGTTTATTAAAATCAAATGGTTTTTTTTGGCGCAAATGTCAAAATAAAAGAAAAGTTTTGATGGAGAGGCCCAATATATTGCAATGGAGGTACAAATACATCCGTGAAATACGTAGATATCGTGAAGAAGGGCGCAATATAGTTTATTTTATAACCTGGGTGGACAATGACTTGACTTTCAAAAAATGCTGGCAGAGCGAAACTGTTTCTGGTGTAATAAGCAGTATAGGTTCTACAGGTAAGCAAAAATGCTATATATATATGTTAAATTTAACTCTGATTTGTAACATATTATATAATCGTCTTGTATATTTTAGGTCGACTCATTATAGTGCATGCAGGTTCAGAAAATGGATTTGTTGACAATGCCTGTTTGATATTTAAGGCGGGATTAGCTACAGGCGATTACCACGGTCAGATGAATCGGGAAAATTTCACACGCTGGCTCACAGAAAAACTCCTCCCGAATATACCTGCCAATTCGGTTATAGTATTTGACAATGCTCCATATCATTCCGTCCAGTAAGATAAAACCCCGACAAAATCATCTTCGAAAAAAGATATAATGGCCTGGTTGACAAAGAAAGGTACTTATGACTCAAAACATGCATGTACATATCAAACTATACAATAAAATATTTTATAGGCATAAATCATGAGGCAACTGCCAGAAAATTTGACTTGTTCGATCTGGTCTTACTTCATAAGCCTCCTGACAACCAAAAAAATTATGTAGTTGATCGGATCATAAGATCACATCGACATACTCCTCTAAGAACACCTCCTTATTTATGCGAGCTAAACCCAATAGAATTAGCTTGGGCAAAGCTTAAATTTCATATAAGAAGCCGCAATACCACTGGAAACTTCAGTTTAACCGCACTGAAAGAAGTTACTCAGGAAGCGATGTCCTTAATATCCATTAATGATTGGCAGAAATTTTGTCAACATGCTAGGGACATTGAAGATAAATTTTGGGAAAATGATCAATTTATGGAGGAAATGGAACCAGTTATAATAACTATAGGGCAAGATGACGACAGCGAAACTGATGACGACAGTGACGATGATGATAATGATGGAGTTGACGAACACCAATGCTAATTCAATAGGTGAAATGTAATTTTGAAATGCTGTATAATGTAAGTATTATTTATTACAGAGGTTATAAGTTAAACGGATATGAAATGTGTTTAAAGTTCTTTGTTTCTACTTAAGCGACACGGATGCTCTAGAAATATCCACATCAACAGTCCAAAATTGCAACAATAGGA